GCAACAGCATTCACTTTTGCCAAACTATTTTCGTCTAACAGTGAAACGGAGTAAAGATAAGGGCCCCATGTCAAGACTGAGTCAACTGGTGAAATCCAAGAATCCCCAAGTGCAACTGCCTTGAAGTTGCAGCGAATTTCTCCTGAGGAGATGGCTTTGTAAAGCCTGACACCAAACGCGGCAGTCATTTTACCTCCATACGACTCACAGAATATGAAAAATGGGATGTTTTGAAACACCGGCATTTCTTTCATAAATGACTGCAGCATTGTCAGTAAGTCCTCAGCAATTTCTGTATGAAAACATGATATTATTTTGGTAAGTTTAAATTAAACACTATTAAAAGTTTTAACCGGCATTATTCCCGTCATGTTTTATATCCACGAGTTGACGACTAAACTTTGCGTGACTGTCACGTAATAGCGTCACGACAAAAGTGCTTTTTTGGCATTAAATTTTCAATTTCATAGTGTTTTCTTTCGTTATCTTTTACGCTAAACTGCGGTTTACTTAGATTTTTTAAGAAAAAGTGAAAAAGCGAAAAAAATGAACTTAAAAGAAAAGACAAAAGATCACGTGAAAATCAAATGTATTAGCTTTTTGTCTCGTGATGACAGCGATTACGATTGGTTTATACGAATTATTATATAAAAAGGCATATAAATAATTTTGAAACAAATGAAATAATAAAGCAATATAAAAAATAAGTAAAGCAAACATTTTCACCTGTTACATCTTTTGTGTAGGCATTATTGTTGGTGACATAGCTGAAGCCCGCTCCGACAGGATTATCAACGAAAAGTACGTTTGCGACTTGTGTCCAAGTTGTATTTCTTGGCCGTAAATTCACATCTAAAGGTCCAAGTTCTCCAAAGTTTCCAAAGCCGGTAGACGACCCTCCAGGTCCTCCTTGCAGCCACAAAATTAGAGGTAAACTAGCTCTCTCGGAAGGGCTGGTTTGCGCCCCATAAAGCCACCAAAACATGTGGGCATTCTCTCGCACGTTAACATAGCTCCACTTCTCATCAGGGATGTCTTCTTGTACTCTAGCGGCTTGAGTGAGATAAAAGAAGATAGATAATACAACAAAAGTAAGTTTTACTTGTTCCATTCTGTTGTTACATCGATCAGGATGGCCAGGAAAACGAAGGCCCTGGGTACGAGTTGAAGTGTACTATACACAGGGATCCCGAGTCACAGTTAATAGACTTGCTCCAGGTCTCTGACAATTTTTTTTACAATATTCATGAGGCAAGGACTTAAATTTTCTGACTGACAGCTGTTTTAGCAAATTAGAAGAGAGATGATAGGAGAGACGTGCATTAGAGTCCATGACACTAAATTAGTGATGTGTACATCGCTACCATAATGGATGACGCACAACAGATCCTTCTCGTTATCTGCAATCTCATAACAGAGCCTGTATAACCTTTTGTCTAAAAGAGAGCATGCAGTCCTCTGCCACAGACCAGAAGAAACATATATAGGTGCTGGGGGTTGAGATTGCATAACAAAAAACCTAATTCTTAAGATGAGTGTGAATACCAACAAAGAAAGAGACTGTCCACTTATCAAAGTCATATTTATTATTATTGGTGATTTCTATAAATACAATGAATGGCTTAGTTTGTTAAATAGACCAGGGCCTGAACAACATCTCCTTTGTGTTCTCTTAGAGTACGTTCTGCAGCAGTTCTAGGGATTTCCATTTCCTCAACCTGGAAAACAAATGACCTGATCATATAACTAAGGGTATAATAACAAGAATTAAATTACTGTACTTGAACAACATAGAAAAATAAATATATAGAGGATATAATATGGTCATGCTGGGATAGGGATTTTATCTTCGAGTGTTGAAAAGATCTTTCATGAGTGGGCATAGCGAACGAGTAAGAGATTTTCAATATGAAAAGATAAAATTTGTATCTCCAAGCGACCACGTAATATTCTGTTTATCATGTGAACAATGTATAATAATTATAAAAGTTTAATATTGAATTCAGTTTTTGTGATAACTGAAAAATATATTGATTGTATATAACTCATGCTTTGTATTAAATGACAATTACAAACTTACTATAAGGTCAACATCTTCCTTTTTAATAACAACTCTTGCTAATTCTTTTTCTCTGTACAAAAAAGAGGGCAATCAATTTAATTCAAGTTCAAATAAAACTTCGTATTAATTAATTTGTGGATATGACATGGCATAACTAAGTTAAATCTTTATACATGCATCCTGAGTCTGTCGTCACCATGATGTTCATTATTCATGTATTTATGTACGCTTAAATACAAACAATACAAAAAATACCTTAGAGCTTGATCAGCTTTCTCTTTTAAGTGTCTTCCTTCTACTAAGTTTAATGCCTTGAAGAAAAAAGATCATCGATAAAATGTGGATCAAGCCTTCATGATTTCACGTAAAAACATCTAAATTTCTGGCAAATAACATCAAATTCAATGCTACATAGCACACTGAGGTACTCACAGATTCTATATCTCCCTGTACTTCTGTTTCTTCAGCATAATCTGTCACTCTTTCGAGGTCCGCCGAGGTATATAAATCATGTCGTTTGTGAGCCGGTTGTTCCGCCATGTTAAATTCCAGTGACCGTGTTTTAGACGAAAGGACTGGGTCTTATTTTGTCCCAGTTCTCGCCCGTCATGGTAGTAAACTCGTGGATTGACCGTCAGACCTCATTTTGCGCAAAATCTCATTGCTAAACTCCGTTAAATAGATATTCTCCTTTAAAAGTCTAGCAGTTCATAAATTCCATTATCTTTTCTGAATATTACACATTGACTAATAGATTTTGTTTCCGAGGTTTTAGCTGACTTCACAGCACACTTGCACAGTTGTTTCTGCTGAATTCTGATTGACAGGAGACCCTTCGTAACCTCTGCGCAATATCACTTCTTCACTCAGAAATTGTAGAGGAGCTTTTGACAATGTTGCAGTTGTCATCCCATTTTTTACATTCTGTGAATTTTATGGAGACAAGATGACGCCCACATTTGGGGTCAATATTATACAATGCCATCTCAGAAAAACAAAAGTTATGTCAAAATTTGATACCCTACCCCATGTGGAATTCCTACTCTCACGCTGAAACACTGTAAAGATGACACCAATAATTTTCATTGTTTTATATTTATATATTTATATTCGTGGATAAGATAATATCAAATAAATTAGCATTATTTTCATTTTATGTATATACAATATTATTGTCTTAGTTTTAGGAATCTTTCACTGCAAACTACAAATTAACAGGCTTAATAAAAACTATAAAGAACCACAACAAAGCTAATTATTAGAGTGCTCACTAAAAAAATATTTGCAAAATATTTGTAGCTGGCCTATGAATGCTTCCTTTAACACTGTAAAAATTACCTGCAAAATTATGTGAGCTTGCTCATTCCCATTGCAAAATGAATGGCAAGTTGGACTGCAATTTTAAATAATATGAATGCTGAAAACTGTAAAAATAATTAAGCAAACCATATCCAATAGCACAGACTATTAATTATGAGTAAATTCAATATTAAGAGCAGGGTAATTTTAACAATGAAAACCACTATCTTTTAACTAATTTGTTAATCATTGTCAATCATTGGTTAATTTGAATGTTATTTGAATTGATTTGCTATCATACATAAATTTTGATGTTTCATTTTCTGTGATATTTTTTCCTTGAAAATCTTACATTTTTTATATAGCTACTTTTAAACAGAGGTTTTGGTTATTTCTCAGTCTTGCTGGTTGATTTTTTTCCTTGCTTGGGATTCCTGTGTTGTCATTTGGTGTTTGGATTGGAAACCAAACATTTCAAGCTCAGTATTAGACAGGAATCCCATGCAACGCAATGAATCAATGAGAAAGACTTGGAGCAAGTCTAATGGATGGAATATATTGGGTGATAATTTACGCTGAAGTCTTAAGCTTCAAATTCTAAACCATTGTGTCCATTTTTGTTCTTCTTTTCGCTGCTGTCTTCTGGTTTTCGTCTTTGCCAGATATCATAAGTACACTTTGCATCAGTAGTGCCTGTACCTCCTTCATCATGACCTGCAGGGTGTTGCTGTGGTGGATTATTTTCTGGCTCTTCAGCTGTCAAATGAAGACAAATATTTTTCATATAATTATCTATAAAATATCTATATTTCTCTATTGCCTTAAATTGTTATTTTCACTTGTGAAAATGACACATTCGTGGTATCTCTATATATTGGAGGTAAATAAAAGTTATTTTAAAACATCTTTTGCTTTCATTGGTAATTATATGATAAACAGAAAATCACATGGTTGCTTGGAGAATCACACACATCTATCTTCTTGTGTTGAAAAGATCTAAATATGTAAATGTTAAAAAAATGGAGGTTTCTTTTCTTGTCTTGCTGTTATTTTTCTGCCCCTCTGGCAACAATAATCCTTAGAATTATTATAACAATATGATATTTTGATCTGTCTTTATTGTACCATCTGGCAATTACTATAACAGGATTAGACAGTGATTTATCATTATTATACAACATGCATTGTGAATGAAGAAGAGCGGTAAACAACATGACCTGTACTGATGACTGGATTATGAAACAAAACTGACAAGACTTACAAAATGACCAGTCATCATCAGGACACACTTTTTGTCAAATCTATGAAACCACAATGCAAAATTACACACAAACACAAGATAACAAAAATGACTCTCATGAACAAAACCAACAACGATAGAGTTTACTCTCATCAATGAATAAAAGAACTGAAAGATGAAACTAAAACTAGTGACAAGTGACAAGCGAAACTTGAAAAATATAGTGCTTGAAAGCACTCCATTTTCAAATTCAAAGCGAATAAGTGCAGTTTTATTTGAAAGTAGTAAGATCTACCAAACACAAAAGAAAGTATGAGAAATGGGCATTATTATGATTGCCTTGAAAATTTGTATTTTCCTCAACTCTGTATTATCAGAATGCTAAAAACATACGTCTTACAGGAAAATGGTGGGAACTAGCGGTAAACTAGTGTGAGCTGCGTCGGTGTTTCTAAAGAAACAGTTATGTAAAAAGATAAATTTAACACCGTAAAAAAAGTATGTGAAATAACTTACAGGAATACAGGATTAGTCTCAGCTTCGGGAAAATGCAAATTTTCAAGCCTATTGCTTAAATTTGTCGTGAATCTTCTGTGTTTGGTAAGGTCTTTTTGCAAGAGAAGCTGTTGTTAAATAAAGCAGCGTTTTTGCTTTGAAATCGAAAAATTGCGTATTGTGGTTCATCATATATCAAGAGTATACTGCAGTCAATAGCAATAATTACTCACCAAGTGGCGATAGCACAACGTCTACAGAATCATAAAGTTTTTGTGGTTGTAGGAATATCTTCCTTGACGGATTTTCTATTTTCATTGATGTTGTACAAGCTTGTTTCCATGAGGTGACGTTAAAAATTGCTCCATGCAAAGCTTTTTTCCATTTAATGCATTCTTCCTCTGTTTCTGTTGAGATGACTGGTTCTTTATCATGTGTTTTGCTTGCTAATATAATAATGTGTTTGTCTTTTAGGGTGGGTGTCACTGAATCTTTTATTTGCATATTCTAGAAAGAAAGGACAAATTATTTAGGCTTTTACTTTGAAAAGAGTTCTCACACAACAAGGCTAGTAAGCAAATCAATATTTAATATTCCATTCCACTTCAAACATAACTAACTCATAGAGCATTCATATATCATGTTATAAGAAAAATGTTGAAGAAACAAACAAACAAAAAAAAAACAACAACAGAAACAACCAAAACATCAAAAGGAGTTCAACTATATTGATTTTTTTTTTGACAAATTTCCTGACAATATCTTGAGCAGTATGAACTTGTTTTCCACAGATTACACAATTTCTTCACTCACAATGCTTTCATGTTATTATACAATGTGAATAAAATGGATGTTATTCATTTGCTTCCACTGCATCTGCTCACCATTTTTATATCAATAGTTTCAACTGGTGGACAGACATCAACATCGTCTTCTTTGTGCCAACATACAATGGAAGAGTTCCGTAAAATACACCATAATTTGGACCAGGTGTGACGGCCATTATTGAGACACTGCAGCAAGAATAGATCAATGAATGAATGCATCAATCCATCACTTTAATGTATCAATCAATAAATAGAGGATATTACATGGGCGTACGGAGATACGAATTTTATCTTCGAGTGTTGAAAAGATCTCTCACGAGTGAGTGTAGAGAACAACACGAGAAGATAAAATTCGTATCTCCAAGCGACCATGCAATATTCTGTTTATCATATAATTAAATATGAAAGCAAATTATGTTGTAAAATACCTTTTTTCTTTCTTCAACTATATAGAGAAACCTCAAATGTGTTATTTTCACTAGTGAAAATATCAATTTTACGTAATGGAGAAATATAGGTATTTCATAGATAATTATATGAATTGATAAATCATTATATTAAATCAATTAAACGATAATTACAATTAATCAATCATTATATTATCAATCAATCATTACCTTCAATCAATAATTGAAATTAATAATTACAATCAATTAATTGATCATTATAAATCATGCAATCATTTAAACCAATCATGATTATAATCAACCAATCAATCATTACAACCAACCAATCAATCCATCAATCCATCAGTCACATTTACAATAAGTTAATTATTACCAATCAATCAATCAACCACACAATAAACCCATGAATCACAACATTACCTGCACATCAAGAAATCCTTTCATTTTATCAACTCCTAAGCAATCAGGTTTAGCAGCGAGTCGGCAGCAGACCTGTCCCCATAGAGCAAGTTGTGGTGCATGGACTTCCTCAGTAGATGCAGTGGTTGCAGAGAAACTGGCACCAACAAGACCTGCAAATGGATACATGTAGCATCTGATATCAAGCTTAATGTTAAAAATCTTATTTAAACAATAAAAAAGTTGAATCAAGGGCATTATGGTGTGATAGGACACTGGATGTTGTGGGGAAAAATTAGTTGCTTGAGAACAGTTTTTATTATTCAACAACAAAAGTTTCTGAATCAGCTTGCTCTATGCACTGTGAGCACTATAGTGTTATGTGGTCAACTCTCCAGCATTGAGAGGAAAATTGTGTCGTTGAAATACAGTTTGAGGTCAAAAGTTTCAGATGTCATAATATATTTATTGTCCAGATTGTAAAAAACACAGAAAAACAACAACACAATATACTAATGAGTGGCAGCCATTTGAAGAAAGGCAAATTGTATAGACCTAATTGGCTAAGACGTCTTCAACTCAATTCGAACCACCTGGGAGTAAGTTTCGTTATTTGTATTGTTTTCAGTTTCACAGAATTTGTAACAACAAAAGTTCTTTTTCCCACAGGATTTGCATTGGGTGGTAAGGTACACAGCAGACATGTTAGGTCTATTGAATTGTATTGCATTCTTTAAACAACCAACTCCCTGTTTTCCTACCTGTCTTAAGATCGTACGTCTTTATCTTATCATCCAAATGATCTACATTCAAATGAGTGTGGCCAGCAAGAACAAACTTCATGGCTTCAGTAGATTTTGATTTGGTAAATTTTTTTGTATGCGAGTTCCTATTGGCTGCTGTCTCAGATGACACAGTGTAGTATATTTCTAATTCAAGCTTGAAATCTGGACTGACATTTTTGCTATAATAGAAAGAGAAAACAAAGTTAGGTAAACAAATTAATGCTTAATACGACTTTTTCTTGTTCAGTGCTTTAGTTGACAACAGTCTCTCGTGTGCAGAGAACTTAGCAAAAACAAAAGAAAGCATGAAAAATGTTGTCATTACAATAGCCCTACAAATTTGTGTCATTCTGTATTCCCAGAAGGCTGAAACTCTTGGTCTTGTGGGAATACAGGCTTTGCCTTAAATTAGAGAAGATTCAAAGTTCTAGAGCTATTGTAATGTTAACATTTTTTCGTGCTTTCTTTAGCTACGAAAGTGAGTCTGCTGTTTACTAAAACAACGGTCGCTCGCATTGAATGCAAAAAAAGCCTTATTGCCCAACAGCAGAATGAATACTAATACTTTGCTCACCAAAGGGGACAGAATTACTGTATATATTAGCCATTCCGGAGTTATGAAATGAATTGTAACTTCTGTCATATTGAGCCAATCGAAAAATTAACCATATCGTTAAAAAGACTTTATCGACTTTAGTGTAGGTTCCAAGTTACAGATCATTTGGACAAATATTCAATTAATGAGAAGCCGTGCAATTTACAGAGAATGTACGGGGATTTTGACCGTGTCCCCCAAAACAATACATTCTCTGTTAATTTGATAAAACTAGGAATAAATACTGTTCAGCTAGTTTTTATCAAAATGTTTTGAAACTTGGTATATTTATTAATTTTTGGGAGTCCTTTCATGGGGTGGGGTTTGTTTCGTGATTAGATCAATATTTCTTTGATYAGTGCCCAGTCCCCTGCGCAACTCCAGAATGGCTAATATAAAGAAAACGTTCATAAGGCAGCAATCATTGTTATGGTAGTTTACAACTATATAAAATTGAGAGAGAATATCAAATAGTTTGAGATTTCCAATGTTTCTAAGCATTTATTCCCATTGTCAACATGGTTTGACATCATTAATATGAAATAGGTCAATCAATTTTGTCGGCATGGTTACTTACAATACAATGACATCATCAAAGGTGATATCGGTTTCAGATTCATCTGTTTCTACCATTGATGTATCCAATACTTGGTTATCCATTTTAAGTAGACAGAAGACATAGTAAATGTGTTGTTCTGAAAAGAAAGAATTTTTTGGAAAATTGATAAAAAATGAAAGTTTTATCAGATAAAAATATGAAAGTAGAAGAATGCAATTTAAAAAAAAAGGATTTTGGATCAAAAATATGCAATAACAAGAATGCAAAATAATATTGTAGGTTGATTTATTTACCGGTTTTTGCCTTTTGATGATCGTCTTGAGACCACATCAATGGGATCCGTATGTCTAATAGACAAAAAATAATTGATTCGATAGTTATAACAAATGAGATAATGATGCCCAAGCAATGAGTAAGATAATGTTGATTATAAATAATGAAGTTGTCCTTCAGTAGCATGTGTTGTGAGAATATAATGATAAGTAGACCATAATGTTACTGCAGTTGTTGCTTTTATTTTTCGAGTTTTTCGCTGGACACCAGCATCACCAGGAGAGTGAATATCTAAATGATTTTAAATATTCACTCTCCTGATATGCTAATGTCCAGCGAAAGCTCAAGAAAAATAAAAGCAGCAACTGCAGTAGCGCATGGTCTCAATGTATCTCAATTCTATTATAGGCTGCTGGCCCTTGCTAATAATCATAATGATATTGAGGGGGAGCAAGTATTAATAACAAATTCAATGAAGTGACAAAACAAATAAAGGAATACATGTAGATAGAAGATGCTAGGTACAGATAAATGAACTAACAAATACACGAATAAATAGATGGAATAAAGAATAATGGAATAAAATGAATGAAAAAACAAATGAATAGATAGAAGATAGGAGTGTGAATAAATAAATGGAATAAAAGTGGAATAAATTTAATGGGGGAATAATAAATGAGTAAATAGGTAGAATGGGAATATGGATAAATGGATGAATGGGAAAATGAATAATTCATTAAATAATGAAAATAAGTACACAATAAAAGAAAAAAAAGCAGAAAACATTCAAAAGAAACAACCGATAGTCAAGACAAAAGTCATGCTTAAACAACCACCTGACAAAGAGACTCTTGCTTTACAGGGCTCTAATACTGTTTCTTCTTCTTCATCAGTTGTTGAGCTGTTAAAAAGTGTGTGAAAAGAACACATGTTAAATATATAATTCATTAACAATTCATAATATAAAAAATCCTGTTGTCTAAACACGGGTGAATTTAACTGCAGTGTTTTCATATTTTTATGAATTGCATTATGAAACAAAGAAAATCATTCTTGATAGACATAATTATAATTGTACGCCTCGGACTGGAACTAATTGCGCGGACTTGAAACCCCGTCCAGTCCTCATTGTCGGACTTTAAACATTACGTAAAAAAATCTTCATCTATAATATTAATAACAATAACAGTGTTTTAAATTTCCTATACATCACAAACCTTGACTCTCTCCGTCTCACTCTTTTAGTTACAGACTTTGCTCTATGTCTTTGTAATAATCCCATTAAGGCTAGAATTCTAGAGTTAATTGTGTGCAAGTTTTTGGATGCTTCAAGAGCTTGTGCTTCCTCATGGCAGGCTGATAAGAGACGCACCGTGCCATCTCGCATTCGTACTTCATAATCTATTTTCTTTTGGATTTCTGAGTCATCAAGCTCCTGGGGGAAAAAAGGTAAGAAAATAAAAAACCTCGCAGAAAACATCTTTTTCACATTTTATCACATACAAACACTAATATTCAATAAATAATTAGTGAAAATATAAACATCATGCCATGTATGCTGTTCCTATCTTTGCAGGATTATTCAATGATTCAGTTCAAAGCATCTTTCATATTTCAGTGACTCACAGTACAAATATTTCAAGAAAACTGTAAATATTTAATGCCTTAACTGAGACAAACACACAAGAATCAATATTTGTCTCTCGGCTGCAGAAATCACATAATAGAAGACAAACAAAGCCTTATTAGGATAGACAGAAGCTAAATAAGATCAAGACATTTTGAATTATTTAACGGAGGACACCGTATGAATTAGTTAAACTGCAAAGAAAATCCAAACTAAAACTGTTTTTGATTATTAATAAGCTATTATATAGTGGTTTCAGTACAACCATGACGTGTTTGCAAAACAATATGATTTGTACAATTTGTACAATATCCAAAGTTTTTCCATTGTTCTTAGTTAAACAAGAAGTTGAAAAGAATGATGTGATTTTCCCATGTGAGAGAAAAAGCCTTTAGAAATGAAACAACTTCTAAAGGATTTCTTATTTTTTCAGAAATGTAGTAAAATAATTTTTGTAGAACTACAGATTGACAGTCTTTTACATCTAATTCCACAAAAGAGGAAGATTAGGATTTTCTCTTCAAATGAATATTTTCCACCTTTTTCTTTGAAATTATTAGGAAACTTAAAGACCTTTCACATTTGAAGTGTTTTCAATTATGAAAAACATCCTTTAAAATGTTACAAACTATCTAAAAACAAATGATTTTTTCAAGTTTAAAATTACGATGGTGTAAACACAAATAAAATTAGAACACAGGAAGTGCCAAAAATAACTGTTTAATGTAAAAAAGTATGAAAAAGGATATTATTTAGTAGATGAATCAATGCAGTAATAACAACAAAAACTGTTGTATAACGACCTATGAATTTAGAAATTTGTTACTTTGCCTTATTTTGATTTTTTGAATTTTTATCAAAGATCATCACGCACAGCCATGTAATCTTTGTCTAATTCACAAATCCTATTGTTGTCATTGATAGTAATAAAGCAGATTTATGAGGCTTTACTAATGGTAAAGCTATTGACTTTGTATTTTTTTATCGCCAAATGTTCTCAAGAAAATTCCTTAAAAAAATCAATTATAGATTTTATTCAACTATATCTTTAGTATCAGTTTATCACAGAAAAAGTGGTTTTTATTTGACGATAAAGTTGCAAGACATACATATTAAAAAAGCACCAAAGACATATGTCAGTTTGAGAAATAATTTCTTCTAAAAATACATGTTCTTATTATAGAATAATTGTGCAGAAAAAGACTTCTTGTAAGACTTCTTCAAAAAAACCCCATCAAAACATTACAGAAGAAATATAAGTTTGAATTTAAATCTTTAAGGAATATAATTATAGTTTTCAGTTGTTTGATAATGTGTAATATTGTTCACAACAATTGATTAAAAAAAAAGAGATAACTCAAAAAAGATCTAATAGAATATCTCTCAAAAATTTTCTTAAGGAAGACAAAATAAACATATTACATGTACTACAAAAAAGATTAGTCTTAACCTTAAGCTTTTTATTACATATTAAGAGGTGGAATAATGAAAAGATTCTTAGTCAAATAATTCTTCTTATCTTTTTAGAATGAGTTGTAGCTTGGTGTGGCACCATAGAAGTTCACAGTAAGAGAAAGTATGTTTAAATCCAAAGATAACTTACTATCAACTAGAACACACACTAGAAGGAGAACTAGAGAGTTTAGAGAATAGTCTAATGAGAATAAAAACATATAAGAGGTATTTTCATCTCCAATAAATTCAAAATGGTGACAATGATCCCACGTTGTAGTAGTCTTAAGAAAGCCTACCACTTGAATAAGTTAACTAGCCAATTCAACTATGAATTCATCCAGTCTATTAATTAATTCAAACAGTTTTGTTAGAAAGCACCAAGTAGGTAGCAACGTAGGTTTTCCCTTGACCATCCCTCTACTGTTAGAAATTCAAAAACATAAACTAAATTGAGGAAAAATCTACCTTATAAAGAGTTCTAGTAGACTCGTTCCCTACTAGAACATATTGGTCTTCAACTTCAATGGTTTTTCTTCTCCTAATGCTTGACTTTAGAACATTTATCACTGAGCAGGTTATCATGGTGATAATGCGTTTGGTGATGTGGTCAAGTGTTCAGAGACAAACTAAGTTTGCATGTACTGTTGATCCTTACATGTAATTGTCAATACGAGACACAGGTGATAAGCTAAAGAGTGATTTATTAATTGAAGATGAAACAAGACAGTTCAAAAACCCCAAACACTACAGAAATACCATTATTAATGAAGTGTTTATAGTTGGAACTTTTGATATACATGTAGTAATTTTGTGCTTTCTCTGAATGAAACTACTTAGATTTTCGGATGAGATTGTTTTGTTTTAGTTTGAATTTTTCAGAAGTATTGTCAGTAGTGAAATCTCAGTATCCTGCTGTGGACTTTCTCTTTTAGCCTATAGATTCAACGTGGTTATTCTCTTTGCTCTTATCTTGGCCACCTGTTACATACTTTTGTTTTGTTTTCAAAGAAATACTGGAGGTTTTATTGTTTGTAGCCAAGGTACATGCAAGAGCATGTCTAGGAATCAATCTATTTCTAGTCTTGATGACACTAATTTTCATTTATTGAGTAATTAATTGATAATTTTTTTTTTCTCTTTATGGTGATGATTATTTTAATCATCGGCCATTGTTAATAGTAGTGGCAGACAAACTATTACAGCTAGTCTCAATTATTACTATTATTAATACATTAATCATTAATGATTATCACAAGTAAAGTAGATATTGTAATTTAAGATAATATTATTGGCCAAAGGATGTTGTTTTTCATGACAAATATTATCATTATATTAAGATATTATTTTTAATAATTAAAATCAATAAATAGTAGCCCTAGGTTAGATAGCCAATCAGAATACAGTATTTCTGATACTAGATATTCAGATCTGCTATTCCCAAAGATTTTGCAAATCTGGAGATTGTGGAATAGCAAATAAAGAATATTAACACAAATGACAATTTACTGTTTGGGCTTCCTGTGGCAATCCACAGGAAGGTGTAAAAGGTATAAAAATTGTTGTGCCCTTGATTTGAAATATACTTTGGGTAACGTTTTGGTAACTTATCGATAAAAGTCTGTGCCATTAATGAAAGACCTGCTTTTGCCAATTTGAATGTTTTATCTGAGAGATTTGTTTCTTTAAAATGTGGTGTCTCAAAATCTGGAGACTCTCAGAAAAAAATGTTGTTCTTACAATAGCCCTAAAAATTTGCATTTTCGACAAATAACACTAAGGGACGGTCCATTTAACTTTTGAAGGGGGGAGGGGTGATTTTGAAAAAAAAAAAAAAAAAAACCTGCAAGCCATCTTCACCAAAAATAAAAATTGTGCACAACATATGAACCTGAAAAAAAATCTTGCACCACCCTAAGCCCCCCAAAAATGTTACATACAAGAAGAAAAAAAATCCTACACACCACCAAGAGAAAAAAAAATTATATCCTACCCAAAAGCCATGAAGAAAAAAATCTTGCATCCACCCCCCCCCCGTCAAAAGTTACATGGACCGTCCCTAAGCACCCTGTATTCCCCCGAAGGCCTAAGGGTGAAGCCTTCTGGGAACACAGGGTTAGTATCAAAGAAAATGCAAATTGTTGGGGTTACAGTAATTGCAACATTTTCTCATGCTTTCTTTTGTTTTCAGTGGCACCAAACAATCCATCCTTACACCAACAACTATTCCATACAAATGTTAATCTTCAATTGTAACTCTCTTTAAAGTTATACAGTTTGAATGTTAATTCTTATATGTATATACCTATACACATATCTTAAATATCAGAGGAAGGTGATTGATCACTAAAACATGTCAAAATGCCTTAATCCATTTAAAACAAACAACTATTCCATGCAAATGTTTATCTCAAATTGTAACTTTATTTTTTAAGAATCTATTGCCAAATAAACCTAGTATTTATTACCTTTGAATTTGAAAAATGATTCCATTTATTTAATGCATACAGTCTCGGAAGTAATTATTTTAATTTATTCCATCATTAATGCTACGCCCTGTTCTGAGGTGGAAGCTTTTGCCAAACAACATCATTTCTATTTCTGGTGGTGACAATTCTCTATTAAGCTTGACTTAACTATTATTGTATGTTTGGTCTACTGGCCTGATATAATAATTCAAACAACAAATAAATAGAGTTATTTACCAAAGTGATGACATCACAAGAGAAATATTTCTGTGTTTTTCATAATTCTGAGAGGACATCATTTTCAAAAAATTCACATCAAATTTCAGTGTCCTAGTGCCATTCAAAAAATAGATATGATTACATTTAAGCTTATATAAATATTCTCAGGTTATTTTTTAGGCCATCATGTCCAGCCAAGTGATATTCTTTAATAAAGTAAATTCCTTGTTACTATTAAACATAGAATATCAATGATCTATTTGTCAATGGTTATATTTTTGCAATGAGTTGTAAAGTTGCATTTGTTTTAAACAAAGGATTGCTGTTTTTAACAGCCACTATAAATTATTGTCGATCACAGTTGATTGAAGAGAAACAAAGGACTTAATGAGCATGAAAAACAGCTGTGACATGTGGAGTTTAATGCATACTGGTAAGTACTTTCACAAGCCATTAATGATTTTGGTAGCCATGTGCTCAATAAAAGACAGAAATAGGGCCAAGTACAATAAATATAAATGCGCCATTATTAGTAATAAAAAACTAGAAGGCAACGTTGATGAAGGAAATCAAACTTTCCAAACATTGGTTTCATTGCAGCTATAATATCTATTTTATAAGAAAAATGATAAAGCACTATTTTTACTAGTGAAGTGAGCAAAGAATTACAAAAATAAAAACCCCATTTGCAGGCATGTGAAATTAGTAGTGAACAGAGAAGGAAAAGATGAATGCAGTGTTGCATGAAGCAGAATAAGAAAGAAGGAAACATCCTTTTTACTTTTCTTTGATTAAATTTCCAATAGTGAAAATTGGCCTCAAGCATGCAACATGTACTACGTGCACAGACAAGCCAGTCTAAAGCAAGTGACATTCCATGCACTCAAGTTCCATAGACTTCCTAAGCTTGTTTCTCTGGTGGTCTCAATCTCTCACTGTCACAGCTAATAACAGAGGAGAGACATGTCCAGAAATTTTACAATTCTTTTAAAACAGACCTGAGGTATACCAAATTTTGTCTTTTTAATGAGAGAAAGCTTCAAAAAATAATTTAAAAGTGAAAGCAAAACCTGACTGTATAGGATTGTTGGGAATTTTAAGGCTATACACAAGAAGTGGTGAAGCATGGTATTATCTTCCTTGTCATTTCTTCTAAATACTCCCTCATACTCTAGTGTGTATCAGTGAAGCGCAATGACATTTTTCAAAGGGGAAAAATTACAAAATTCGAGATTTGAGAGAAATGAGAGATGAACAAAACTGGAGCCAAAAGGGAACTTTGATTTAGCTCTTTTCACCATATAAGGACAGATAAACCACAGTCAGTGGGAAACTTAAAACTGTTTACAAATCCAAGTTTTAGTTTGCAGAACCACAAAGGGACGCTGACATTGTGCCTGTCGTTTCGTTTCTTTTTTGTCAAAGTATTATGATAAAGAAAATATCGCACGATCAATTTTGGACATTTGAACAATAAACATGCTTTCAAACACTTGAAGTTTTGTTAAGCTTACTGAAAAAATGCTCATTGATGATATTTTATGCTAACAAATTAGCAAAAATAATAGTTGTTCTTTATTAAAAATATTGAAGCTTTGTTGGGTTGCGAAAGAAAGATGCGCTCGATTTTTTTAGCGCAAGGAAGCGACAACTTAAAATTTCATAATAATTAAGCAATTGTTTTGGTTTTGTCTAATTTTTATAACCCTTAAATTACTTGAAGAAAAATATTATTTCAAAATAAAAGGAAATAGCTATGTGATTCAATTTGAATATGTAAAAATGTGAAAAGATTTTACAGTTTGGGTTTTTCTATAATCGCGTGCGGTGTTTGAATGAGTGAGATTATAACACTGAAAAGTAACTATTAGACCGAGATAAATTAGTGTCTTTTCTTTTCTTCACATAACAAAACACGTTTGAAGCGAGGTGACTGAACGTCTAATGAATACAGAACAGCCCTTCAAAATAAAAATAATTGTAAAATAATGCGAGATTTAAAGCATCACTGAATCCAAACAAAGTCAATGACACAAAACATTACGCAGGAATCAAAACTAGAATTTATCGATTTTATATTGGTATGAGCTCAAAGTAAAACTTACATCGCTCTGTACAAAATAAAAATGTAATTGATGAAATAATTAGGGGAAATTCGCCTATGGCCAACATTTCTGGACATGTTAAAACTCATCTCGTCGACGAAAAAACGGAATAATTTTCAATGTGAACGAAAGTGCGCGAGAAGTTGCCTGATCCGTGATTATTTTGATTATATAATTACTATATCTCCCAGAAATTACACTAAAGATGAGCTAATAAACGGTTGTTGTATTAAAGGCATGCATTATAGCACAACATGAGGCCACAATGACAAGAAGAACTAGGTTAATTCAACATGGCGCGATTTCACTTTCCACACGAGGCAACTTCGTTTCTCCAAATGCGCAGGCTTTCATGGCCAAAACCATTCAATGACTCACCTTTAGAGCTGAGGCATCCCACTTGAAGCTTTCTTTACCCTCCATTTTAGTTTGAATTGACTTTTTGTGGTTTAAACAGGCATTATTTGTAAGCTCTTTGTGGAACAGTCAATGTCGTGTGCCGTTTTATTTCCTGTGCATGGTGGGGTGGGTGGTAATGTTGATAATAAGGATGTGACGTCATGAGCCAGCCCAAAGGTGCGCCAGTTGTTCAAACACAGCTATCCCAATAAAAATTGTTCAGTTCGAAACTTTAGCTACTTCTCGCAAAATGTTAAAAATATTTTAGTGTTAGCCCTTCGCGAATAGGTTTAATTTCTAGAAACTTAGTAAACATTTGTCATTTTAACTAAGGACTGCGGCAAATAAATCAAGACTTTGCCAAGAGTAGCCCAAAGCATAGCCAACAGCTTTTTTTCTGTTGCGGGGTGAGGTCCGGGGTATTTTCCAGGTCTGCTCTTCAACTATTGCGACTTCGGAAAATACTGGTAGATTTTGGGTAATTGTCTTTTGAATAAGCATAAAAATTATGACGACTTCCTAACTCATAAACATTGTTTACTATGCCTTAATGATTAACATTCTCATAGGAAGCCATGATTACTCTTAGCGGGGTTCCCGCATGTCTCAGAAATAATCGTCCGGAATCGCCAAAAACGTGTCTATATTCAGGGGCACAACAATGAAGAAAAACGTTTTCTGGAGAAAACCAATCAGAAAACGACTTAGCATCATTCCTGATTGGCTAATCTGGTTAATAAAAAGATGAGGTAGACTATAAGCAAGTCCAGTAGTCCCGAGGGGATTTTTCAACGAAAATTACCTCAGGTTCCGACACGCACCTTTATGAAGTACCTTTTCACAATTTTCAAAATACTTATTTCAAAAGCACACAAAAAGAGGTCAGGGAAGTCATTCAAAAAAGTTGCTTCTATAAAAACGTTACCCTCTGAGCCAGCCTGCCAACGTATAGTAGGGAGAAATTCTTGAGCTACACCGGTTGATTTTCAACATACGACTTCAATTAATTGTGGACTTTTACGCCAAATTTTTTCTTGAGAATCCCAAGTTACTCTCCTCTAATCTTCTCCTCTTAAGACTTTTTGTCGCGTGACCTATGAGCATAGCGTGACGTACACTTCCTGCATTTCGTAGAATGATGACATATATAGTATTTAGGGACGCTGCCGTGGCACTTTCACTTTCATCTTCGAGTTTATATTTGAGCGGGTGCCGGCGCCAGCTGCTATCATAATATGGTAACTTCTACTTAGTACGTATAAACCAAAGTACTTATTGTTATGATAGCTTAGATAATTGGTGTTTCGCTTTTTCCATGGCAGAATCTCGCCATGCGAAGATTCAGTCGACGAAACCACCAAATTCTCGGCGCCGAGAGCAATTCAGAAGCAAGCTTTCACTCATTGCCTGCCAAATAACGACAGAAGAACTGGACAAGTTAAAGTTCCTCTCTGAAGATATACCAGATGGAGAAAGAGAAAAAATCAAAACAGCTGAAATGTTTTTTGAAAAACTTCAGAAACTTAAGAAGCTTTCTCTAGACGACAAAACGGTCCTGGTGAACTTATTACGACAAATCGGTAGGGATGACTTGGCAAGTGAACTGGAAAGCTGGAAATGTTTGAATGAAAACGCTAAAGAGGTATTTCTTGTGTAGGTTAAATGCCAAGAACTCTCTTCAACAGTTATTTTTTTTGGAAGGGTGCTCGGTAACTGTATTTTTTGAGTTTTCTATTTCGCTTTGAAGAACGATTTTTCCAACAGTAAACACGACATTCATGTCCGCTATGATTTGGATTTAGCATGTGAGGTTAAAACATTTTAGCCTTAAACTGGTTTTCACTGTTTCAACGTTTAGGTCGAACTTATAATTTTGCTTCTGAAGCTGTATCATTTTACGAGTTACGTATTGAAACGTTTGCAGTTAGAGTACAACTGAGCTGAGTCAGATTGGATTATACATTTGTCACTCACTAGACATATTCACTTCAAATGATGATCTCCTCTGAATATTAAGAAAGACTATGTTTTTTTAAATATTTACACGCAGATGTGATAACGTCTTTGATGTACAGGCAGCCTGGTTTCAGTTGAAAGGCCTTCGAACTGCTGCTGAGTGCATGGGATACTCGGACGCGCTTATAATTAGTTTTTAACTTTTATATTTGGACATGGTTTATTGCTTTTGATTGTCTAGGGAGGGTAATACGGTTCTCTAATATTTGGTCGCCATATTTTTGCTATAAAAAATACAGCACTTAACCTCTTATAAGAACCTGCAATTTAAGAACCTGTTAGCCTAAAAATATCATTGAAACCCCATTTACATAAGAACCTATTTATCCTAAAATTTGAAACAAGTTCTTATAGAAAGATTCCTTATAGAAATTAACCTAAAAAAATCTTCATGCAAAACAACATGACTCAAAAGTAGTGACCGTGAACATGTATGCACATGGTATAAATAATGTATCATGAAATCAACTTTTAGTGTGATACATGTACTTTTAATTAAAATATCCACTAAAATAGGTCATGGTCACATACTGTCTAAAGGCAAGGCCTGTTCTGGCATTTATACATGCCACCTTTCTACCATTCACAGGTGTATAATATATTTTTCTGATATAAGAACCTATTTAAGAAACTGCGTAGCCTAACATTCCACGCACCATTTACATAAGAACCAGTTTAGGCTAAATTAAAAAAAAAAAAAAAAAAATGGGTTCTTTTTATGCAGGTAATTACTGTATCAATGATTTCATTGTAATTCATAAATTTCAGATAGACAAATTGACCAAGAAAAGTAGAGTCTTCCAAAAAGAAGGGAAATTTTGTTCTGAGAGTGAAATATATGGCAAAATTTTAGAGCTTTGCTCAAATGATGAAGATGGTAAACTGAGCAGATGTAAATTTCTAAAGAAGAGAGCAGCCTCTCTCATTGCTCAGGTAAGGAAATGTTGACCACATTTTTTTGGGCGGGCCACAGTAAAAAGTCGAAAAGTATAGAATTTATAATATTTTAACACAACTTCCCAATTATTTTTTTTGGGGCCGCCCTTCCCTTGGCTCTACGCCTCTACACGCTGTGCTCGTGTTCATGGCTTGATTTTCTTGTGCTCTTCCACCGTGCTTATGAAGAGGACAGCTCCTTGTATAGCGTTTCGTTGTCATTCGGGTTTTTTTCTGCTCAATGATCACCACAAGTTGTTTCGCCTTCTCAGTATTTCCTTTCGCGACTTAACCATAATCCTTAGCGCTAACAGCGTTTTGATGTGTATGACGTCATAGTGTTATTTAAGAATTTGTCCAAGATTCCATAGCACACGGTATTCAAAAAGGAAGTAATTTCGCATTGAGTTCAGTGTTGAGTTTGCATTCTGATTGGGTAAAACAGTTAACAATATATTTATAATTTTTGTTTTTGTATTCATCCAGGAGAAGTTTGAAGATGCCCTTAAAGATTGCCGAAATGGTAAAGTTCATCTCTTGATTGGAATTGTCTTTAAGATAATCGGATCATGTACCTCGTTTGTCGTGTAATATTCGTATCTGTTTTTTTTAGGTCGCAACGTAAAACGTGCACACAAAAATAATTTTTGCGTGCAGTAACTATAGTTGTCATTGATATTTTTTATGCTCATTTCATATTATTGCAAAGTTCTAGATCAAAATCCACATGATTTGAAAGCTAAGTTTTTTCTGGCACGGTCATATGAAGGTCTTAGGGAATACAGTAAGGCCTACGAGGAGCTTAAACTTCTGAAAGTCTCGAATCCTAAGGTAACCGCGACAAATTCAATCTCGTTTTCAGATATTGCTCAGTTTCCCAAAGGAAAAGGGAAAATCTTTGGTTGGAGACGAATGAATCGTCTGATTTGATTGATTCAAAAACACTAATGAACCATATCGTACGACCCAGATTCTGGGTCTCCCGGTATCGTCTCCAACCACTAGCAGAGCTGCCTTTATACTTTTCCGCTGGGAAACTGAGAAGGATCTGGGTACGAGAAACTGAGAAGGATCTGGGTACGAGAATGTGCAGTGTTCCAATAAATTAAGCCATAAGCAGAAATAGCAATGACCGAACGATTTTGCCCTAAGTTAAGCAAAGCAGTCTCTCACTTCAACTCTCTGTTCAGGATCCAGATGTACTCATACTACTGGAAAAGGTTGCTAGACAGGTTGATAAAGAGGTATGTTTAAAAAATATTACAAATTATCAATTAACGTATATGAAAGCTAGACATAACAAAAAAGGGTCGATTTGAATCATTCATGGTCAACGACAAAAAAAAAATAAACACACTGTGATTTTCACTCTTCAACGATTACGCATGTTTGTCTTACGCGCATGCGCGCGATGATTTGTGTTTTCCCGCTTTTTTGTTACCACACTTGAGAGTAAGGGGTAAAGGCGATGTACAAGGTAAAGGCACCATGTTTTTAAACATGGCCCCATGTTTTTGGCGCTTTCAACTTGAATAGTCTTTAATTCTTTAATCGCATGCATACTTGACTAATTCAAGTCCAATTCTGCTGTTCAGCGGCGAGAGGAATCGCACTCAACAACATGTCAAGCAAGTGGAATTTCCCCTACTGCTAACTTTGGTAGGATAATAGTAATAGTAATAAAGATACAATCGTTGCCAAATAACCTTGCACCATAGAATTATTTGTCTCCATCCTAACATTTTTCTCATATTTTTTCAAAGTTGTCCCCCTTAGCCCACTTTCATCAATGTTGTGCCTTATTTTTGGATGGTTGTATACTATGGTAACATCTTTAATGACACTGTTTGAACATTGGATTTTGGGGGTTAGGGGACTGAAATTGCCTGCTTGTGTTGCTTAAAATAAGGAAATTCGTTGGAATTGTTGAAGGATTTTGTCAACGATTGAAGCTATAAAACCTCTTTTGACATTTATGTTTGATGTTCTTGTTGAATTCCTGACGGCAGTGCGATTTAGTTGCAGATGGAAACTACCCCCATAAAGTTCTGTTTGTCTGCGACAAGTGGTCGGGATGGCACCTTGACATTTATAGCGTGAACAGGCACCTTTGTCGACATTTCGCCAAGTTTGATTGCCTTCGGGTGGCTTGCCTTGTACTGGAGGCCACAGAGAAAGATATAGTCCTAGCTAACAAAGAAGGAATTTCCCTAAAAAGGTGTTCTGTTAGCAGTGGTATCCCTGACGGTGATAACAGACTTTATGCTATGCACGGCGACTTTCCATTTATTCCCGATGTTGTCTTTGGCCATGGATTAGTTACAGGTGCTGAGGCTTCCGGTCTTGCCAAAAAATTCAATTGCAAACACTTTCATATATGCTATGATGTGAATTTTACCAAAGAGGAATTGCAGGTGGGAAATGATGCTGATTTTGTGGCAGCCATAGGTCCGCAACTTGCGAAAGAGTGGAGTAACAAGCTAGGCCGAGAAGTAATCGAGATCATTCCAGGTATTTGGCCAGCATCATTTTGAAAGTAGATTTTATTACTCTGCGTATTGCCCGACATTTCTAGATTTCAAAGGAACAACCTTATCATCTATTTACATTACTTTATTCTCCGCCATTTCCCCCCGCCATTTTTCAAGAGTTCCTCTACATTTTCATCATGGGAATTCAAATTTTCCGATCCTTCGTCTGACTAAATTCTCCATTAACAAATCCAGGAATCAAATTCTAGATGGGAGGTCTTCTTAAAACACCTCTATTTAAGGACAACTCTTTAGATTCCAACGAAAAAAGTGCATTCTTTATGAAAATCACCTCTATATAGTAAACACTCATTTGCGGGCAATATTATCGATCCCCTGTAAACTATTTGGGTCGCCTTACTCATTTTAGTTTTAAACATATTCCATTTTAATATCAGAAATTTCGCAATCACTTACTATTCAAGGAATCATGTTTAATAATCCTACACATGTTCCCTAGGCATTCCATCAGACTCAAGACAACGAAACTCCATACCAACTCCTCACAACAGAGCTTTAATCGTCGATAGCACGGCTAGCACCGACAATGATGTGCTTGATGTAGCAATCAAAGCACTCTTGGATTGCAAACAACGCGATACATCTATGGAAATTAATATTCAAGGAACTCCTCGCGCAAAGAAGGACAATCTCAAGACGAAACTCGAAAGGGAACTTGGTACGAAAAAATTTAAAATTCACATTACATCTGATGATGCTAGCATTGAGTTAGTTGATGGAGATATGCGTGCAAATTCCCTGCTGTTGATCCCATCGTTATCTCAGACATTTGGGATGCGTAGCCTCGAATCCATAAGCTCTGGTGTGCCTGTGATAGTCAGCAATTCATATGGAATAACAGACGTACTTCTTGATCACTTTGACCACAAGTTCTGGATTTTTCTGAGTTCTGCGAAAGAAGAAGATGACTACGAATCCTGGTCCGATCGTATTGATGTCTTTTTAGATAACAGAGATGAAAAGTTCGCATTGGCGTCCGAGCTGAAACACGAGTGGGAGAAGAAGTTCACGTGGGATTCAGCAACAACAAAGATACTTCACCATCTTTCAAGATCTGGGGAATTTCCCAAAGCTGCTAAGGCTTGCAACGAGAATTATCCATCCCTTCCGTCATGCTCAAGTGAGGCCCGCAGTTTTGTTCAAACGGATGTAGAGCTACATGAGCGACGAAAAAGTCATATTTTGGTCGTCTGTCCAGTAGACGCTAGAAAGGATCCAGCTATCCGCCATTTAGCAAAAATTCCTTGGATTGCTGTTTTGGACTTTGATCCACATAGTACTGAAACGGGTTGCCTTTCGATTTGTCAGACGCTTGGTGACGAGTTGGGAACAAAAATCTGTCCAATTCGTTGTCCACGTGATAAAGTGAAAGAAAAAGTCACATTTCCAAACGGTATACCTTGGCTTCTTGTCGATGAAACCCCTGAATGTTTAAAGTGGTTGAAAAATGTAATATCAACACTTGAAACCTCTCATCTAGAGCAAATATCAATGTTGGTATTGTGGAATGCATCGAAAGAAAAAGAGCGACTTACAAGAGCACTTGGCAAATTCCTCAACAACATTGAAGCCTCATCTCTACAGGAACGAGTCAAAGTCGCAATAGATCTTGTAGGTGGTGACAAGGAATATTTCATCAAAGGAATCGAAGAAGATTGGGATACATCCATTTATCATCTACCACTGGCAGATATTTGCAATGCCATCAACGAGTCTGTTTGCGAAAATCCATCACTCCGTGAAAGAGAAAAGTTTTTCTTGCCTGTTGCTGATGGAATCGAAAGTGGAAAAGTTATAATGAAAATTCTTCCAAATGAATCTCGATGGATCAATGCTGAATTAGAAATTCTCTACCAATCTGTTAGCGATAACCCAGAGTACGACTCCAAAGATGCTCAACACTTTTATCGAGGTGGAACCATTTCTTGGTATGCGCTAAGCAAGGGCTATGCTATTAGAAGAAAAAACTGGGATCCGATCAAAGATAAAATAGATGAGCTTTTACCAAGATGTGGCACACTTCGACGCAAGCTTTTCCACAGTCGTGGTACTGGTGGCACAACATCATCACGATGGATCCTGTTTGAATATCATAAGAAATACCCATGTGTCAACGTCAAGTCTATTAACCACCAGGAAACAGCATCAGCGATTAAAGTTCTGGCAGACTTCTGCAAATTGCCTGTCCTTGTCCTGATAGATTGTAAACATGTTCTTAGGGAAGAATTTGATCTGGACATTCTCTACAATAGCCTGTCGAATCAACGTGTTTCGTGTATCGTCTTGGAGGTTTCGCACCGTCAAGAAAACCACGTACCAAGAAAGAAAGAGTTACTTACAATTGCAGAGACCTTGGCTCAGGAGGAAAGAGACAGGTTCATTACAACGTATGGCGAACAAAAACAAGAAAGAGTTCAACGACTGCGCAGCCTAAAGAAGGAACCCGATGAATTACAGATACCATTTTATTATGCTCTCGTGACTTATGAAGACAAATTTATTGCACTGGAACCCTTCGTCAAGGACTGCCTGGAAGATTCTGGGAACTATCAGCGCAAGGCCCTAATATTCCTGTCTTTGTGTCATCACTATGCACACATTGCTGTTCCAGAAGCTGCACTGACTTCTATTTTTGAGGACGCACCACGTGATACCGCTTTAGAAGTACTGCTTACTGAAGATTCGCTGCAGCTCTTGCTCGAGGAAAATGGTGGATGGAGACCACGACATGACCTCATTGGACGACATATGCTGAAGAGGTTACTATCCGATGGCATCAACAAAGACAACTGGATTCAAAACCTTGCAAACGTAGCCATCGATTTCATTTCACATATGCCAGAAAATCTAGTGAGCGAGCTGCTAAAAAATCGTACTTCCACTTCAGAATTCTCTCCTTTGATCGACGAAATTCCAGATGATGATGAAGTGATCAAAGTTTTTGAAAAGGCTATTGAGACATTCCCTGATAATCCACATTTTAGTGTCCACCTCGGGCGTGTGTACAGCATCAAAAAAGAAGCCACTGGCTTTGAAATGGCGGTTCGTTGCACTGACGACGGAATACAGAGCGCTGATCGAGTTTTCGCCTCACGAGAGGTACGAGGACAGTTTGCCCAAATGAAAGGAGTTGTTTATAGCAGAAGAGTTAGTTTTCTAATAAAAGAAGAGGCGCAAGTGAAGGACATTGTTCCATTTGCTGAAGAAGGTGTGGATTGGTTTAGGCGGTCGGTTAGCATTTGTCCTGATGTAATTGATGGCTACATTCCCGAAGTAAAAATGATGTGCAACCTGCTTGAATATGTCCATAAAACGGAAGGAGATTTGCACGACTACCTCCGAAAACCCGAATGCCCAACATTCATTGTCGACGGCATTTCCCAGACAACTGATACGCTTGATTGTGTCCCTGATTCTGAATATTACAGCTACTGGAAGTCTCGACTCGTGTGCTTGGGGCAACGCAAGAATAGAAAGGATCTACGCAAGACTCTCAAACTTCTGGAGGAAATCAGGCTGGACAGTAAGATAAGCAGGGGACCTATCAACCGTAAAATTGTTGAAATCAAGATAGAACTTTGTCGTCATAACAAAGCAGACTTATCTACTGTGGCGAGCGATGTGATTACATTCTTACTTGAGGCACTGAATTACGCACAAAATGTCAAAGAGAAAGAGCTGACAATGCGCCTATGGATACAAATAGCTCCATTTGTCCCAGTTCATCTTTCCGATGCAGAGCGGCTCATTTTCAAGTGGTGCAATGAATGCAGAACGGTACGTTCTCACCTCTACAAATACATCATCAGCTTCATTCATGTTCTAGATGGAAGCAAGCACTATTTGGTAAAGATGAGGAACGCACACCACGATCTGGAAAGTGAAGTCAAAGTCATCAATCGAGGAGACGTTGGAAGGCTTCGACACCCTGACAAACCAGTTGTTTGGCTTGGCTCACAAAATGCCAAGGGTATGGGACAGTTAGTGTACCTGGAAAACATCTTCAAAGATAAAAAGCCGGGAGACAAGAACATCCTTGCTCCAGAACACACAAGGAATCTTCAAACACTGACTGGCATAATCACTGTAATTGAAAGGAATGTAGGAACAATCGTCCTGAAGGATGGTTTGGATGTGCGCTTCAGGACTGACCTTTGTGACCCATCATTATCAAGCAAAACGTTTTGCAATCGCAAAGTGCAGTTTCATTTGGGATTCAACTTCTTTGGCCCTGATGCTTACAACGTGAAACTGATGTAAAACAAACTCGAATGCTCTTTGTCAAACGGCTAGGTCTAGACGAAAATAATGAAAAGTCTACTAGCTTGGACGCTTTCACTAAGTGAGAGTTATCAACTGTACTGAACGATATGATTTAGTTTGAATTTTGTGCATGTTAGCACTGACAATATTTAACGCAATCATAATTTACTACTAAATGAATTTGTCTCGCTCTTTTTACAAACAATTTTAAAAAGAATTTAACTATAAAAGTAAGACTACTTCTTCATGGCATTTTGTTGAAATTAGTAGTTAAGATAATTAAGTTCAGTAATGATTTGTCACTAGATCTATGGTTTTGTCTCTAGATCGAAATATTCCAAGTCATGTACCTTGAATGATTTTAACTGATTACAGGGAAGTTTTAATGCCAAGGAATCGTCTTATTCATAAGGTGTGAGAATAATGAAAATACTCAAACATCAGACTAAACTTAGTTTAATAAACAACCAGTTTAATTCAAATGTATAACGCAGTTGAGATTTATTAATGTGATCGACATTTATAGATTTAGCCAACGTCTTCCTGAGAGGTGAATTTCCCTCAGTGATAATTCATGACGCCCTTGTTATTTTGCATTGTAGCAAACAAGTAAATAAAAGTGCTAAAATTTATTCTCCATCCAAGAGGCTTTAAAACAACATGCAGAACAATTTAATTTTTTTTTGCGAAAAGTAGAGTTCTTCCCTAAAGCATGCACGAGTATAAAACATGAATATGAGGACCGCATGTCACTATGAGATACATGATATAGAAATAGAGGAAAGTTATAGTGCTTAGAAGTAGGTTATTCCGGGAGAAAGATCAGCTTTTTCCTCTAATGACGACATGCTTGTTTTGCCGAAGTGCATCATGGTATCAAAAAAAGTTCAAGATGGCGGATGCAATTTAAAAAGAGAACGAAGTTTCAATGCGAAATTGAGTCTATCCGTTGAAAAGAGTGCTGTTCATTATTAAACATATCGAAATTACAACTGAAGGTTTATAACGGCCGCGACTCAAAGGTTTTTTCAGTAAGTATTTTACCATCAGTACGCCTATAGTGCATGCATCCGACGAGTAGTGAAATCTTGTGAAGTGGTCAATAATGACATTTCTGTCGGATCTGAAATAAAACCATTCCAACTCAATAACATGATCCCACATGTACATATTTGTTATGGAATAGAATTCAAACACCATGCGAACTACCCAAAATGTATGCAAAGGATAGTTTTATCACCGGGTATTCAGAAGTGAGCCCGCACGCTGGAGTTCAGCGATGATACCTATGAAATATGATTCCGCGCAGCTTTACGGAGTCGAAAAAAATGAATGACGGTTTTAAAGAGGTATGTATGCATCACACACAATACTTACACAAACACGAAGAGTCGGCTTGTAAATTAAGGGACTACAACGATAATATTGACATACCTTTTCACCACCAAGTGGCCCTCAAGCTCCAGCTCGATCCTTTATCTTTGGAGGAATGAACTCCTTTACCCGAAACTAGGAAACAGTATTAATTATAAACGTGAACAGAAATGTCGAAACGTTTAAGAATCAAACACTTAAATGGTAAGATACCTCAGTTATCGGCCTATGACACACGATGCATTATGGGAAGCACGATGTGGTAACAAAAAGCGTCCTTACTATTTCTTTCTCATCCCCTTGAGCATGGCGCAGAATAGACTAGAATAGATTAGATTTATGTCTGCGCAAAACCAAAAACCACTGTTTTTGTTGTGTTTCAGTTTGATTTCATTTTTTTCATCTAATTATACCATAATGTGTTTCTCTATATTTTGTAACTCTAAAAAGGGACTGTCTAGCCATCTTAATCCCCCCCGGATCCAGCCTTGAACTACTCACATCCATATGTAAAGCTGTCAACGTCGGGGAGTACATCGTAAGAGCCTGGTAACAGCGAAGACTCGTCATCATTGATCACGACAGTGTCGTTAGAAATAGCCAAAGTAATGACGTCTCCACTCGCAGCTCTTCTGCTCGTGAACTCGATCTTTGGTATGACATCCCAAGGCTCCTCAATTGTGGACGAGCTTTGGAATGTAATGATTCCCTCTGGTCCACCAAGACCATAGAGTTTGTCGGTGGCTTTGTTGTAGAATGCGACATAGCGGACCATGAAGTGCAAAGCTACAGGTATCACAAAAAGCAATATAAGCGATTCATTGTTGAATAAGTGACTCAAGTAAGCAAGCAAACGATCAATCGATCAATCAACAACTAATTAACCCACCATATCGTCGTTCAATCTATTATACCTTGCTGCTGCGTCTGTCCATCGCCAATCAATCAATCAATCAATCAATCAATCAATCAATCAACCGATCAATCAATCAATCAATCAGTCAATCAATGAATTAATCAATGAATGAATGAATTAATCAATCAATCAATTAATCAATCAACCCTTCAATCAATCCATTCATCATTCATTCAACAATCAATCAAACAATCACTAAGTCAATAAACAAACCAATTAAGTAAACAAACCAAGTAACCAACCAATCATACTAACGTTCAATTTCTCATACCTTGCCACGTCTGTCCATCGCTTGCATTTGTAAAATGACAGCTCGATTCACCAATTTCTCTGTTACGATAAACAACACAAAGTGGCCGTTATAGTTTTATGTACAGAAAAAAACAATCAAGTGTACTGGCTTACCTGTTCATTCCAGAGCTACAAACAATGATTTTATCTGAATATGATATCATGGATCGTTGCGGGATCTCGATTGGAGGAGCTGTTGGAAAAAAAATCAGATGGCATTCAACTGTTGTCAAAAGAGGAAAAGGGGGAGGGGAGGGGAGGTAGAGGAAGAAAAAGACAAAGAGTATGGGCACTTTTCATTGCATTGAACGGTCACAGTGTACTAAATCCGCCATACTCGATGGCAAAATACCCACTGGGATGTTCAAAACAAAGTCAAGCTTGACGGGCTGCGCTCATTTTGTTTTTGAGGTTGTTTACATTCTTTTAACGCCCAGTTTGGCGGATTTAGTACCATGTGACCGTTTCATGCAAAAAGTCCTATTAGGCGGACAAAAAAAGGCTTAGAAAGTTTTTGGTCTTTGTCCAACCTTTCACAGATGTGCTGGATTTACAGCCATAGAACTCGACTTTCATCGCGATAGCGTTTTCAAAGTCCACTGGGCGGACGCGAACGAACTTGGCTTCAATGTCATAAGGCAAAGGAACAATCGTGGTTCCTTGGCACTTTCTGTTAGTTTGAAAAACCTACAGTGAAATAATTATGGTAAATGATCGCCAGATAGAAAATAAGGGTCAGTTGAAAACTCCCCCAGTTCAGTTAATCTTGAGAAGTTATACTTCAGCAGCATGTTAGTAGGACTGTAATGACATAGCAAATATGGCCAGATCCTGCTGTTAGATGGTAAATCCTCTTTGTATGGAGTCGAGCTTTCGCTGTTCTACAGCATCATCCTTTCGAACTTTGAAACAGACGCTCAAAATTGTTTTCATTAACGCCATCTGAGAATATGGTTATTCCCTACATTGCATACGATAAATTCAATGTCATAAAACCATTTTTAAGCGACTCCTTCAAAGCTCGTATATCGAATGAAGCCTTGTTTGACGTAATTTTCATTAACATATTGTAAGAATGAACCTTCATTACTCAAAGACACTGAAATGCAGGAATATTTCACCATTCAATTATTTATTTTATATAGAATCAGGTCACAGAGAATCAGAAATGTTTTTATCAGACGTCATAGGCACTTAAAAACTCGTACAAATAGAGCAAAAATGAACAAAGAGGCAGTTTTCTGTTACCTTAATATGACTTCCCTCCATGACTGGTTTCCATGTAGCACCATTAACGGTGTGATAGACTTCAACTGCTTTGACATACCTATTTGTATCATACCCACTAGTATCGCACTGGCCTTGGACAGCAAAACGACGAAGTTTTACTAGTGAAGTAAAGCGGACCTCGAGGTACTGTCGAAGATTGGTCCTGACAAGACAACAAGATCGAAAATTATACAATTTTCGGCTTTTATTGCTTTAATTCCGAAAACAGTTAAAGGAATTGCTCGTATCGTTCTCATGAGATCCAAAAGACAAAAAAAATGCGGCGGCCATGTTGCGAGGAATGAAAAAATAGATACTTTGTTGAATTTCAATCAAGTTGGTCGCCGTGACGTGTGTTGCAAATGAAGAATATTTGAGCTGCCGCATTAGTTGCGCGACACTGGCGGTAATTTTACCACACGTGCGAAGAATCTGACAATTCACATTCAATTTCACAAACAAGTTTCAAGAGAAAATCGCAGCGAATCGCACTTAAGTTTTGAGCATGTTTCATTTGAGGCGAAACAAACCTAAAATTTATCGCTGACTGTGAAATCGCCATGACTTAGTAGTAAGTACGTTTACACGGACGATGGTGCATCTCTCACCGAACATCTCTCACCGAACATCAGAGCGAGATAGGGCAATTACCCTATTTCGTTATGACGACACAGCATGTTTACATCGAAGAAAAGATGCTCAAAACAAGTGGAAATTTGGACCTATTTATATTCTCTCCGAAAGTAGAACTTCCAATGTATCGTGTTTTGATAAACATTATATATTAAATATTGCTCATGAACATTGTATTTGATATGCAGCCCTCTGTTTCCCTTCTGGCGACCATAATCCTTAGCGTTAAAACAATAGAATGTTTTGATGTGACGTCATAGTGAAATAGGGCAATAACCCAGTTTCGAATTCTCCAATGCTCTGTGTTAGCCTTATTTGTTGCACGAAAAATATTCCTAATTGTGAGAATAAAAGTGTGAGATTTCAAATCAATTCTATTGTCTTTCTTTTCAAATTCCATGCGTTTTCTCGGGCTGTCAGAGAAACAAAAGAATATGTTGCTTGGTTTTGAGGCTAACACAGAGCAAACCAGAACTCGAAATCGGAGTATTTTAACGCGCACATTGAAAATTCTACAGGCATTTTCTAGTGCATTTACTTGAGTGAGTTACTTGGCTGCCAGGCTCCAGGACTGCTAAATTTTCCCTGTTCTGGTTGACCTTGGTTGCTGTAGGACGATGCATAGAAAGATTCGTACACAATGTTGTCATTCCCGCTTCCAGGTGCGCTATCACATGTTTGAACTAAAAAATTAATAACAGAAACATTTTGCAACTCGTGGATTGTGTTCGAGTGAAGGCTTATGTCCCCTGCATCGAAAATCATGGTGTAATAATGAATAAAACACTGATTAATTAAACTTAAAGGGTAACTGAACTCCCAAATTGACCCATTTTGGAAAAAATACACCCAATGCCGAAACTAAAAAAAAAACACTTTTTGGTACATGAAGAGCACTTTTGATATCAAAATTTACCATTTAAAATACCCGCCAGCGCCTCTCTGCTGTCCGACATCTTGCCATTGTGGGGCTCAAGAAAAATGGTCCGTGACGTCATATAGTGAGGGATTTCAGCAGAGAAGGCGAGTAAAGAAATATAGTCTTTTGAGAAAAATATTGCCATGTTTAAATCAACCCATAGTAATTATAATAATTTCAGAAAGGAATAAAAGTAAGCAGTAAAATGACTCAATAATGCAATAGTTGCCAGTAAACTTACATGGCCTATAAATTGCGCCGCCGGCCGAGAAAGAATCACATATAGGATAGTCTTGAACCTCACTCGCACACGATCCTGATCCCTGAGCTTTGACGTCAGCATAAAAAACGACATTTTCAAGGTCACGCCCTTGCTTGGAGCTCGAGGGGGTAAAAGTGAACTCTATATCAATATCCATTATTTGCTGAAAGTCCATCACTCCGATCTACAACAAAGAGATAAAAAGTAATACAGTCAATACAAAGTTCTTTGTTACCAAAAATAAAGAGGGTAGACAGAAGTTTTATAGGCACGGGGTGCACGGGCACCATGCAGGCAAAAGGCCCAGAATCGGAACTTATAGCGAGAATTATACACCGGAAAAGAAAAAAAATGACAAGCGCTAGCCTATTTTTCATGTCCATTCTTTATAAAATAGTCCATCAACTTCTGTATTAACAAGTAGAACATTAATTTGGTATCCTAATAAACTGCCATCTTGCCTGTCGTCTTTTTTTCTTCTAAAAGGAAAACAAGTTCATTATACTATAGCAAATATTTGTTTGTTGGTTGGCTTGGTCCCCGGGCTCCCTGGTATAATGACGTCATCAGAGAAAACAAAACAAAACGTCGAAGACTCGAAAGGCGTTGGCGAAAAACAAAACTAACTATTGATAAAGAACTTTATGAAAAACAAAGGAAAATCGAATTTGATCTCATTCATGTTGCCAAAATGTCTTATTATTCTAAATTGATTGATGATTCTGGCTGTGACAATAAAACCTTATTCTCAAATATAAATAAGCTTCTACATCGAACTCCAGAAAGAAAACTTCCTACTACACCTTCAACGCAAGTCCTTGTTAATAATTTTGCTCACTTCTTCAAAGATAAGAYWACCAYCATMAGAGATGAACTGTCAACTCGTGTCCTTCCTGATTCTGATATCTTCGTTGATCTGGATTCTCCTTCTAAAGATTGCTGTCTTGATTCATTTATGCCTGTCAATGATGAAGACGTATTTGTTTTATGCAAAAAGCTGTTATCTAAGTCCTGTAGCCTCGATCCTATTCCTGCTGATCTTTGCCGTCAAAATCTTGGTTTGTTATTGCCTGTTATTTGTAAAATTGTAAACCTATCACTTAAATCTGGATCTGTCCCGTCAACTTTGAAAACTGCTGTAGTGCGCCCTCTGTTGAAAAAAACCTTCTCTTAACCATGAAATTTTCAAGAACTATCGTCCAATTTCTAACCTAAAAATGGTTTCTAAAGTAATAGAAAAAGTGGTACATAATCAATTAAACGCCTTCTTGTCCCTCAACAACTTATATGAGCCTTTCCAGTCAGCCTACAGACCTTACCACAGCTGCGAGACTGCCCTTCTTAGGATTTCTGATGATATTCTTCAATCACTTGACAGACGTCAATGTGTTGCTATGCTGTTCCTCGATCCGCTATGCTGCCTTTGATACCGTCGATCACTCAATTCTTCTAAATCGTCTTCGTTATAAGTTTGGTGTCAGTGGAAGTGCTCTTCAATGGTTCAAGTCCTATCTCTCTAATCGCCATCAATTTGTATCCATAGATAATGTCTCATCCGACTCTCTTCCGCTTGGTTGTGGTGTTCCTCAAGGTTCCGTCCTGGGCCCGGTTCTCTATCTCCTCTACACTTCTCCTGTCGCTGATATTCTCCGGAAGCATAAAATGTCATTTCATTTCTATGCTGATGACACTCAAATCTACATTCCTTTCTCCTGTAATGATGAAAACGCCTTGGATGCTGCCTTAAACAGTATTAAAGCTTGCCTCTGTGATATTGATCTCTATGACTATCAACAAACTTAAACTGAATAAGGACAAAACTGAATTTCTTATTTTTTCGTCTAAGCACTCTCTATTGAGCTCCTCACCGGTAATCAGCTTTGGCTCTGAAATAATTCATCCCTCCTCTTGTGTTCGTAACATTGGTGTTCTTTTTGACTCTTCTCTGTCCTTGGCTAATCACATCAAAATGACCTGCAAATCCTCTTTTTATCATCTTCGAAACATTTCAAGAATCAGAAAATTCCTGTCTGTTAAATCTACGGAAATCCTTGTTCACTGGTTCATATCATCTAAACTTGACAATTGCAACTCTCTACTATATGGCCTCCCTAAATATCTGATTGATCGTCTACAAGCTGTCCAAAATGCCTGTGCTCGTCTTGTCATGCTTTCTAAAAAACATGACCACATTACACCTCTGCTTATCAATCTTCACTGGCTTCCTGTCTCCGCACGTATCAAGTTTAAAATTCTCCTTCTGACTTTTAAAGCTCTTCATGGCCTGGCTCCTATTTATGTTCAAGATATGCTTAAAAACTATCGTCCTTCTCGTTGTCTTCGTTCGTCGTCTCAACTGTTACTGTCTTCCAAGTCTTACAATCTTAAAAGTTATGGTTATCGTTCTTTTAGTGTTGCTGGACCTTTTCTATGGAATTCACTGCCATCTTCAATCAGAGACATTTCTTCACTTGACAATTTTAAAACTGCTCTCAAAACCTTCCTTTTTAARCAAACTTATGATYTRYRACTCTATTTTAACTTTCTTAATATCTTAATTTTTACCTTTTTATTTGCGCTTAGAAAAAGTTTTATAAGCGCTTTATAAGCTTAGATTATTATTTTGAGTGAAATAAAGGTCTTATAATAAACAAAATTTCTTGCGCTTTCAGTGGTGCTTCAACTTGAGAGATTTTTTGCGCGTTCAGTGCAATTCTAACGGAAATAAGAACAGGAGAAATTACAATACAAAAGGGGTGTTAGGTTTGAAAGGAATATTTACCCTGCGAAACAGAGTGCATCAAATGTGGCTTAATTCTTAGCCCTTTGTGCTGTCATTTACCTGGAAAACAAGACCAGACACGGCTTTCTTAGTTACGTCAACTGACCCAGTATTTTTTGTAAATTTGCTGTACGTAAAAGAAGGTGGTTTGTCGATGGTTACTTCAGCACTGGTCGCCTTTGCCAAGGTACGAAGACAGTCGTGTGAAACCTTGACTCTGACAACCATTTTGGATTGGCTGAAGAGAGTGGAAAGAATTGCTTTAGTAGTGATTATGGAGAGACTTTGATTCCAGTTCCATAATAATACACATTGCAATTTGTGAAGGCTATAAACTAATGGACCGGGTTGTTCAAAGCTCCATTAGCGTTAATCAAGGGTTAACTCCATAGGTTTTCTAACAGTTAACCCAGTATTAGCGCTAATCGGGCTTTGAATATTGCGACCGTGGAGTTACGTCGTTTTGTCTTTTTGGTAGCCCTACAGAACTGAACTTGCTACCGTACAACAACGTACGAACAATCTCTCGTCACAAATTATTTCTTTTGTGACTAGATCTAAAAGCTACCCACTATACGAGAATGTACTACCTGGCATCAAAAACAGGTTGAGCCGGTTCGACTTTGACGTTGAGAGTCGGTTGAGGGGAATTGCTTGACATGGTTTTCACGCCATGTTGAAGAGCAAACACTGCTTCATCTTTATATTGGACAGCAAAACCAGGCCAAATAACTGCACCGTTGGAAAAGCTAGTATGTGATATTAGCTGAAACTAGAGTAAAAATTAAAGGTTCAAAGCTTGTTTTACCATATACTATAGCAATGGCAAGGACTACAACTCCAATCATTCTTTACTGTACAAAATACAGTCACCTCTCGCAGCCATTACTTGGCTACTTCCCAAAACAACAACAACGGCTACGAGAGGAGACTATAAAAAATGGCGTCGCTTCAATTTGTGACAATTTTTGCGGACACCCTCCCTGGGTGACCTATACCCCTCCCAGGAGAAAATCCTGGACCCGCCCTTGTACTGGGTTGGGTTGTGTTAAAAGTGCAACCTTTTAAAGCTATTAATACTGTGTCCAAATCTGTTTTAACAATGAACTAGGAGTTCCTCCCATTGCAATGAGAAATTTTATTGGTTGATAGAAGAATACCTTGAAATCAAAGTACATGACACATGTTCCAGTGACTGTTACAGTACCCAAGTCGATTTTTAAGTCGTCTTTCAATTCAGCGTTGTTGGTTCTTGCGGTTATATTAGACAGTGAACTTCCAGTGTAAGACGTACAGTTGCTTTCCTTTGAGACTTTTGACCCCAAGATTATCATATGTGGTACTGAGCTGACATGTGGAGCTCGAACCTTGAGTGACAGGGGGGTGGAAGCCGTGAGCGTTGCTTTGAGTGTGAAGTCCACGCATCGCCCAACATATTGCCAGTCGGTGGATTTTGACAGTTCAAATTGAAAGCCTGCAACCTACAAATAATGTTTGAATACAAAAAAAGTTACAAGGAGAAGATATAGTGATGCTTTAAAGTTTGCTCGGTTTGTGACGCGAAAATAAAGTGAGAAATGAAGGCATTAGGCTTCTTATCTAGAGGTGTCCTTTGTTTGTCTTTGTTACACTTTGTTGACAATGATAGTTAGAGCTCGTCCCCTTTTTTTGGACAAACCGCCTCTTGGCATTTATTTTTTTACGAATTTTTACCCCTAAAATGCCATTTTTATAAGCTTTGATGCAAACTATTTCAGACTATTTTCGTAAACCAAACATTTTTTAGGGCCACGAAAGGCGAAAAGGACCCCATGTGACACTGACGTAAAATGGTACATTCGAGAATTAACGAAACATGACTCTTACTAATATAAAACGGTTCAGCCGGGAAGCAGGTCGGAATGATGATTAAATTATAAAGCAAGTGAAAATATAGGAATTATACTTTGATAATGAAAAGAAAATCAAAGAGAAAAGATTGAATACGTAGACAAAAATTAAGAGTGGAGGAAAGTAGACGAAAAGATAGCTATGAATAAGGAAAAAGAGAAGCAAGCGAAAATGACTTGAGATGAATGAATAAGATATTTTGGATGAAGAATAAAAGTTGAAGGCGAAATAAAAGATAGTTTTGATATTGGAGGATGAAAGTTGACGGAGATAGAAAAACCACAAAGCTTTAGAAGAAGAGTGTGAATCACATTGACAAAGAAGAAGACTTAAAATACGTGGAGAATTCCGAGTTATGTGATGAAGAGGAAGAAGCAATAGTAAAAAAATAAAGAAAAGAAGCAGACGAAGCCAAGACTTTGAAAGTTGAGCCATGCAGACAATTATGGAGCATGAAATGGAGGCCATATTTGATGGTGTGAAGAAAAGGAAATGTGAGAAGAAAATAGAGGGGAAGAAGAAACAGGGCTAGAAGCACTAACGAAAAGTACGATTTAAGATAAATAGAGAAGACATAAATTATCAGAGTGACCAATGAAAAGCAGTAGTCCGCGCAGAACCTGTCAAAGAATACATCGCTAATCAAATCATTCACCAATGTCAACACATAAAATCAACGTCAAGACTAACCTCTTCCAAAAAACACTTTTCTAGGACAAATAATACCAATAAAAGTTTGGCAGCTAGCATTTTGAACGAAAAGTCATCACTGCACAAGAAAAATGGTCTTGTTTTTGCATCAGAATTTGATTCTTAAACCATCTGCGTACACGTTGCTTTGACGACCTTTCAGTCATTTGAAGTTGGCCTCTGAATTATTGATACTTTTGAAGTTTGTTAACTATGAAGACGTAAAGACTTTTTCAAATTAAAGTAAACAACTAAGTCATACTATTGTTTCGTTGAAAAGGAGCTCATTCCTCCGAAAAGTGTAATTTTACTTTCTCTGTATTTAATTTAATCTTGTTTGAAATGTTTTGTTATGAGTTAACTTTCAAGAATGGTATATATATCTTTTTGATTTTATTCTTTAGGTAGGTTTTAGGTTAATTAGGTATCAACGGGTATTTTTTATGCTCGCAGTTGTTTGTCCAAAGATATAGAAAAGAAATACAAAAGAAATTATGAGACGCTACATGGAACCATTGGATCATAATAGAAGAAAATAAAGTAAGAAAGGCATATTGATTAATGCATTTAAATAATCAATCAATCATATGATTCATCCATCAATCTATTAATCAATTACTGAGTCAATCAATCAATCAATCAATAATTCAATCAATGAGTCAATCGATCAATCAATCAATGAGTCAATCAATCAATCAATCAATGAGTCAATCAATCAATCAAAGATTCAGTCAGTCAATATCAATCAATCAATCAATAAATACTTCATTAAACCAAAGACCAATGCTATACTTTATTATACCATTGTTTAGCCGTTAATCGGCACAATTTGCGATTTCACAAGATCGATGACAAAATCAAACTAAAATAAAGGATAAATAAAATGGAATAATTAATTCAATTAGTAATATACTACACTATATTTTATACTACATCTATGTATATAATTGTTCAGAAATCTTCAGAATTATTTAATCAAAGATCGTCATCATCGTCAAGCTCTGCAAATTTCTCATCCAAATCATCTTCGAGCAAATCAAGGTCATCAGGACACTCGTTAAGCTTTTCTAAACTTTGTTTAATAGTCTCGTCCAAACCAGCTAGATATTTATCTAGTTCACAGCTATCATAGTTAAGCTCTTCAACTTCGACTTCTTCGGACACTTTCGCTGAAGTCAACATTGCGTCTTCTCTAACAAAATCTCTCTCACTCCCTCCCTGGTGTTGACTAGACTGGCACCCTCCTGATTCAACTTTCCGGTACTCGCCGTCAAGCCAGTCATCAGCTTTAGGTTTGAGTTCAGTGGGAATGCTTTCACTGTTCGATTTAACGCGTGTTTCTAGACTCTGTGCTTGAAACATTTGTTTGACAAGTCCGTGGTTTAGGGTAGTGCCGTCTCGTTGCGACCCGCAGTAGCTTGTAGGTGAAAGAATCGTGGTTGGGAGCGCCTGAGTTATAATTGGATGGCTGCTTTGAGAGCAAAAGGAATGGGCATGCGTGAAATGAGAAGGAGGTGACATCACATCGGTTGTAGCTTGGCAATTTTGCTTTTGAGGCGAATTCATAGTCTTCACTGGTGAGCAGGATATTTCCATCATACGCTTTTTCGCAGGACGAGGTTGATACACCCAGTTAGGAAATTCCATTTTATGTTTCTCCTTTAACCGAGTAGCTTCGTCGAAGTACGGCTTTTGTTGTTCTGTCGAAAGATCGTTCCAAATTTCACCCAGCTTCACTGAAATTTCGGCGTTATTCGCGTAAGGATATCTTTTTGCAATCGTGGATCGATTCAGCCGCGCCCAGATCATGAATGCGTTCATTGGCCGCTTGATTTTTTGCATATTTTCCTGGCGCATTTGTGCCTGGACTGTGTGGCAGATGTGCGGCATACGGAGAAAAGTTTGTCCCATAGGATCAACAGGAAAACCTTTATAAAGCGGCTTCCACTCAAATGAAATATTTGGACCAACATTGAGATCAGGAGAGCCATTTGAAAGTCTTTTCTCGGGAGTCGCATTTTTCTCAACTTTTTGTAGTACTTGGTCATTTTTGGAGTTCTTTTCTTCTGTTTGGGGAATTTCTTTTTTCAAATCCAACGTCTTAGCAGTTTTGGAGTCTGTTTTGAGCTGAGAAGACGCGTCAACAATGGTCGATTGAAGCATAATAGATCGTACTTCAACGAAACAATCAACCTTGTTTGGTAACAATCACTCTTTGTTTCGCCACAATCAGCGTTGTTCGGCTAATCGAATGAGCGATCGTTGTTTTGCTTAGCAACGTTTTGATTCACCATGGGAACAAGTGTTCGAGCGGAGTTCGCGCACGTGCACTATAGCTTTAGACGTGCGCGTGCATTATAGAAATCCGATCCGGATCCTCGTACCCAGAGTTCCTCGGCCACTTTATTTAGTACGACGCAAACTAAATCCAAACTGGAGATGTGTAGTGAAAACGAAGCACAAAAACAAAGCAAACAAAAACCAGACGTAGAGGCAAATGTATAGACCATGGTGGGAACTAGCGGTAAACTAGTGTGAGCTGCGTCGGTGTTTCTAAAGAAACAGTTATGTAAAAAGATAAATTTAACACCGTAAAAAAGTATGTGGAAAAACTTACTGACGTTTCGGATGTTAATCCTTCGACTTTTTACATAAATGTATAGACCGATTCCATTTGCTTTAGCTGTTAAACGAAAAATTGATACTCGTATTGCGTTCTTAGTTTTCACAACGTCATCAGTTTTTTGATATTGCTATTGTTGTTGTTTATATACATTCTGTATCGATATAAATATCAGTTATCGTTTGAATCGAAGCCCGCGGTCATCGTCCACAGGGATCCCAAGATCCGCTACGCGGCAAGAAATTGGTTTGATGCTTTGAAACGCTAAATTTGTAATAATTTTGATTAACTCGAAAAAAGGAGAACAGTAAATACTGAATCATAAACTATAAGTCCTTTATGTGGTCCAAAAGTATTGATATTTATTTCAAATAATTTCAGAATATGATAATTTGCAATTTAGGCGGGAAAATTGAAAAAACCTCGCGAGCACGCGCATGTCGCTACGATTTCACAGCTAGAGCTGATCATCAACCTCAATTCAACGAACAAAATATGACTTTTTTCATCAAATCTCCCCAAACCATATCAATTTTAAATTACCTTGATTGAAGAATATGCCTGAGGCTAGAAGATGACACGAATTTAATTGGAAAGGCAAACAGAATGGTGGACGCCTCCTGCTTTGACATCACAGATCGAGAGCCATTTCTCGTTGGCCATAAGTCCAGAAGTACAAGTAGGGGCTTTGTTTGGATGGAAATCTTCGAGTCATTCATATTGTAAAGCTGGACTTTAGTTGTAATTGCTTTATGCTAACATTCTTCAGCTGTCGCTTCGCCTCGAGTTTTGACACCACAAATCGGCATGCCCTATGAAGCAGCTGATAGACCACGAGTTTCAAAGTAAATAACCAAAATGACGCTAATTTGTCAAACATGAATAATTTCCTTATGTAATATGTTTTTATCTAATCTATATCTAGGGTTTTACTCACATATTTAGGCAGTTGAATCAGATTCAACGAAGAAAGCAGCCGTTTCCGCTGGAGTGCTGGAATGTTAGATTGAGCACAGGGGCCCCGCGATGTCTAGCAGTATCATTTATGATATCTAACTGGGAAGCGCTCTAAGTGTGCGGATTTTGATGATTTTGAACACTCTTGGGCATCCCAAGGTATTGTTTTCATTGAAGAATCATTTTAAAGTCTGAATTCTTAGTTAAAAACAAAATTAGAAGATAAACAATGAATTCTTAGTTAGAAACAAAGTTAGAAGATGAATAAATCAGAAGAAAAAAGGGACAAAAATCCAAAATAAATGCAAGAATAATCAGAAAAAGATTATCAAGCATTAAAGAATAAACGTAGCTCAATCAAGGACAATAGTGAGAAGCAAGCAGATTATCAAGATCTCTGAACCGTGACCTGATAGCGTGATTGCGTGACAGAATTTGACAACCGGAAGTAGAAATACTTTGAGAATTTCTCACTATATATTTTCACCGGTCATATCAGATTTTTAATAACAATGTTAAAGGTTACCATATCTTGTTGTACTACCCGATAGGTAGATAAGCCAGACGCTTACAACGAAAAACCCAAATAATGCTCAATTAGTGCAGTAAAGGAATTTGCATATGTGATAATAGGCTTCGGATGGGAGCAAAGTTGTTTGGCGTTTCACAGTACGCTTGGTCACTCCAATGGTTCTCACGGTAACGAGAACCTAACTCCACCAAAATGAACTTCTCGAGTACTCCAAAATGACGATCGAAGTCAGCGTTCAATCAAAATGAAAGACAAGAAGGGCTCCGTTAAAGGAAAAGAAGGCAAGTGTATACTCTGTGAATAAGCGTCTTTCAAAGACGCTTTCTTAATACTCAAAAAATTGTTCTTTGAAAATTAAATTGGATCTTGTCTTTCATTGCAAGAAGAAAATCTTGATTGTAATTGAGATTACAACCTTTATCTGGTAATTCAAACTGTAAACGGACTCTTTGTACGTCTATTTCACGATCGACTAACTCGGCGCATTTTCTTTTACTCCAGAGGTCGATAGAATACGCGTTTTTGTACGTATTCGACCACAGAATGAAGAAGAACTTCGACGTGGCGAAACAATCGGTTTTGAAACGATTAAAGAAAGAAACGAGGTAAGTAAGGCCTGATAGATTACATGTACGTATCAGTTACTGAACTTAGCTGTTCAGTTTTATAGTATTTGGAATGCGCGGACAATGCAGTCGGCACTTCAGACGTGTCTAGTACAACATTTTGTTCAACAAACGCCTTAAGCTCGAAGGAAAACTCTAAAAAATTCATAAAAGCTTCATTTTTAGCCATTTTTAATAAGATTAGTACAGCGTTACTTTAATTTAAAATGATAGACTCCATTTCGTATTAATATGGTCCGACAATATTCATGGCGAGTGCGTACTACCAGTAATATAAATAATACATAGTAGCCATAGTGAAGTGGTTTGGGTTTAAAACAAACATCGATCGTTTATTTCGCTCTTATCGTGAAGTATATGCTCCTTACACGTACATGATATCACTGTTTACAGTTAAGTCAAGTTTTACTTGACAGTTGGTTTAAATACTCCTATATTGAAACGAAAAAAAAGCCTACGTGTGTTCAAGATGTGATGAATCATTTTGCGAAACTTAAAAAAAAACAACTTTAACACGTCCGCGAATGTATATTTCATGTTCATTTCATCTGGGTTTTAATTTTCGCGGCAAAATTTGTTTCTTCGAAATCTAATTAGCATTAGAAGTTTCTAAACATTTATTCTATAAAAGAAAAGTCAATATTGAGGTTGTTCATTTTAAGTCAAATCAATTGCAAATTTATTCATATCTAGCAAAGTCTGTGGCCGACTTGTTAAAACAATTATTTAATTGAAGTTCGATTTAAGCCTATCAGATTCACCTCTGGGTGGTAAAATTCCCACATTTAATTATTATAACGTGCAGTATTAAAAGCTCATGGTTGTATACCATGTATTCCTGTGAATAATATCTATTTTTTTGCATTATGAGTTTAGCCCCATGCTGTTGGGAAGAATTCAAACTATTGTCAAGTTGTGTTAATTTTATTTGTCAAAAAAACATTATACACAAAAGACTATTAATTAACGATATTTAGAAGGTTCTTATCCATATTATCAATCAAAAGTGTCATCAATTCTATATTGACAACAAATGGGCGTATTTCATGCAAGATCTCATTTGAAAATTACGTTATATTGCCCATGTATTCCTCGAATGTGGATTCGTGATTTTGGACAAAAATAGCATGCTGGGATTTGCTATTAATGTCGTAGGAATGATAAACAGAAGCAGTCATTTGTTGCCATGACGCACTCTAATAATGAAAAGCATTCACACTGGGTTTGAAAAGCAAATATGCATATGTGCACTTAGCATGCAACCAATGTCCAAAATATGGTACATTTTAGTGCAAAAACTATGAACAATATGAACAATAGCAAATGCAAAATATAATTTGTAGTTAAGTAGATGGTTTGAAGTTCACAACTATAGTTACTGAAGAAAAGGAGAAAACTTTCCAGGCTTTAATTCACTGACTGTATTCATGACAATGGGATTTTGTATTCTTCCCTGCCTAAAATAAAAATAAAGTATTAGCCAAGTCTCACTATTAGCAGTATGAAAAATTTATTCATGTGATACAATGCAAAGGAATCACCTTTCAAGGTTATGCCCACTCCATTTGTAATAATTCTATCACTGCACCACCTTAAGCTGATTCCCTTATACAGCAAAATGCAGAAATTATGATATTCAAGTATATATAAATATATCAGAAATTATGGGATATCATGACCAATATTTTTTTTCAGAAAGTACTAGTGCTAGGCAACTTCAAAAAAATATTGGCGACAATATTCCATAATTTCTGATATATATTTTTATATAAACTTTGAATATGTTTCAAAACAATCATAATTTCTGCATTTGCCAAATGATGCATAGCTTGAAAAAAGGTATCAATAAAATCACTAAAAAGGGTTATTATACCCCATTCTGTGTATTTTTGTCTCAAGAGTTTCTGATCCTCTTCCTGGGGTATGTTTACATGTAAATGATTGTTCATCCATTTTAGATTCTTTGACAAAGGATTATTATGAAGTTTTGTCCTGAAGCAAACAACTGGGATTTGCTATCAATAATCTATACTTTTGAGTAGCTGGAGTAAATTCTGTGTGCCTAATATTGAATATATTAAAACAATTTCTCTGTCAGCTAGTAAACAGTCTGCTGTAATGAGTACTGGGTTCATCTCTAAATTGACCGATCCCAATTCATTGTCCTAACTCCCTAGTTACTGTTGCTACGTCGGACAAGCGAAAATAGAAACAGTTGTGTAAAAAGATAAATTAAACACCGTAAAAAAGTAGGTGAAGTATTTGATTTTGTGTTTCAATTTCACTGGGAAAACTGTTCATTGTTCAGGGTTTGGTGAATTATTTACAATCAGCCAATCAATGAAGCATGTCATATTATGCTTACAGAGTGACCTTTCATGAAACTATTGAGAAATATGTTATTATCAATATCTCAATTTCATATAGAATAAAATGAAAACTAAAACCCCGCTTTATATTTTTAGTTAAAAATTATTGTTATTATTTTAGATTGTTTTATTTGATGGGAAAGAAAGACGATTCCAGTTTGATGGTATATTTCCAGGAAGTTCATCAAACCGAAAGGTAACTTTTACATACAGTCCAGAAATTTAAAAATGGCAATTAATGTCCTTACACTTTCTAGTGTCATGCTGTATTTTTAATGCTAATCAAAAAATGCAAAACAATAAAATGAGCATGATTTGTTTGGAACTATTCAAATTAGCGTAGAATCCTTTGTCCTCAATTTGCAATTTAGTGGCATTTCTTCAAACAAAATGTTTCACAGATATAATGGAGACACGCACAATACCATATGTTAATTTGCAGCACTTTTAGTGTTTTGATGTTTTCAAACAACATTGTTTATCTAGGTGTACTATCAAGCTGGTAAACCTTTAGTTGATGCAGCATTTAAAGGATTTAATGGAACTTTAATGGCTTACGGGCAAACTGGAACAGGTACAACATTATACTTCTGAAAAATTGATTAATAATTTCCAAAACTTTTTAATAAATATACTTTTAAAAATGTATACTAGATCTAGTGTTTTAATGGGAGGAATTTATTGTGCTATCTTGTTGTTTTGCAGGTAAAACATATACACAGATGTCCAATGATGGAATATGTATTCTGTCAGTTCAAAAGCTTTTCAGGAGAATTCAGAGTGATGTGTTCCATGAATACAAGGTAATTTGATTGAATCAGTTATTTTTAGTAAGAATATAATTGGCATATATTTGAAATTGTTCATCCTCCCATTGCTCATCTGTTCATTCATTAATTCTTATTCATTCAGCTCCTTAATCCATTCCTTTGTTCATTTTCTCATCCTCCCTTCTCAGATCACCAATCCTAGTTCCAGTACCTCATTTATTCCACCATGAAATCATCTATTTTTTGGCCATTTTCTCATCCATTTTTCCACATATTGTCCATCCATTCCATTCCTTCATTTGTTTATCTATATTTTCATTTTTCATTTGTCTACCCATGGTCCATTCACTGATTTCATTGATCATCCATACTTTCTTCATGCCATTTTCCCATTTTCCCATGTTTCCTCTTTCCATTTTCCACTTTCCCATTCATCTGTTCACAAATCATAAAATGAATAACAAATACTCCATTCATCCACTCCATCATCTATCTATTTGTTCATTTTGTCGTCTATTTTAACTGGGCATCTTTTCTATCAAGACCAGCTGTGTGAGAGCACATTGCATGACATCTATTTGCTAGAAAGATAGTGTGACAGATGTCCAACATCTTGTCACCACAGATTGTTATTGCCATGGTCAAAGGATGTGTAACTCAGCAGTAGATCAACTATCAAATAAGATTAACTAGAGTTGATAGCATTAAAACAGTTTTAATATGTGTTGACTGATAAAGTGCAAAATTGACTAGAGAGTCATTCAGTGTGTGGGAAAATGACCTGAAGGTCCAAAACACCAAAAATTACTCACAAAACTCAAAACTCAAAACAAAAATGATGAAGAAGAACAATTTCATTAAGAAGTTATCATGGTTCTTTGTCATTTTAACTATTATTTATGTTATTTTTTACTTGGACAATAGGTTTATATGTCCTATCTACAAATCTACCAGGAAAAGATTTTTGATCTACTCAATCCAAACCACAAACTGGAAATGGTTTTACGAGAAGATCCAAAGAAAGGTATGGATTCTACTATTCGATAGATTAAATCTTCCTAACTTCCTAGCACATGACAAAATTTGATGCTTGTCCACAGTGTTTTTTAGTTTCTAGCAATCTGCCACAAATTGTATGCATGTTGTTGCATTTTGGTGGCATACTGCATCTACATGAGCACTGCTCACCATGCCCTGGCCCACCCTCTCCTCAGCATCCCCCTCCTTAGTTAATAAATATACAGTGCGATTCTTACTCACTCATCACTATTGGAAATTATCTTATTTTTAGGTGTCTATGTAGAGAACTTGACAGAGTACGTAGTGAGAAGTGCTGAGGAAGTCATGTCATTAATAAAATCTGGAAAAAAGAGACTCATTTTTGCTGAAACAAGAATGAATAGACTCTCCAGCAGGTACGGTCTTGCAAAAACCTCCTCCGTAGGCGTCTCTTATTTTGTCCTTTCATATCTATGAGAGTAACACAGGAAACCCAAAATATGCAAAATGAAATGTGGCTTGCGGAGGAGGCTAAAGCGTTCTGTGAGCGACAAGTTTGAATAAATCGCGGCGTTATTAGGAAGCCTTTAGAAATGTCGAACAGCACTAAAATCGCTGTTGTGTACTTATCTTTAAAGTCAGGTACTTGTCTGCGAAGTAGCCTATATCTCTCACGCATTTTGTGTTCAAGAAACAATTTAATCTTTGGTTATCCATTAAACTATCTACATCGTTGCTAATGAAAATAATGGATTAATTAACACTGCTCTAAACTCTTTAAATGGTCCATAATGATCCCTAATCCATTAAATGAGCTGTAATGCTTTAATCAGGCCTGAAAACCCTCCAAATAAGGTATCTAGCTACGTACAGTCTTTAAAGGCCTAAGTGCATCCGAGAGGCTTTGCGCGACTTTCTCAAATGCGAAAATTTGCCTTTTTTGATTTTGAACCAATATAAACCGTAACGTTTAACAAGATATTATTGTAAAAACAAAGCAAACGATCGCAAGGTTCTCGAATGCACATTTTGAATAAAAGTTTTCATTCTTGCTGATTCAGTAGTGAAGCTTATCGCTACTCCCATGGCATTGATCAAGCCCTTTTTACTGTTCAACTCCAGTCCCCTAACGTACTGACTCAATGTTGTCTGTCTTTTATATTAAGACTTAAAAATATATCCAATAATATTCTATGATTCAATACCTTATTTGGGGTATAAAGCTCTTAAACTGATTTAATGTGTGTAATACCTGTGATAACGTTTGAATTTCTAATCTTTGACGATAGTGATGCTTCTGGATACCAGTCTCCGTACCGAGGAAGGTAAGGTGATAGGCACGTGATCCCTGCATGCCATTCACTCTACTGTACCTCGCTTGCATTCTGTGCTTACTCATTAACCTAAATGTCATAAATGTAAATGTCTCATTCCCAGTTCCTTCTCGACCTCTATTTGTCGAGGAAGGTTGAAACTAAATTGTCAGGTAGACTCTTCCACAGTCCCTTGCTCGGTCGTTTAATGATCGTAAAGGTCAAAATTGTGACTTTGAGGATAATTAAAACATGATGATAATTTTTTTTTTTTGGAGCGCAATCCTCAAATATCGATAATTTGTGAAGTGGTGACTTTTCAGTACTGATAGTTTTTGAATTTACGTCATGGAGAATTTGACGAACGACCAAGAGACTCGGAAAGAGTCTAAATAATCCTCGTAACCAGGTCACTAGTTACAAATCACTCTTGACGACGTTTTGTCACGTGGAGAAGGTTTAAAACTAAATAATCAATGTTACTTAACATATCTGTCACGGCGATATTCCCCTCAAAATACTAAATTCTTGAATCTGATGGTAACATACTAAATGCTTTAATTTTGTTAAAAAGTATTAACTTCACCTTGAGAACTTAGGGAATTCATCTTGCTTAACATTCTCTGAACTTTTTTATTTAGAAGGGGATAGCGAACTTGAAGCAAAAATGCATCTTAGCCGGTGCTCTTCCATTAGGTTTCATAAGTTCTGCTGAGCAGAACAGCGCATGCGTTAAAATTCTTGCGTACTTACACTGAATATAGCGCTTTGATACGTATATATAATACAACGCATTTGTTATTACTACGTAGAAATACGTACTGCACTATGTAGGCTTAGCATTTGACTTTGCAAAACAACGTATGCGTAACTGTCACGTACGTATTACATTGTATGTAGCGTAAACGATATTGACACGTACGTACACTGTAGCAGATGCGCTATCCTCACGTACGTACACTCTATATAACTCAACCGCTCATTTACTGTCATACGCGCGCATTGTTATTACGCACGTCACTGTCTATAGCGCATGCGTTATTGTCACGTTCGTACGCCGTATGTATAGCGCATGTGTATTCTTACGTATACTTTACGTACACTCAAAACCGCTTTGCCGTGCAGCACAACACGTGTGTTTGATAAGCATGTTGCATGTTGTTGGAGACATCCCTATACTTGTAAAGGCTGAATTAGACGGCACAACGTTTGCCTATACAGCCACCGCATGCAACCAGAGCAAGTTATCCTTACAACATAGCTTCAACTGTTGTAGGGATTTAAAACAATTACTTAATAACCCCACGACAGTTGTAACCATGTTGCATGGATTACATACGCAGGTTGCATGCGATGGTTGTAGGCAAAAGATGTGCCGTCTAATTCGGCCTTTACATAGTAGCATGCATCTACTTTGTGGCTGGCAATGTGTTTAGTTATATACCAGCATACTTACATTTATTGTTGCAATAATGGAACCATGCAAAAAAGAAAAAAAAAATCCAATGCTGATGTGGTTTGATATATTTCAATACAGAATGTCTGTTTTTATACTCGTTTTTTCCCAGGTCTCACTCTGTCTGTCAAATAACCGTAGAAAGATCTTTGTCACATGACAGCCCTAGACAAGGTAAATGTGTCATAATACATAGTAACACTAGCACTATTTTCGCTTCATTCGATGCAATTATGCTCTATCTGTCATAAATATACTTTAGTTCAGTGACCAATCAGACTGCTAGTTTGGTTTAAAAAAACACGTCTCGGACATAAGATCTAGATACATGATACTAACATTTTTCATTTTACGCATTTTCAGGAAATAGTACAAGTACTTCCAATGGGCAGCGTCAAAAATTTGTAGCATCCACTCCCTCGCGGCGAACAGACACCCAAGGTTCCCCAGCCAGTGGCGCGTCGAAGATTCCCATGCCTGCGAGTTCTCTACCTCGGTCTCAAGGTATATAATATTAATTTCATTTTTCGTATTTTTAAAACATTCAAGGAGAAATCCACGTTGCCCTATGGCAGACCACAGGTAATCCGCGAGATTTGTGAATTTTCATGAAATTTCTTAGAAATCTGAACTCCTGAGATCCTACGATATCGCAAAAAGTTGACAGGAAGTTGTTGTTGTTTTTTTTAGGTTAGATTGTGAGGGCAAATGATGGTAAGGTTCTATAATAATTTTGAGCGAGTTTTAACTCTTTGCATTGCTATCAGGTACTTCCGACCATGCTGCCGAAGGATCGAAAATCCCAACGCCCAAAAGACGTCTTAGCGATACACCAGTGCCTCAGCGCACAGGTATCCCACATCCAGTATCCACCCCAAATATAGCAATTCTCGACGAGTTACGATCACCGGTCAGCGGCAGAGGGCGTGCTAGTTTCATGTCGTCACTTCAAGATTTCCCGAAAACCAATAGGATGTCGTTTCATGATTTCACTCGGACGTCGTCTTTCACGTCAACTGACTCTGATCTTGACAGCGATGTTCTTGGATCTGATGCAGAGAGTGTGGAGTCGTTGGTGAGTGTATTTTTTTCATCTGGAAAAAAAATATTTGTGTTAGTGTTGGTCGGAGTGGGATTTCCCTAACCCAAAACAGCCGACTAACGAGATCCGTTACGAGCTTTTGGTTATGTTTTGTCATTCATTTGAAAGGGACATGGTCCACCAGCATCCCTTTCGAGTTTTTGCTCCTCTTTGAAAATAAAAATACATCGTAATATAAGTAAAAACTTACTCTTTATTATCCCTTCATATTATATAAATGGAGATATTGTAAGATTCGACCTTTAATCCGATGGATGAGAACGGATTGCTCATTTTCCAAAAATCTAAAACACGACCGCATTGAATGCTGGTAGACCATGTCCCTTTAAAACCATGCAGACGATTGGTAACTAAAATGTCTGTCTGTTTTTAGCGTTATGCTCCTTTGTTCGACATCGGCGACGAGACATTTGAAGAAGAAGAGGTACGTCAAAAGCCTCCCATGTCATACTTTCTTCGTAAAATACATAATTAACCAGTCCAACCTCAACCTTTTTGCGTTATTTTGTCACAGGACGATGACGACGATGAAAAATTTCTGGAATCCATAAAGATCCGAGATGACGTGCTGACAAAAGGACGAGTTAACATGTAAGAACGTAGTCTCCTTGGCAGGCAACTCTTTCTATTCACTATTTGCAGCTATTTGGGTACCTTTCTCGCCTTCAGTTCACCTCTTACTTTCTCCTTAGTGCTCTGCACCTTGTCTTCCAAAGGAACCCCAATAGTAGAACATAAATTATTTAAGTAATACAGTATATGACAATTAGAGTTAACTGTATATGCCATATCTCCTTTTATGGTAGCAAATTTCCTTATTTGGTTTCATTTAATTAACTGTCATTTACTTATTTGTTGCGCAGTTGTGATTTGGCTGGAAGTGAGAGAGTGAAGCGAGCACAAGTCGATGGTGAACGTCTGTCCGAGCTTCAACATATAAACCTTTCATTATTGGAACTTGGGTAAGGTCATCCAGGCGCTCTTGTTACATTGCTCCGTTTTTTATTTATACTTTGGAATCTCACTTGTGCTGACATTTTCAATTGACATTTGCATAGATTAGTCTATTTTTAAATATTATCTTCAAAGATATGCCCTTGCGCTTTCAAAAACATCGCAGGCGCGCGTATGATAACGAGGTGTTTTCGGGAACTTTTGAACATTGCGCTCTATTTTAAAGCGCTTTCGCAATATCTTGAAAATCTTTTGTGTCCCAGGCGCGCGCAGGAAACCGAGAAAATTCCGAGCAATGATATATGCGCAAGCTTTAGATCCAATTCCCGAAATTAAATACCTCGTTTTGCGCCTGTGCGTCAAGGAAATCGTTTTTCGGACTTGCACGCGTGACATCATACCTGGCGCAATCTCCTTTAAATCAAGACATCTTAACAACAGCATTATGGCTTCAAACAGCTCACATCAAACAAGACAACAAGTTGATGAGTGTTATATTGAATCATTGGTTTTGAATTGTTGACGGATTTGAAAGTTCACCAAATGTTTTATGGTTTTATGCCATATCTAACAACAGTCGCCACAAAAATCATGCAGTCGAACTCTAAAATGTCATGTCCTCCAATATTGCTTGGTAAAGTTTTTGTGTTTGGACGCGGGGCTTTATGACGAAGGTGTCTTTTGAAACTCGTTTGTATGCGTTTTGTTTTTCAGCAATACTATCCATGCATTATCAGAGGGCAACAGAACGCATATTCCTTTTCGCAATTCAACACTGACCAGACTGCTTCAAGATAGTCTCGGTGGTAACTGTAAAACTATATTCGTGGTAAGTACGACGTTGGAGCGGAGTTGATCAACGTGCTTTCAGAATAGGTTGATAGATGGTGGTCAGCAACTCTTAATCAGAATCTTAGAATTAGTTTGAAACTCCATTTTTATAGACACTGATAGCATAGACGCCGAGGATTGTCGTACCTCCGACCGCTGTGGCTCTTGTTAAACGTCCAACATAGAGTACATATATAGTAATCTGATAGTAAAGGGAAGTAGACTGGACCTCAGATTACCGGACAGAATATGAACATTTTGTTAAATGCGGCCGGGGAACAAACCCGTGACCTCCTGCAGTAAAGACCCATGCTCAACCATTGAGCTAATCTGTCGACGGTTAAATAACATAATATTCCCGCGAAAGAACGTTAGTGTACTACATTTTTAGCGCCAAAATCTTCCTCCTGTCCAATAGCCTTGATTTAATCATTTGTGATTCACGTTTCCTAGATGTGTGTGTCACCATGTAAAGCAGACCTCAATGAAACACGATGTACTCTAGAATTTGGACAGAGGGCTTTGAAGATCAAGAACACTGCTTACATTAATATGGAAGTAAGTTCGGTTTGCTTGGCTACACTGGTTCTCATGCTCCCTCCACCCCCCCTGAAAATTGTCGTTACGTAAAATTTTAAAACGCTTGTGCTGTAGGAAGCCCTTCTCTCTTGTTCCCTTCCCAGTGTTCGACCACCAAGTCATTATCCACAGGTGCAATCCATATCTCTTTTACGAGATATCTTATGTTTTCTCTTGAAATTACGGAATTCGCTTGTTTATTGCGATTACGTTTGCATAAATCAGGACGTTGCATAAAATGTTCATCCTCCTCCCCAGCCTCCCTCCTCCTTTTTACCACAGGAAGACCAAGGAAAGAAGTACTTGTTCTAACATACTAAATGGATGTGTAATTCGACACGGTCCACGTGCGCCCAGCGTGTTTTATGTATAATCTATCTTCCTGCTATAATTTGATGTTGATGTTTGTCTCGCGTTTGACTTTTAGGTCGATTTTGTCAAACTGGCTGCTGATTTGCGACGACAGCTAGAAGCACAAGGTATGGTTGTTTTTGTTCATTCAAGTGGATAGATTAAGCTTTTTCTCCTATTTTCCTGAACTCTGTTTACCTTAAAGTGCTGTGTTGTTATGTATTACCTTCGGCAACACCTTCACCAATGACAACTCGTGAAAAAGCGAAGATATTTAAAGTATTTAACAAGAATTACTTATGAAAAGTAGACTGAAATCCTTTTATTATGTATGTATAAATGCGGGCTCATTGGCATATATTTTCTCGTTGAGAAGTTGAGAATGATAAATGACAATGTATGTTAACAATGTTTAATATATAACACTCGCAATAATAATGATACCATAACTAAAATAAAATTTAACTTGTTCTGTATAGAATCTAAAGTCTTAGTGACTGTTATATCATTTGAGCCGTTTAGAAAACGAAATTTTCAAAATTAAAACACATTTTGATCATAGTGTGTATTTCTCGTAGAAAAATAAGGTGACGTGATAGAACGTGAATCTGAATTCAAAAATGTGACAAAAGTTTTAATAGAGATTGTCAGATGTTTATCAACAGACTTCACTCTTAGTTCATCTAGTAATTAAAGACTAATTGCAGCTAAACGACAATCAAGGTCTTATCGCCATTGTATTCAGAACAATATAATAATTGTCTTATTGTTTCTGTATTCAATACAAGGTTTCGTCCTAATGGATCGCTGGTGGAAACTAGCGGTAAACTAGTGTAAGCTGCGTTGTTGTTTCTAAAGAAACAGTTGTGTAAAAAGATAAATTTAACACCGTAAAAAAGTAGGTGAAACAACAGACTGACTGCAGTGTGTTACTAGTGTTAAATTTATTTTTTTACACAACTGTTAGTAGTGGATCTCTGTTGAAAACGCAACACTGCATACCAAATGTCAAGGCATTATTTACAAGCGTTGTAAAATGTATTTTTTTTCTTTGATTTAAACTAAAGTCATCGTAATGAGAGCATTATGTTCATCCATGTACATAAAATAAGGCAAAATATTCTCTCAATAATGTAAATATTAAGTGACTAAGCATTTCCTCTTGAAAATAGAACAAACACATTTTCCATGGCCAGGTAATGAGGAAGCGTTTTACTCGAAAAAATGTCAAATCTACTTCTTTTGATAAGCGCGGATTGTAATGATTATCCTAGAGGTATCCAACAATTCTCCATGTCTTGACCGTCAGCGTGCAACAATTTTTTCATGGCTGTACTCTGACGTCACGCATAGTGCAACAATTTTTTTCATGTTATACCTTTGATGTCACACTTAATAAAAGTGCAGTTTTCAGTGTAGTTTACACTTTGTCAAAATAACTTGAGCAAAAATTTAAAAAAAGTAGGATTTAGCTTTTCCTCGAGAGGGCATACAATATGCATTCCTTTGATCTATTATGTATTTTAGTTAGTAGTTTTTGACAAGACATGTCGTGTTTTCATTCATAACAGGAAATTTTATTAACATATTTGTTGTAACACGATCCACTTTTATATCAAATCTATTTTCGTGTGTTATTTTTACTTCAAATCCCAGATTTATTTACTATAGAATAAGGAGGCTCTTCGGATTGACGTCAATACGAATAGAATGACGACCAATAGTTTCAATTACCACTGTGTGTGGGCAATTTATCAAAAAAACAAAAAACGTAATGATATACACCTTACCAAAATGGCCGCTGCTTAACTTTTTTTTAACATAATACAAAATAATCTTTGAAGTATCAAAGTTTGTGCTTTCCTTAGAGGCTGTCCAAAATCCTAGTTGGTCAATTAAAACTGTAGAGATATGCTTTTTTCGGAAATTTTTATATATTTTACAGAGAAGGTTATCGGTCCGTGGGCATAAAAGTCACACCCCAGTCGTACCCATTTATCATTTACTTTTCCACAAAGGAGAGGAGATATTCCTTTCAAAGGCCTGCGTTAAAATCAGTTTATCTTCGGACGCAAAACTGGTGTTATTCTTTGTTCAAAGGAGCGGAATTACTGTCAAACGAAAAAGCGATGTTTCCGTCACGGTTTGAGCTTGAACTGTTTGTTTTTTCCCTCACATCCCTTTCAAAAACAGCGTCAACCAGGTGACAGTCTGTGCAAGCAATCTGACAATGCACTTACAAATAATACACGTTTTACTAATAAGATCGACTATTGAAGTCTCTTGCGGCATCATTGAAAAGTAAGCGTACCTTTGCATTGAAGAAAGATGGCATTTAAGACCCTGTTTACATGAGATAGGGTGCCAAAGCTTTGGAAACAATCGCTCGCTTTAAAGGTTGTAAATTTGATGTAAATATGATGTAAGTGTCCAAAATTCTGATGATTTCCATTAAATTTACAGAATTTTGGACACTTACATCATATTTACATCAAATTTACAATCTTTAAAGCGCGTGATTTTTTCCAGAAGGTAGGGCCAAAATACTTTGTTTTACATCCTCCAGGGAAAAGAAAACAAAAGATTTAGCCCTACCACGTAGGGGCACCCTATCTCATGTAAACATGGTCTAAGACTGCAAAGAGAGCTAGCTGAGTAAAACAAGGAATCTGTCACTTCAAGAAATTAATCGTCTTCTCGCTTCAATGCGCGCAAAGGCACGGCTACTTTTCAAAATGGCGCCGAGCACAACAACAATAGAGAAAATATGTCATATATAGAGTTGTAATTTCATACTAAATGAAATAATTAGAATCCCATTAATGTTGTTTATATTTTGGTATTTGCATTTTTCGTTTCCTTTAAGAAAGTTTTCATTGCTTATGATAAATGTTCTTTCTTTTAGCAAATAGTCATATGTCCATGGTCATAAATGTAATTTTTATGGTGTTTTCCATCGTAACTTGAAATAATAGCTGTAAATTAAGTTCCATTCAGCCTTACTACAAACTCTATCGGCTCATCAATGGAACTCTGAATAATAGATCAACCAGCTGGTTTGGAATGCTGCACTCTGATTGGTTACTTGTATAAAACGTTTATAAGAACCTGCGTTTTGATTGGCTAATGCCACTAAGGGTACAGGTGCAGGTGTCCAGTGGTCAAAATAATCAACGAACATGATGGTGATGTCACAGCTAATGTCGCTTGTTCGGCGGTGAAATTTTAAACGGGAGTCGGACTAACCAATCAAAACGCTTCACTGTAAAAATACTCGCACCTAAGGTTTATGGTCGGCTGACCCGTTTGTTTTAAGCAACGTTGGAGGCTGTCTTGGAGGATTTATATTTTTGAAAAATAGCGCTACACTCACGCCTATTCTCGACAGCTATATTTGGAAGTTCAGACTCTACTTGTTTCGATTCAATGTTGGTGTTTTCGCTGTCTGTTCCTACATGTTATCATCGCTTGGTCGTTTGAACCCGTTTCTGTTTGACACAAGGAAAAGCCTACGTTAAAACGGGACAGTTTCAGGGAGCGTTTGATCGTCGATTAGAGTGTGAAAATGCTTCTACTGGAGAAATTTCTACCTCGAAGAGTACCTAAGGAAGGTACAGATGAAATATCGATGTTTTCGACATTTAGGCTCAAGTTGAATTTTTAATGAAGAGTTTAAACTGTTTTGGCATATCGATTCCATGGTTTTTGTTTCCCTCTTCTATCAATCTTACTTCCCATCTATATTAACAACACCCTTCACAAATCTACCCTAGCGTCTAAATCCACTAAATCCACGTTTCCTATATCAATTCAATGCCATTTTCTTAAGCTTTTAATTTTTGAAATATTCTCCATAATATTTTTCAGATTTTTAATCGAATTTTACTCCTATGCTAATTTATGTTCTAGAGCTTGAGATACAGACCCAGAAAGAGTCGTTTGAGAAAGAGGTACTGAGGCTGCACAGTGATCAACTGTCCAAGCTGGCGGAGAAAGAATCGCAGTTGGAAGAGCAGACGTACTTGGCAAGAGAAGAGGTGAGGTTTACATAACATCATGTCAGAATAGCAAAGAGAACTCGAAACTGGGTTATCACAGACAACATCAAAATATTATTTTATGTTATTTTTACTTATAAAGAAAAGTGAGAAAAAAAGGAAAATATAATAGCTAAATAATATACGAGAAATTTTATTATTCAAGAAAGGCGCAATTCATGGTAAAAGTCTGCCCTATCGGTGATTTAATTGAATAAATCGAAGAATAAGGATCACATGTGGCAAAAAGAACATAAATTACCGGGGAATATTCAAAGCATTTACAAGAAATCAATAGGGGAAATAGACATTTATCATGCCAAGCAAGTATTAGTATAATTGAATAAAATGAAAAGAACGAAATTAACAACTAGGAAATAGGAATCTAACTTGCTGGGGAATTTCTAAAACATCTGTCACAACTGTCTTTTACGCTTTTTTATTTTCATAATCTTGTTTATATTGAACATTGAAAGCCAAAATGGTAATATTCAGACCAGCGGACAGATATATTTATGAACTCAGTGCAACCTGATCGTGATAACAAAAGCAGAAAAACAGAAAAATAGCATCAGAGGCGGTGAAAAATAGAGCATGATAATTTACTCAACATTTTCAGGTTATTTTACTCAACATTTTCAGGGTTTTTTCATTCTAATTTGTCTCATTCTGTTCTAATCAATTCCATTGTAACCTCTTCCATTCTCATTGCTTCCATTTTAATCTCTCCCATTCTATTCTAATCTCTTCCATTTTATTTGCTTTCATTCTAATCTCTTTCTATTCTACATGATTCCATTCTATTCGGTCGATCCCATTCTGGTCTGATTGATTCCTTAGTCTTCTCATTTCATTCATCTTCTATTTTATTCCATTGAGCTCCGGTTCTGATTCTACGCTGTCACCATTTCTTTCCTATACCCGTCATATAATCGAAATCTGTCGTTCCATTCACTAAGTGTTTTCACTGCCTTTATCGGCATTCGAACCGGAAGCATGTTCCACATGACATTTTCATCTCTCATTCTACTTTGTATTATTGCTAAGCTTGTATACTAATAGCATGGGAAGTGGTTCTAAAATCCAGACTCTCGTTAAAGTGTCATCTAAATGGCTTTGTTTCTATCAAAACCAGAGACAACATCAGAAAACTTAAGCATGTGTAGTTTTTTATAGGTATATTAGTGTAATATTTCAAAGCTTTTATGACTAATGTATTATTTAAGTATTTCATTGAGTTTTAAGGTGGCTTCCTATATTTTTTTTTCGACCATTTGCTTTTTTTAAATCTTGCCATGTACCGATTTAATTGGTGTTTAGTTTTTATTTCACGGATTGAGTTTGTTCTGTTCTCTTTTCAGCACAACGTTTTTATTTCATTTTATTGAGCTCTTCCTGAAAAGGCCGGGGCCCTCGTATCGGTTGGTGGTTGTACGGTTTCTGATTATTTTAGAAATCGGTGTTCGGTATTGCCCTCATTTTTGTGTCAGTTTACAGTTGGCATGGCAACCCTTTATAATAGCCCCCCTGGAAGATAGCATACAACGCTGAAACGTTTGTTTAATTTCTAGGCTGAAAAGTTACGTCTTGAGAATGAATGTCTGCAAAAGCTTCTTGAAGAAGAACGGCAAAGGAAGAGTCTTTTGGAGAAAGAGCAGGAATCGTTATTGGAAAAGTCATTACATAATGATAGTCATGATGACTCCATGCTCTGTGAGCACCAAAAAGAGATCGAGCGCTTGCAACAAGAACTAAAAGAAGAAAAACGAAGATCTCTTTTACTTGAAGAACGAGAAAAATCCAAAATAGAAAGTTTGCTTGAGGCAGAAAAACAACGAATTGTGGAAATACAGATGTCGGAGAGACAAAAGTTTGAAAGTGAACTCGAAGAGGAGAGGAAAAGGATTGCCGAGGAAATGCATCGCGAGGAAAAGGACTTCAGGGACGTTTTTTGCCAGTCTCCCTCCGAGGACGTTATTGATAGGGGGCCACAACCTGCGGGACCTTGTATCGATAGTACTTCCACTGAAACTTTTTATAATGTGCTCCTTGCTGAAATAATGTCCCTTCAGCTTTTGTACCAAATGCAAGACATAGCGGACGTTTGTGGCGGTGCGGCCCCCCGGTCTACAGACAGTGGCTGGGCGGACTATGACGATGAATTATTAGAAAATATGGGGATCAATCTATTAGAGAAGGGGGGTCTTATCTTGGATAGTTTAAGGGCGGTGCAGTCAGGTGATATTGTTTCCATTGCTAGTGTCGACTCCATTCGTGACGCCTTAAGTTTTACATTCCCACCATCACCCAAAATCTCATCATGCAGCACAGATGGACGTCCTCACATCCAATCAGCATCTCATAAAGTATCACGTGACTTGTTAAGTGAAATTGAACGCAAAGACAAACCGCTGTGCACGAGTTCGACGTCAACGATTGGTTCTAAAGTCAGTAGTGATTTCTGGGCCGATAACAATAACCTGGAGTCTGGCACTAGTTCCAGCATGGGTTCTTACTGTGATCAAGAACCGCTGAGCCCGCGACATACCCGGCAAACAAGTGACAGCGGTTGTGAAATGTCCCCAGTCGACCCTAGGCTGAATTTACAAAAGGAAATGGGCGGTGGCTCTAATGTCTGTGTTCCACTGGCGGAAGAGGACGACGAAGATTTGATTGATGAATCTATAAAACAAATGCAGATTTTAAAGGATAAAGTATCTACACTTGACATGGAGCTGGCGCGGTTAAAGAACGAACTAGATAGAGAGACTGTCAACTTTTTCTCGGCCGTCTTTCTCGTTGACCTCAACCAGGGCGATGAAGGTGAGTAGTTAGTGTTATTGTTGTTGTTGCTGCTGTTGCTGTTATTGTTGCTTTTGTTGCTGTTGTTGTTGTTTTTGTTGCTACTGTTGTTGCTGCTGCTGGTGTTGTTACTGTTGTTGCCGCTGTATTTGTTGCTGTTGCTGTTGTTGCTGCTGTTGCTGATGCTGTTGTTTATGCAGCTGTTGTTGCTATTTTGCTGCTGTTGATATTTCTATTGTCGTTGGCCTTGTTGTAGCTGCTGCTGTTTTTATTGGGTTGTTGTTGGTGTTGTTACTACAGGCACAGCGCATTAGTTGACATTCGGTATTACGGATATTACGCTGCCCCCTACCGAGCTTACTGTTATTTCTTACAGCTATTTACCGCAGTATTGTTTTATCGCAGATTCACCTCGCGTCATGAGATATCTTTTCGACTGTGTGCGAGACAAGCTGTGCACTGAAATAGCATCAAGAGGTAAACTAGTTAATATATTAAATAATTCATTTATTACAATTAATTTATTGATTAATTATATTAATTAGTTAATCAAAACACCCAAGTTTGCGCATACATCTTTTTGTGGGGTCTATTTTTTCGTTACCTTCCCTCTCGAATTGATTCAAAATTCGGGTCAGGTCGCAGCGCCAAAGAACATTGCTGGTAAAGAACAAGGCATAAACAATAGAGCCTATTGTTCTAGCCAGCCGATCACAATGACTTTTATTTAKAGCTGCGAGACCTCTGCAAAATTCGTTGATCTTCCACATATCGCATCCCCACCCTACTAAAATTACCAACAGACAATGTCGATTATGCTAACAACTCATGAATTTATAATGAATTTGAATAATATGATTGACAGGTGGAAGTAAAGAGTTTGGGTCGGAACAAGAACTCGGGCTTCCTTTATCCGTCCTCGAACAAGCTGTGAATCTGTTACTGGTGAACAAGACTGTTATGAGCTGTATACTAGTGCTGCAGAACAGAGCACGACATAACGACGATGAACTTGAGGGAGAATCAGTATCAGAAATGTCTGCCACGTTAGTACCGGAGGAGGTGACTAAGGTAGTTATTGGATTGCGGTACATTTCTGCACCTATAAGGGGTTTGCCCTAGGGTTGGGGAAACCCACGGGAATTTGTATTCTTAATGCCCCACCAGGGTACGGAAGAAGTCGATTACGATCACCTCTAGATGGGAATTTTGACTCAAATGTCATTTATTTGCAAGGCTTTTGATCCCCAGGGATGGGATTTGACTCTACCTTGACCCAATTGTGGGAAAATTAACGTTTTTTAAATGTAATGGAGTCCTCTCCTCTCTCCACCCTAACCCTTCCCCACACCATTCCCATTCCTTGGCAAACCATAGACCGTTTCATTATGTATTCCACCGAATCTAGTCTCACTGTTCTGGTAGTTTTTGTCTACCATTGACTGTAATAGCAAAACTTGACTTTATATTATCAATTTATGATCTTTTCAATGCAGGTCGACCAGGGAGCTCAGACGGACGACCACTCCAAGTCTATAAAACATCAAATACGCAAAGGTAACTTCATAAGACCCTCGGTTAATACGGACACTGGGTTTGTCCGTATTAGTGGGGTTCATAACATGAAATGAGAATATTTTCTTATGACGGCTCCGCTGCGCGTTTAAAACAACCAGAGCGATGTTCTTTGCTTTTTTTCCGCCCGGATTTTCGGAGTAGTTATTAATCTCTAAACTTAGAACCCTTTAACCCATGAAAAGGTTGGTCATTGCTCTGGACTAAGGATTTCCACTGCGTAGCTTTAAAGACGCTTTGATTGGGATATAAAATAATATAGCAAATAGTACGGCACCTCATGGCGGATCTTCGCACCTTAAATGCTGCTACCGAAGTTTAAAAAATGTTTTAATTGTTTAAAACGTATTGAAGCGGAAGTTGTCTATCTAAGCCGTATAAAGAGTTGTTGCTCTTCAAAATGCTAATCACGCAAATTGTCTCTCTGAGCCTTATAAGTCATTATAAGTCATTAAAACGTATTGACGCGGAAGTTGTCTATCTAAGCCGTATAAAGAGTTGTTGCTCTTCAAAATGCTAATCACGCAAATTGTCTCTCTGAGCCTTATAAGTCATAACTGCTGTTTGAAATGCATTGGCGCAAACGTTTTTAAAGTATTACTGCTGTTTAAAACGTGTTGATATGCTAAGTATTGATAGTTTATTATTTATGAGAAGTTACTGCAGTTTTAAAATGTTCTGATGAAACGATTGTTATAAAGCTTGTATTATCTTTCTTGTAGGATTACTGAACTTTACATCGAGACATAGGCAATGCAATGAAGGTCAATATGATATAAAACAATTGTCTTTTATATTAAATCTAAATACAGTAAAACTAATCAAGTATTACAAACAACGCTGAAGAATTACTCAAGAATTGTAACAAAACGTTCTTCGAGTCTTCTAACGAAATTATGTTATGCTTACACAATGTGCTTAAAGAACAATAACTGATTTTCATAACAAATTATGATTAATAATAATTGATAATAATAATAGTAGTAATATGATATAATAGAGTGAAGTCAATGAACCCGTGAAATACATATTTGACTATTACATGTTATTACTCGATAATTCCATTGTTTTCTTTTGTGTCTATTTGACTATTACAGTTTAATTATTAACTTTTATTTCACAGGATCAATGCCTTCACTCTAATGATAATGATAATAACAATAATAATGTGAATAATGATAAAAATAATATTAATAATGATAATAATAACGGTATAGTAATGGTAATAATAATTAGACTAATACTTACGAATATCGAATTCAACAGGTATGACTTGCATGTGATTTCCTTTTACACGTTTAACTCATCATGTTTCATTTTTATCACTATTCAATTCTTTTCGTTAATTTGCTGACATCTACTCTATCGACTGACTAACTCTTTTTTTTATCTTCACATCCTTATACTCTATATTCGTTCTATGATGCATGCAGATATTTCATAAAATGTTTTCTGCAAGATGAGTAATTGCACGACGGAAAGTTGCTACGGGAATTTCATTCTTACGCCTCTTATTCACTCATACACGAAACAGACAAACTACCAAAGATCTTAAAGGGATATGGTCCACCAGCATCACTCTGACAGTCTGTATTGAAATAGCTGTATTTTGAATGCTCATATCGTGGAAAAAATAATCTTTTTTCAGACACAGGAACGAGTACCGATCCAGAGTTAAAAAGTCTCGTGAATCACCGTGAATGTCAAACGAGCTGTGACTGGACGTCACCAAGGTAACTGAATTTACATTGAAACGATGCAATATAACTTAACTAGACAGCTAATAATTGTCACCCACAATACCTTTCAATCATTATCATCATCAGTATCTATTCTCTGATAACCTTTCTTGAACTAGCTGTGTATAACGACGATTTGTCCACTTTATCCTCAGTTCACCAGGGCTCTCTATCGATAGAAACGATGGCCAGGCCAGTGCTGCAGACTCACAGGATCAAGACCCTTGGAGTAAGAGCTTCGAAGAAATCATGTCAAATGACCTTACAATCGATTCCGAGGAACCCCTACGTAATATGTCACGTGATCCCGATGGAGCCTCGGCAGGGAGCGAGAGTCGACCGAATTCATCCAATAGAAACAACGCAGAAAACATTGATGAGCAGAACCAAGACAGCAAAATATTGATAGAATCAGACGAAGAAGAAGAAATCCAAGCAAAAACAAAGCGTAAAAGAAAAAAGATAAATCTGCTGTCGTGCATAGGATCACCATCTAGAGTTTCATTCAGGAAAAAATTAAATAAGAAAAAAGCTGAAGCTAAAAGTGAAAAAAATGACAACGAAAATTAAAATTTGATAAGACATAACTTGCTAAAACCATGCACGCCAAACACTAGGTCCATTAATTCAATTAAAATGTAAAAATGCTGAACACAAAAAACGCAATAAAATTGTGAAAAATGAGATTTGACTTGTTGTGAATGGAATTTGAGAAAAAAAATAACAGGTTTTGTAGGAGTGGAATAGACCTGGTTAGGGCGAGTGTACTGGTAACGAGTTGGGAGTCAATAGCTGCACTTCTTAGGAGCGAATAGGGTCTCGCAGTTCTTTTCGATTTTTCGTTTCCAATGAACTTAATTAATGCGCAAGTTGCTTCTCCTTACCGACTAGCAGAAGTTGGACGGAATGGGATATAAGTAGACTTCTTTTAAAAGGGAAATAATGAATCAAAAGTATCATTACGAATGTTATCTAGAGTTGAAATGCAGTGTTTAAAACTTTATTGATTTTCACTGCAAAGAAGCGTATGGATATGCAATCCACGAGTTAACTTTTATATTTACACAGGAAGTCCAAAAATCAGTGCCCACACGAAAAATCACTGACCACTAAAACCGTGGGCTTTCAAAATGGTGGCGGGACAGGTCTCTTCATGAGATTACTCCTATTTTGTATGAAAAGAATAATTTTATCACCTATATTTTTCTACAAAATGGCTCGTCAAAGACGCGGAAAACACGCTGCTGAGTCTTTTTCAGACCTCAAAGAAACAAGACCCAAATCATCGAAGCAGAAAGGGCGCCATTCAAAAGATAGTCATTCGCCGCTGTTGGTGCTTGGGCTCTTGATTGCCATTCCCGGCGGCTTGTTAGCTGGCATTTCAGTGTATAATTACTACAAATCTAGTCTTTTATATAAGCCTTTGAATAGTGCGCCTGTAATTGACAGTACTAAAGCTGATATGAGAAGATTTTGGGGGACATACAGGTCAAATCTTTACTTCGGGATGAGGTAAGCTAACCTTTGAACTGCTGAGAAACCCGAAGTTCTTCCTGCATGCATCAAGCTAAGATTGAATTTTTTTTGCTTTTTATTTCTGCCTTAAAAGAAGCTTGAAAATGAAGCAAATTATCAATGATCTTAACAGCTGAACAACTTTATGATTGATGTTTGAGTGTGTGTAGCTTCTTCAAGCAGGTGAATCTAACAGGTGTTGCATACGAAAAAATGTCTGCCTGTCTGATTGTCTATAAAAAATATTCATTTAGTATTTGTCATTTTTTTTGTCGAGATTTTGTTGTGAAGGACATACTTTTAATGTGTATACTATTTGGTGCTCTATAGTGTACTACAAAAATAAAGAAAACTGTATTTGTAAGTTACAATAAAAGCATAAATTTTTGGATTAAGTTCGGTTCATTATTAAGTTAAATTGTTATCCTATTAATCCTAAATATGGAAAAAAGCCTCGCACTAATTATAACCTCATTATTATTAATTTCAATATGTGTTTTGGCATCATGTGCATTATTAATTTTTTTTACCAGGACAAGAAGCCCTAAGTCCCTAATGCCTGGTCTAATGTGGTTCTCCCAGTTTCCTCACGATGGACAGCTGTCAATCAGACACACATGTGAACAGAATGATCGCCTGCCCAAATATGGATGGCTAAAGCACGATGGAGTGAGATTTGGCTCCCAAGAAATTGTTGACGATGATTTTATATTAAATACTGATTTTGTTAAACAACCTGGAGGTGACCATGGGGGTGACTGGACTGTCAGGATAAGTGGCAGGAAAAAAGACCAGGTAATATGTAAATTAGTATTGGTAGGGCCTTTCACTACTCCTTCCTGTTAGAGCTGAGTTACATGGTTCAATTTCTCACATGGTATTCATGTATGGCTTTACATGACCAAAGGGACATCCACCTTACAACTTGTCCTTGCCTTGAACTTAGGCCGAAAAGTTCTATTATAATGGTTAATTTATATCCATTTTGAGATCACTAGCAAATCTAGAAATCTGATTGATTCTAAGCAGTGCAATTTGAGCCTAAATCACACTATTTTTGCTCCAAATTGCATCTTTTTTTTTAGCCAATCACAATGCAAAACTAGTAAAAGGCAACCAATCAGATTACAGGATTGTGTATAGTTAAGCAATCAGACTACAGCAAAAACGACACACAAAATGTACATTTTTTGAGGTTTTACAGCAAATTATTAATGAAAATCAGTGTTATAACATACACAGCAAATCAAGTGAAAAATGCATTGTGTAAATCAGCCTTTATACAACCTGTAGCTTTTGCTATGAACTATAACTATTATAATAATTTTTGTTTTTCTTTTTGTGTGTCAGGGCAACCCAAACCAGCTTGTTTCCTTGCTGTTCTACGTGACCCATGAAGACATAATCAAACTAAATCCTTCAATTAACACTAAGAACACTTTAACAGCTTTACAAGGGGATTCCCCTGAACTTGGCAAATTCACCATTATCTTTCCCCAGCCAAGAAACAATGTAAGGCTTTCCAACTTCCTGGCAACTCATACACCAAATGTACATTCAGTGAAAGAAGTCATTATGCAGAGTTTGAACTATGTCAAGGTGGGCAAGAAAACCCGTTTGATTGGACTGCAAGGATTTCTTCCCAAACAAGATGAAGACCATAGACAGCTGCCAACAAACCTTTACGTTCAACAGTGGACCCTCCAACTTCCCTTTGAGATGGAGGTCATTTTTGAATCAGGCAGCTTCTCATCAAGATCAGAGAGACTTTCAGGTCCAGTATTCTCCGAGGCTTTACTGAAATTCTCTGAAAATTTTCAGAAAACCTTTGAGGAAAAGTTTCCTTTGAAGTCTAAAGGTTTTGGAGAAGAAGAGATTTCATTTGCACGAGCTGCATTGAGTAATATGGTTGGGGGAATAGGATATTTCCATGGAAAATCGCGGGTGATTTCAAAGCTCCTGAAGGAGCCTGTAGATTACTGGGCAAGCCCTTTGTACACTGCAGTACCCTCAAGACCTTTCTTTCCTCGTGGTTTCTTATGGGATGAAGGTTTCCATCAGCTTTTGATTAGTCAATGGGATACAGCAATAAGCATGGACATCATTGGTCATTGGCTTGATTTGATGAACAGTGAGGGATGGATTCCTAGAGAACAGATTCTAGGTGATGAAGCCCGCACTAAAGTCCCCCCTGAGTTTGTAACCCAACATAATGAGAACGCTAACCCACCAACACTTATTTTGCCCATCAAATCTATGATTGACAGGGGGGCCCTTGATAAGGACTACCTAGTGAAAATCTACCCAAGATTAAAAGCATGGTTTAATTGGTTTAACACCACACAGCTTGGAACACTCGCTTCCACATATCGATGGCACGGCCGAGATGCAAAAACTGACAGGGAACTCAATCCTAAAACCCTGACATCTGGGCTTGATGATTATCCTCGGGCATCCCATCCAACCGATGATGAACGTCATGTTGATTTACGATGCTGGATGGCATTTGCATCTGGACTTATGGCAGAGATAGCTCAAACTGTTGGCCAACCTTCAGAGCAATATCGAGCAACTAATGCATACCTTTCAGACGCAAAGCTACTAGACAAGTATCATTGGTCACCAAAGGGACAAATGTACAGTGACTTTGGCAACCACACAAGGCTTGTCAAACTGGAGCATCGTTCTAGTCAACCAGGAGGTCCAACAAGATTAGTAAGGGTTGTCAAATCACGCACAGGACCAATCCAAAAGTTTGTCAATAGCTTTGGTTATGTAAGCTTATTTCCATTCCTTCTACAAATCCTCAAGCCAAATTCCCCAAAGCTGGAAAAACTGTTAAAAGATTTAAAGAATCCAGACCTATTATGGACTGATTTTGGCCTGCGTTCGCTGTCGAAGAGTGACCCATTATATAAGAAGTATAACACAGAGCATGATGGGCCATATTGGAGGGGAGCGATCTGGATCAACATCAATTTCTTATCTGTACGTGCTTTGTATTATTACAGTAGTGCTGATGGTCCTTATAAAGACACTGCCCTACAAATTTACAAAGAACTTAGGACTAATCTCATTAGAAATATTTTTAAACAATATCAAAGTTCAGGTTTTATATGGGAACAATATGATGACAAGACTGGTCAGGGCAAAGGTAGTCATCCATTCACTGGTTGGTCTTCGTTAGTAGTATTAATGATGTCAGAGCAATATTAAGTTATAGTCCACTATTAATGATTATCCCTGTTGCTGTGGTAACCATGGTGCTCTAGTAACCATGGTGCTGTAGTAACCCTGTTGCTGTAGTTGCCATGTTGCTGTGGTAACCATGGAGCTGTAGTAACCTGGTTGCTGTGGTTACCATGTAACTGTGGTAACCCAGTTGCTGTGGTTACCCAATCGTTATGGTAACCCTGTTGCTATGGTAATCATGTTGCTGTTCATTACCTCATTTATTTGTGAAACCCTTTTAAAAATTTGCCATCTTTTTAATATAAATATTGTTAACTATTGGACATTGGTAACATAAAAAATAAATAAATCTATTACCATAGTTAGCATGCACGAGTTTTGTATTATTGGCTCTCCACAATTCATTGAGGGTCAGGGAATAACTATATAACTACAAAACAAAATACTGTAAGTGTTCTTTTTGAGTATGAGCATGTTTGGTACAATACTCAGCAAAAAGCAAATTTGCAGAAATAATAAAAGAGAGTGTATGGTCATTTGGGGATGTTACTCTGAAGCCCTTTCAGGTTTTTAGTGCTTGCCACCCTGTAATTCTATGTCTAGATACGCTCACTCTCAGTAACTATACTAGTTTTTATAGTGCTGGAATATTACCAGGACCAGGTAGTTCAACTCCTATGGGTTTGACCCTGGATTAACACTTATCAGGCTTTGAACAAACTGGACCTCAGAAGTGCATTTGCTCACTATTTGTGTGAGTTCCTCACAAGATGACATGAGGAGATCTGGACCTTTCTGAATTAATCAGTAATGAGAGAAAGCTTCCTGTTAAAAGATTATTATTATCAAAAAATTAAACATCTGTTGTGAATAAAATGTTCAAAGTAAACCAAGAGGCAACTAGTGATTTGTAATATGCTATGCTTTTATTTTCATCTTTTGTTAGATTTAACACAACATGGTTACATTGTTTAGATTTCAAAGGCAGAATGAATGTACTTTATCTTTGAAATTGTACCGTTTTTGTGCAATTTTTGAATTGATCCCTGAAGCGATTGGTGCCAAAGTATACTAATTTAAAACATTTCCTTTTCTTTAACCAAATTATTAGTAAGTAGACATTTATATTAACAAGTAGTGTAAAAGCTGACATTTTAACACAACTTCTTCTCTAAAGACTAAATTTAGTAGTATTTATGTATTTTTGTTGATATCCACACAAAGAACTGATGAGGAAAATATTTAGTTGATGATACTTTTGCTTCCTGGAGCCTCATCTTCAATTCTTTTGCAGGTGACCTTTAAGGTGGTATATCGCAAGTGGGCTGTTGACTTCATTATAATAATTATGATTCTTCTAGTCAATGTTGCACCCTTTGAATTTTTTAATTAGTTTTCTACGTTATCCACCAAGAAAAAGAAATTATTCCTCTCTTACAATTACTAGATTTTTTTAATGTTTTCACTCTAGTTGTTCTGGATGTTATTCTGGATGAACATCTAGAGAAATAAACTGGAAGACTCCATAACACTTAGATACATGTATAAATTATAGGAAAGTAGACATCAATGCACATCAATGCAAGCTGCATAACCTGAATACAGCCCAATCAGACAATAGTTTTGTTTGCCTGCATGCAGGCTAAAGCTGCACTGTTAGTTCAAAGACAACCAGTATTGTAATTGCCTAATGTTAAATAATTTGACTCATGTAGTGACTTTACTTCAGGGTTATGACATGAAATAATTTACAATATAACATGATCTATGCTGTCTTGACATCCACAGCTGGTTGTAGCTAGAACAGAATCGTTCACAAAAAGTCCAACAAAATGGAAATGATTCATACTAGCATATGAAATACTATACTGTGCATGTTGTCAAACAGTTTCTATGAATAAAAACAAGGTGTGAAAACAATAACTTCGTAACATTGAGTGCTGTGAACCATAGCAACTAACACTGAGTTAAACAGGGCTGAATATAAGAGTTGCCAGTAAACAGATAAGGTCCAGTAAGGATGTTAGTTTGGTCTGCCATACCTTACTGAAACCGACAGTTCAAGCTAAAAAATGCTTTGACCAGACTTCTCGACATTTGTCCTTTCGCTTATCTGTAGGTTGTTTTTGTTTTCGCCCTTGTACAAAATGCTAACAATAACCTTAAGGTACTTGTATGATATTCATTTGGATTTTTAGGACTTTTTGTACATTAAACAAAGCAAGGTTCTCCAGGGTTTTTTTACACAAAATCCAAGTGAATATTCAAAGCTAAAGTTAATGATAAAAACGTTTTTGTCACCATAATGGAACGTACTGACAGGTTCTTTCTTATGGTTCAATTGCAACCACCCCACTTATAAGCTGCAGTTTGTCTGCAAACTATATTATTTGCATGCTATACTAGCTAATGAAATACTAAAAATATCTAGAATGTCTTTCTATGGATTGCTCTTCCTGCTTCTTCGTCATACTCTTTCTTAGATACCCACATCTTCTTAAATGTGTCAAGAGAAGCCAGGATAGAGCCCCTGAATAAAATGGTGAAAAATGATTTACTATTAGATAAAATATGCATCAAAAATGAGATTTGTTATGCTGAATGACAACCACTATTTGAAGCAAACATACAGAGCAAAATACATGCAATAAAGTGAAAAAAGTCATAAAGAAAACTGTGTTAATAGACTTATGAGCCAAATAATAACTAGTACATTAATTTAAGAGAGAATCATACAGGTCTTAATAAAGTTCATACTGAAATTACCATGGCATTACCATAGAAATTCCTGATAATAAACTTTATAATAAAATCATGTGGGTATAAATTATTAGCATTTAAAGCTCAACATCAATGGTATGGTCCGTTATTAATGTATGTTTTTTCAAGGATTTCACATTCATTTGGATTTTTAACAGTTTATCAAATTAAGACAACTACAATAATGTAGGAAACATTGATTTAAACATCAACTCACCCTATCCATGTGGAATACAATCTTTCTTGAGGAGCAGATATCTAAAATCCAAAATAACAAGAAAATGATGAAAACTGTGTCCTATCATTCAAGGGTTTCTACATCTTCATTAGTACTGGAGGCTAATCTTCACAAAGTTGACTACAATTACTGGTTAATACTTTATACTTACCCTTATTTTAATATCCTTGGGAGCCAGCTTTTTGACTTCACTTAGAAGACGATCACCAAATCCTGAGGAAAGATAATTCCATGAGTTGCATGACTGTTTATGTTGCATAATTATAATAGATTCCTTTTTTAAGCCATGAGGATCCCCAAAAAGAAAAATGAAGAATGCACTCCATTCATATATTTTCCATTTTGTCATTCTTTCCTTAACCCATTTATTCATTATATAGGCCATTTAATTCCTTCTATTATCTCATCCATCCATGTCCTCCCATCCATCCATTCATTTTTCACTTTAATCAATGTGCCGCGTATATACCTTTAAATAGTGTAGAGCCACCAGACAATACAATATTAGAGTACAAAACTCTTCTTAAATCCATGTCAGACCTTTGGATGGCAAAACTTAAAACCTAAACAAAACAATACACAAAAAATACACATCTAAAAAAAATGTTGTTTTTTTTCATAAATTTTTCAGCAAAAAGAACTTTGATAAAGCGTAAGTAAGAAACACACTTGCAAGAATGTCATCTTTTTTGTATTTACAAGCATTGTACCTCATGTATGCCTTCATTCTCTTCTCCTATTAGGTCTGGCCTGAAGAGAATCTCAGGAGCTCGGAACTTAGCTGGTCCAATCTACAAAAACACACAAGTCTAAGCTACAGTGCCACAAGTCATAAGCCATTGTGCTCAGGGCTCCTATTTAGATAGTATACATCTTACATGCGTTTACTATACCTCTATTTGACTGCCATCAGGTAGAACATATTGTTTTCTTTCTCCCTCCATTGATTCCTTATCAAAAAAAAACATTAAATCATTCAGCAAATAAGTACATGAGTAAAAAATAATTAGTCAGCTTTCCATGAAAATAAACAGAAATAATAGATTATAAGTCTACAACAACCTGAATTATATTCAAAAATCACATGTAATCTAAGGCTAAAAAAAAAAGAAAAACTAAAGGTACTGCATTATTGCACCACAAAATAAATCTATCTCACCTCTTTTTGTGGATTCACAGAAATATAGCAAGCTTCCTAAAAAACGAACACCATGTATGTAAGTTAACCAACAATGAACGTTATTATTCTATCAACAGTTTTAATCATGTGATATTACTATATAGAGGACATTCTACCCCACAACACATTCAAATGTAAGCTACATACGTGTAGTAAATACCGTATTAACTCGAATAAACGCCTCCCCCGAATAGATGCCGCCCTCATATAGACGCCRCACTTAAAGCTCAAAATATTAATAGACGCTGCCCCCGAATAGACGCCGCATCTGGGTGCGGCGTCAATTTGAGGAAATAATGATACCAGCAAWGGRAATTTATTTTCWYTTAGAACATTTTTTATTTCGAAGTGACTGTGCTTGTTTGATCTCAGCAGCTGTTCGATTCCGACCACAAGGAGGACATTGATGTTGAAATAGAAGTTTAACTCTGGTTAAAATCATAAATTGAATAGACAAAAATATGAATACGACATTTAATTTATATATTGAGATTTGTTACTGTTTGTAAGTAAAAAGATACAATATAAAGTATGGTATGTAGTAATGAATAAAGTGTTGTTTTAATATACGCCGCCCCCCGAATAGACGCCGCCCTCGATTAAACGTCGCAACTGGATCATGAAAAATGAAATAAACGCTGCAGAGTCTATTCGAGTAAATACAGTATGCTATAACTGTCTGATATATGAAGAGACATTTTTTACCTCTTTTAGACATCTTACAATCTCTAACTCAGACGAGGAGTGGAAGTTGTGCCCTTCTTTTCTTAAAAGCAGTCTTAAGTATCTTGAAACATCTCTGTTGAAAAATAATACAATGAAACAAACATATTGAGAGAGTAAAGTACATGTACTCTGAGAGTAAAGAAAAAGCGTGATTCAAGCTTTTGTTGTATAATTTATTACAAAACTTCCATTTAAAATATTATGTTAATTGAGTTGTCAAACTACCACTGCCCCAATCCACCCCTAGCAGCTTCATCACGACGACAAAACAGAAGATCAATATAATGTTCTCATGGGAACTAGAACCTATTGTTTTGTCTTACAGTTGGAGCTGCATTCTTAAGAGCTGCAAGTGGTCTATAGATACATGTAATGCGAAGGAATACCATTTTCCAGACTAAAGCATCTTTTGTAATGATAGAAAATGACTGTATTATCTTCACACTTTTATGCTCACTAGAATGGCCCCTAAAACAATTTATACTGTTACGTTTTTCCCCTGAAGAAATGTCCAAAATCAGGAGAATATTTTTACAGTTTTGCTTTGTTTAGCATTGTTGCACACTATCTATTTATAATGTAAAGAAAGATAGGGATTATTTTGATTGATATTTATGTTTCCTTTTGTTCCTGTTTCTGTCATACCTTCCTGCAATATCAGTTCTCATAATGGAGTGTGGCATAGCAAAACCTTCATAGATAGGTACCGAGTGAGTTACACCATCGCCAGAGTCCAGCACAACACCTGTTGTTCTACCTGTAGCATATCTATCAAACAGACAAACGAACAATAATAATTATGCTTTGGCTGTATACACGTGCTTCCTGGTCAAACAGATAAATAACTTGATAAAATCATTCTCCTGTATTATAAAATACAATGGGGATGAGGTATTTAGCTAAGGACAATAATGATGAACAAGAACAGCTACTATAAGAACAGCTATAAATAGCATAAAAAATAAACTCAAACTAGTAGCAAACTCAAGCAGGTTTTGTGCAAGATTGTAGTCTATAATTAGTCTATTGATACAATAAATAATACTTACAAACTTAGTACAGCTTGCATTGAAATAAAAAGAGCTGGTACATTAAAAGTTTCAAAGAATATCTGAAATAAAAAAAAAACAGTCTAATGAATACAGGTTTGTAACAAGTATTGGACACAAAATCAATATTGTTACATACTTCTGCAGCTTTTTCTCTGTTTTTTCTTGGATTTAAAGGAGCCTCTGTTAATAGGACTGGATGCTATGAAATTGTACAAAATGTGGATGAATTAGAGACCTACAATGAATTGAAACAACTACTGTATTTACTCATGTATAAGCCGCACTTTTTTTCCAAAAAAATCGTTCCCAAATCVGGGGTGCRKCTTATCTAYRAGAAGACTYGTAAAAATGCCCGATAAAAACTAATTTGCATAAATTAGCATTCACAGTGCTACTTACTGCAGACAGGACGGCGAGAACAGAAATTTTAATCCAAACTTCTCAGTATTACTATAAATTCTCCGAAAATCTAGCCCTGAGAAACACCAGTCAATAATTCACTGAAAAGTGTGCGGCTATTGAGCCAATGAACAGAGAGCATTTTGAATTGTTTTGTCTTGGAGTTGTTGTGGTAACGCGATGCTAATTTGGATCACGGAAATCGAGCAGCGGAAAAGCACTTTAAAATCAAAGAAAGCTGTGTTCGCAAGTGGCGATCAAAAAGAGAAAAGTTTATTTTCTGTCTTTTTTCCCCTCAAAAACGCCCCTAAAAGTCGGGGTGCAGCTTATACAAGGGTAAATACGGTACTTAATGTTACAAGGGAAAAATATAAAGTATGATTTGCAAAATATGCCTGAAGTACCAGTGCATTTTAAATTGGTTTTCACTAGTCTACATATATGAAACAAAGTGTTTGAGTGCAAATGCTAAAACCACGAGAACCTTTAGTAATTAGATATTCCTAAATTATACTGAATTAATTCCTTTGTTTCCTATGGTTTAATTTGAATTTGTATTTTTTTAATCTATTATATTTGTATTAATAATATAGCAACACTCTATTGAACTTTATACAACTTTTCAGTAAAATCAGATGTTTTGATTGGTTGGCTTTCGTGTGTTATCAAAGTATAGATACACGGATTACGTCAAAACTAATTGTTTTTTGTATAAAACAGATAGATCTCATTTTTCCGTGCGTGTGTACTCTAATAGATACACAGATGACGTCAAAATGTAGTGAGAACAACAGTCACGCACTCGACTGCGTCTCGTGCGTACTTTTTTGTTCTCACTACATTTTGACGTCATCTGTGTATCTATTAGAGTACACACGCACGGAAAAATGAGATCTATTTGTTTAGTACTTTTTAACAGTTTCATATTTTTATTTATATATTTTACCTCTTCTGAAAACGTTTGTAACTGATCTTTTGAATAAATATACTAGAAATAAATAATTCAAAGAATAATATGTCAATATAGTAATCATAGTTTAAAACAAAAACAATAACAAACAATGATAATTACAATTAAGACAAACAAGCATTACATGCATTGCAGTGTTTGCTTTTCAGACAAAAGTTGTGTATATATACACAATAAATAAACTAGCAATAAAAAAAATCAGCAATAAACTACCATCAAAGCAGTGCCAATGGTTTCTAATACTATTTCCTATTGCTGATTGCATGTCACTTTAGTCTGGGGTGGTCACATACTTGTAACAACGCAAATGACAATATTGCATGTAAATATATATTACATAATGTAAAATAAATAAAACACATAAAAACAAGAATAAAATCTAAAACTAGAACAAACCTGCCAGATTCTCTCCATATCGTTCCAGTCTTTCACTACACCATGCTAAATCATTGGAAAAAAAAGCTTTTTAGTACATGTTTTATATTATAATTAATATTAGTGCATTACCTCCATAGGGTACCTAATACTAAGCAGTCCTCTGTGTTCTTCAGCTTTAGGCCCAATAAATATGTCCCCTTCAAGGGCCCCAGCCATAACACGGACATGTTTTGGCCGACCAACACTGGAAAAAAATATGTGTAGCATGAAAATCAGATTAACAGCAAATCTTGCCTCTTTGTTATTATATATTTAAGAAATATAAAACGGCGCGCGTCTCTGTCCTCTGATATAAACACGGTGGGAGTTCAAAAAATACGAGAGAAGCAAGCTTAGCTTCTCTTGCTTCTCGAGTGTTATTCAACTCCCACCGTGTTTATATCAGAGGACAGAGACACAAGCAGCCGTTTTATAATTCTTTTATAAAATTTTTCGAGCGAAAAGCAAATTTTGCCGGTAAGCCGTGTCTCTTTCCTCTGATATAAACACGGTCGTCAGCCAATCAGAGAGCGCGCTATATATCAAAAATTTTATAAATATATATAATTAGCTCTACACTATAGTGTTGTGTATTGAGCACAGCTACTTCCTCATATGATCATTTTTTACTTAATAATTTGGAAAATGCTGCAATGGAGTTAAGGGATATGCTCAGACCACAGGAAAATGTTTAGCTTAGTAGTCATAATATTGTGGGTAGTGATAACAGAGGTCAAGTAAATTGTAATCATGGAGCACTGATATAAAATAACAGCTCTGAAGCGCACATTATGATGCGTGATGATTACTCTTTACAAATATCTTTTTAATGATCAACTCATAAAATATATGTTTATGTAAAATTGCTGAATTGATGTTTTCAAGACTCAAGTGCATATCCAAGATCATTTGAATGACTTCCTCACATGTTTAATAAACTTGTTTCTGAATAAATCAGGTCAAAAACAGATGTTTTTTTAAAAAACAAACAGTCGTCATTTGGCTTCAATTATGCTCTTCATTTCCGTAAATGTACCCATCACTTATATCAAGAAGCATAATATGCCCTCAAGTTATTTGACCTCAAGTCAGAGCTCAAACGCCATAATTTATAAAAAAAAGTCTCTGGATTAACATATTTGTAATTATCACACCTGAGCTGAGGCCAAATCAAATAATATAAGCAACATTCCAATAAATGAAGCACATTTTCAATGCACATGGGAGCGTGAAGAAAAGTCATTATTATTTGCTTATTCATAATGGTATTTGTTAATTCATAAGGTCAAGCACACAGTACATGATATGGTTATTGGCAGCAATTCCCAGTGCTATATCAACAACACATAAGTCGTAAGCATTTAATAATATTTTTCAGATGTTCTACACTTGTAAGATGAACTTTTATCGTTCCCCAGTCAACAGCATTGCATCATACCGTCTCTCGACAGGGCATGAGTCAAGCTACTTAAAAAGCGTCTATTGTTAGTCATGGTCTAGGATACTCTTTTTTCGGTTCAACCATGTGCTCGTCATGGGTAGTCACAGAGACAAAAAGCGAATTGTACTAGATGGATTTGCCTTAAATCTATTATTTTTGTATCATAAGTTCTCTATGATACAGCAACATTCAAAATAATGTAGTTTATTTTTTCATACTACTATTGGTTTAAGGTCAAGCAAACAGTAAACGACATATGTATTGACAGCTAGCGCCAGTGTTTTATCAACAACACAGGAAGGTCATAAGTACATGTATTTAATAATCTTTTCCAGACGTTTTGAAATTGTATGAACTTTCAGCCTTTAATGTCTTAATTCAACACTACAGCATCAAACAGTCTCTCTAATGATCACGAGTAAAACTGCTCAAAAATGACTATTGTTAGTTAAGGTCCAGATGCTCTTGCTTCAGTTCAACCATGTGCGCATCATGGTTGCGGTTATAGCCGCATAGACGCAAAGCAAATCTTCCACGTGTTAGTTGAACACTGTTGCATAATAACAAATCTCTATTGATCATGAATACAGCTGCTCAAAGCGTCTATTGTTAGTTAAGGTCCAGATGCTTTTGCTTCAGCTCAACCATGTGCACATCATGGGTGTGGTTATAGCCGCATAGACGCAAAGCAAATCTTCCACGTGGTAAAGTTGAACAGCGTTGCATAATAACGTCTCTCTATGTCACGAATACAGCTGCTCAAAAGCGTCTATTGTTAAAAAGTCTCGAATGTTCATCTTTCGGTTTGACCATGTGCTCATTGGTGGGTTAATAGTCAGAGAGACGCAAAGCAAATTTTAGATGGATTTGTCTTGAATATATTTTTTTTTTTTGCATTATTATAAGTTTTCTATGATAACGCAACATTCAAATTAATGCAGTTCTTATTTTCTTATTTGTTATACTATTGGTATAAGGTCAAGCAAACAGTAAAACGATATATGTATTGACAGCTAGTTATAGTTTTATATCAACAATACAGGAAAGTCATCAGTATTTCAATAATCTCTTTCAGAAGTTTTTAACTTGTATGGACTTTCAGACTTCCACGTTAATTCAACACTTAGTTAAGGTCCCAGATGTTCCTATTTCAGCCCCACCATGTGCGCGTTGTGGGTGGGGTTATAGTCGAGAGATGCAAAGCAAATCTTATATGGATTTGTCTTGGATCTATTCTATTTGTATTGTCAGTTCTCTATGAAACATTATATGTAGCTCTATATAAACACAGATTTATGATAGAATTATAATTACAATGTAATTCTTTGTTATTAGTGTGAAATCACAAATCTGTACACGTCTGGACATAAAAATATAAATTGATAATTTAACAGCAATTTAACTATAATAAACGTCAAAATAAAAATTTATCTAAAAAACCACGGTAACGAAGAGAGAAGAAAAAATTCCAATTTAAAATTCAAACGCTCTCATAACAGACCTAATTTGGCACGGCGCTTGAATCCATGTCCAATATAATGCTTGAGATTGATAGGTAAATTGATTATCAAGAAGTGAAGCAAAACTCCAAATTAATCTTCAATATTCTATCATCCTTGAAGATTAATAATGAGCGATGATGGTTCAAATTCATGTTTGTTTTTTAGACCATAAAAGTCATTGAATTAACTTATAGAGAGAAATCATGTTGTCGTTTAGCTAAAACTTACAAATTGCCAAAGTGATACTTAGGTACTTGATCTCCAGCAAAGCCCGCTTTTATAACACCAGATCCCTGTAGAAAAAACAGCAGTTGTAGATTAAACAAAAATCAAAATTTGGATACAAAGTGTTTACGAATGAAGTACAAATTGACCTAGAAGTCATATAAGATCACACGTAAAAAACAAGCAATTTCTCCTTAAAGGTTCCAAAATCTATGACTTACATTATCTATGACAATTGGTTGATTCGCAATCACGTCGAATTGATCCATATTTGCAATCTAGTGTTGGATTTTACGCTAAAATTTGAACGGCAACATGAAGAACTCCTGTACTCCGAAAAAATGGGCAGTGAAGGAGCCGAACACGTGACTGTGTTTAGCCAATGAAAAGCCTCCTAATAGCGCCAGCGACCGCATTTTTCATATCAGCGGATTTCTATTGAAATTTACAAATATTTTTGCTAATTTTAGGAAGTTTCAGCCTTTTCCTCAGATGTTTATTAAAAATTTCTTATTGATTTATAACTTAAGTTCTTTTAGAACTCTATCCCAGTTTGATAATTTTGATTTTAAAAGGAGCAAAAAAATTTTTTAAATACTACGCACAGGAGGGGAGTAATGCTGTAAATAACCCCAGCGAGGGAGGGGTAAGTTTATAGTAAATATCTTTTCAAAATGGCGGGTTGTCCACCGGTCAGAGGGCATCACGTAAATTATGGAATAGAAATTGCAGTTCGCTTTGTACTTTTTGTAATATTCTTGTAAGTATACACTATTAACTATATTATTAGATAAAAATCGTGGAGCAACTTGCCCTTTTCCCGAATTGTATAATTGTTTCCCCCGGCAATTCAACTTTTAACTTAAGCTTATCTTAAGTTAAGTACTTCTTAATCTTATGGAAATTTTTTTTAGTGTTTAAAAGTTAAGCTTAAAGTCATATTTTTGTTGCAGAGGGCTTGAGCTTAAGATCTTTGATTGTTACTCAGTATAAATCAGACTTTTTAAATGAGAATATTGCGAAGATTCGAGAAGAGGGAGCATCTTATACGAACGTAGTCCATATACAGCTGAGGCAACATATTGTCTACGTGTACTAAGTGTCATAGAGACGACGTCCCATTACTGATATATTATAAATGTATACTGTAGTTAATGGAACAGAGAGCAATTACTATTTTGCTTGCACATATTGTTGTTAACTGTTCAATGTTATGTTTTATTTTTTTTGTGTATAAATTTCTATTTAATTGTATGAGGAAGTAGCTGATCCCTTAAAGAGTGCTCAATACACATAAAGTGTAGAGCTAGTTATATATATAATATCAAAGAGGCCCCTCCAGGAATCTTGGAATTTACTGTTAACACTTTTTAGTGAAATTAAGAGGTTGAAATATTTTGTAAACAATTATAAATTTTTTTAATATTTCCAACAGAATATTAGAAGAAGCAAAACCATTTATACGAATTATTCATGACGAGGAAATGTGGCTCTATAAAAACCCAGTATCAACAGACACAGTCCCCACATATGCACTCTTTGTAAGTCAACACAGAGTAGGTTTGAGCAAATCATTGAATGATATTGCTGTCAATTATTGGAGTATTAGTTTATTATGGCGTCATATCAAAACATTCTATTGTTTTAAGAAGGTTTATGGTCCCCATAGGAGATCAGAGTGACTGCATATCAAATGAAATGACAAATCAAAACACAATACATTATTTTATGTCCTACTTTCAGGGGAATATAAAAGGGGTTCAAATTCCACTGTTTCCGATGTAAATAAACTGTGATGTCATAATGAAGTAGGGCAATTGTCCTATCACATAATGACAACACAATCTTGGAAATTTGGACCTATTTATAATTGTTATCTAGTTTTGACATATACCATAATATTGTATAAATGATTGCTCATTTTGTATTGTTGTTTGATAAGCAGTCATTTTTTCCACCTCTGGTGATTATAATCCTTAGCTGCTCTGCTCTCCTCTGTTTAAGCCATAAACAAGCAAGCAAGCAAGCAACAGAACTATTTATTCCGTATTGAATGTGATTAATTCTTTGTCCAATCAACTCAACATTTACTGTATCAAATGGCCTATTTACAAAATTTATTTTTTATAATTATTTTTCTTTCTTTTTTAGAGTATTACTTTCTTTGTTCCTTTAATAACCATTTGTATTCTCTGTGCTCTAAGAAGAGATAAAGTGGATGCAAGGGAAGCATTATTAGGTAAAAATTACTTCAAACCTTTCACCAATTGTGGAGTCCTTTTGAGAGGCTACTTATAAACATTAAAATAAATGAATAGAAAAGGAAAGGGAAAAAATGAGAGTGGGTGAAAGGGGTAATTTTCCCTAAGTCATACAAAGCAAAGTTTATTCATTTGAGTGTGTAAAAATTTCTCCCATAGGGGGTGGGATGGGTATACTAACCTTGTAAACCTTGTGACCATGACCAAGGTGTGGTAGTTGTAATTTTTCTCAATTCAGTGTTAGTGGCTAAGTGCAGTCGTGTTGTGTAGTCCACAGTACTTTATGCCATTGTTTAGTCATACAATTTCTGCTTTTCAGTCATAGTCTCCTTTGCACTCTTTCCTTTTGTGGGCTTCCTGTGCCTTTTCTTGAGATGGACAGAGGCCAGAATATAGAAGAGACTGTGAAGGAGATTATCTAATACAGTCAAAGCAATGCTTGCATTGAGGGAAATTCAATGTTCTATTCTTTTTTTAAATCTATTTAGGATTGAGCCTAAGTCTCGCTCTTAATGGTGTGATAACAAATACAATCAAACTAATGGTTGGAAGGTAATTTCATATATTGTTATAATATCAAACTTTACAGGGGCACTGTTCAGGGGAGGGTTAGAGGGCAACCTCATTCCCATCCCCTCTATCCCTTCAATTGGGGTCAGGCAGGGCAGGTTAAGCAGGACAGGTCAGGACCTCAAGTGAAGGTATAAAGGACCTAAGAACGAGGTTGGGTTACAGGCGTAATGGAATTCCCCCAATTCCTACTTATATTCTCATCCATCCATCCTTCCATTCAATCTTTAATTCATTCATTATTTTTTATATAATATTTTATTTTTATCAATTCAATTAGGATTTTTCTTTTCCAGCAATCTATTATTCATTTGTTTGTTCCGCTCTCCATTTCATTCATCTATTCATTCCATTCATTCCCATTTTTATTCATCTGTTGGTGTCTAGACCAAGACCAGATTTCTTCTGGAGATGCTACCCTAATGGTGTCCCAACAAAAGATTTGCAATGTGATGGTGATCCTGATACCATTATAGAGGGAAGAAAGAGCTTTCCTAGTGGACACTCATCATGTAAGACTTGAATTTCGTTTACTGTCTGACTGAAAAAATAATGTCACTGTTAGCCTGTTGTTTGGGCTTCATTTGTAATGACTTAACAATCACAAGGGAACAAATCAAGAGCGAAAAAAGAACAAAATCTGAAAAGGCACATAGAAGCCAGAACCTTTCAACTTCATTCTCCGCATCTTATACACAGGGAACCCAAGATCAGATTGAAAACAGCCCTATGCCTCTAAAGTTTTTCTTGGCATGCCTTAGGCATGGTTCGATAACCAATCAACATACTAAAAAATGAGCTTTGCTAAACACTGTGACCATCTAACACTATTTGACAGGATTTTTTCTCCTTGTTAGGCCAAGGTGCAAAACCATATTGAATTTTGTGGATACATTTGTACCAGACGTGTTCTGGATTATAAAGTCCATTTACATGCAACTTGTCAACTATGCAATGTTTTGTCACATCATCTCTTCCTCATGTCATAGGATTTTGAGTCTAGGTTCAAAAGCTTAGACAAGTATTAGGGTGCACACCTCTTATTGTAGAACCATTCACACATTCTGACATTTATGATCCAGGTCATACATGACAAGTCAATTTGATGTATAAACCATCCTTAACAACTGATATATATGAAAATTATCTATGCAACATTAATATTTATAACTGCCATTGTTCCAGGGGCATTCAGTGGTCTGGCATACCTGTCACTATATTTATGTGGGAAACTTCATTGCTTTCATGGCCACGGCCGAGGACAAGGCTGGAGACTTTGTGCATCCCTAGCACCAGTGTTAAGTGCTTTGGCAATGGCACTTACAAGATATTCTGATTATAAACACCACTGGCAAGGTAAAAACAACAAACAATTTTGGGATAGAATGTTAAAAGGGAGACCTTATAAAAAATCCCCAATTTTAGCTCAATTCAAATTTAATTGTATGAGGAAGTAGCTGATCAATTCAAATTTAAAAAGAAAGCATGAGCAAACCTACCATTACACCAAAAAAAAAGCAATTCCAAATATATTTAATGATAGTGAATGTGAATTATTACTTTATAGGTTAGTCAAGTTTTGATATTAATTGTTTGAAAGAAGCTCAAGTTATGAGTTGAACATCAAATATCCAATTTAGCATTTGGCAATGATGATCCACCTTTCAATGTAATGCCTTTTTTGGCAAGAATTTAACATCTAGGTTTCCCTTCTTAATGTTATCTAATCATGATTTCCTTTTTCAGATATTACTATTGGGTCCATTCTTGGTAAGTTGGCAGTGTTAGATTGGGAGGGAGATGAACGAAAAGTAGACACTTATTTCTCTTCTCCCATTTTGTTTTTCATACCTTCTATTTCCTCTGACTATCTATGTATGCCTTTGTTAGTAACGTCTTAAAATGCAAGTAATTACCATTTTATTCATGTACACTTTCAGGTCTCACAATAGCAATCATCTGTTACCGTCAGTACTACCCAGCCCTAAACAAGCCACACTGTGATCTGCCATATACTGCCTTTGTTCCCTTAAAACACATCGACGACAATCATACCCAAGCAATTTTACCACTTTTGGCATCTGATGCCAATAAGAGTAACTTCCATCCTGCTATTACAAAACACTTATAACAATAGGTAGGAAAAGTGTATTATAAGGATAAAAGAAAATATTGTTAATATAATGTGTACCATAGATGGTTTTACATGAAAGCCATCTATATTCAAAGAAGAAAAAGGTGCAATTAGACGTAAGCAAACCAGAGTTGAAAAATATTTTGCAGGCAAAGTTATATGATGTAACATAAAGGACATATGAAATAAAATGTTTTAGGGAAAAGTATCATTCTGTACATACTCTGTGTATCTACAAATGGTTAGAGTTTGGGATATTACTTGATGGGTTTATTTACGAAAATCCAGTGGTCATGATAAAACATTCAAAAGCAGAGGAAGATATAAAATTGTAGCATTTGATCAACTTATGCGAGTGCTCTGCGTGGTCCTGTAGCGTGCAATAATATTTCACCAGTACATGCATACAAGCTCTCTGGGAGAGGCATGCATCTTTCTATAGGGTGGCTGGGCTGCTGTGGTTTGTCCGAAAATGAACTAGTGAAAAGATGTATTGATGCGGTTTATTTAACACATTTTTGACAGTTTTATATCTATTGAACATTTACAACATTCTAGTGGCGCGAGGTTTGGTGCAAAACTGAGGAAATCGTCAGTATGTTGGCACTTCGAGGTATTTTCTTTATACTTCAGGGTAGTGCTTAGCTTTACCGTCTTCAGCACACGAACAGAACGGGGGATTGCAACAAGGCTGCAATCCAGAAAAGCCAGCTTTCCACAAATAATTATTTTCTAACTGATTCGGCACTTCATCGATGCTTCTTGTATGGTCATCAACAGCTTTGTTGATAGCTTGAAGCATAGTTATTAACTATGCTTGAAGGACCTTCTTGTACACTTTATCATTTGGGTCTAGAGGATGACTTTCAGTTGGATCAGTCGTTATATCATACAACAACGGTGGATTTTGGTCAACTGAAAATCCCTCGTAGCACAGACACAATCCACGACATACTTGAGTTCCATCGATCCATTTCGGTGTTTTCAAATGAGCTTTCCAAGTGGTCTTTCCATCGCGAGGCCTGTAGCGCACTGCGTGGATTTCTTTGGCACAGTAGTGGAACATGAATTCATGTGGAGACACTTTCTGTTKTTGTGTAAGCAAAGGCATCAGRTCTTTACCATCGATGAYTCTGTCATTAGGAATCGGTGCTCCAGCTATGTGTGCAATGGTTGGGAAGACATCTAAGCTGTTGGTTGGTTCGCTGATGCTGATACCTTTTGGAATACGAGCTGGCCAGGAAACTAATGTTGGTACTCTGATACCACCTTCCCAACTTTGCCCTTTACCTGGAAACAACAAATATTCGACTTAGTATAAATAAAAAAAAATGACCATTAGCCGTGCCTCAGTATTATAAAGGAAAGTGTAGAGATGAAAAGAAAGCAAATTATTCTCTCACTCCATGAAAGAATGTTAAATATTCCATATATATATATCTTGAAATACACTATTTCAATGTCAGCTAGTGACTATGTTCTGCAAACGGCCTTTTCACACCTACCTCCTGTATAGATTCCTCTCCATCCTCCTTGATATTCTCCATAAAGAGATTCTTCCAAGTGAGGTCCCTGATCAGATGTAAAGTACGCAAACGTGTTCTTCTTGAGACCAAGTTTGTCCAGCGTTCTCATGATCTCACCCACACTCCAGTCCATCTCTTCCACGTTATCACCGTAGCGACCATGAACGCTGTGACCTTCAAATGGTTTAGTGGTAAACAAWGCCGTGTGTACCTTGGCGTACGACATGAAAAGTACAAACGGTTTTTGTTGGTTTTGTTCAATAAAGTCAATGGCATAGTCAGTAAATCGTGCTGTTAGGTTCTCTAATAGAACTGGCTGTTCCACTATTTCATAATCTCTCATTAAGATGCACGAGATACGAGTGCCTATGTTCGTGATAAGACAAATGACCCCATAGAGTAAGCCAGTAATAAAACAAACTGCAAATGCTGATCGCTTCGGTATTAAACCAAGGGCACAGCAGAGGATCCCAGTGAATGACGCAAAAAGAAGACTGGAGATTAAGTTCCACCTGAGATTTGGATAAAAAAGCTCATACGTGAGGTATCCTCCAATTTCACATTCCCGACAATTGCTCAGTGGAAGACCGTAGAAATGTTGAAAGCCATGACGCATGGGATGGAAGTGGTAGTCGTCTGATTTTTTGTTGTTCAAACCCAAGTGCCATTTTCCCACCATTGCTGAATATAAAACAAATGCCTATGCATAAGTCATACATGTACCCATTGGAAGAAGTGATGGTATGAAATGACACGGTGTTCAGAGCGGCGGGGATGTTCGAACAGAGGTTTTAGTAATAAATCAAAACGGCTGCTCTTGGGAGAAGGCAGTCTTTTCATATTGTATAAAGCAATCTCAAGGATCTTATGAACTGAATACGAGAGATGCTTATGATGTTATAAAGGCAAATCACGTTCTGCAGCAATTTCCTGAGGAAGCAGGAACAGATCTTAAATTAATATCCCACATTCCATAATTTTTTTTCACAATTTCTGGCTCAGGCCGTAGGTATTTCTGGGTCATTTTCTCCCAAAGTGATGTCCCTGGCTCTTATTTACTCTATTTTATTATTTGCAATTTCTTCCTCATCCCAGAAGCTTTTGAGGAATTTTCGATTTCCTTTTCCTAGTCAACTGTTCTTCCAACCTCTTCCCACGCAGGTGTTTTAATTGTTTAACAAATAAATGAAAACGAAAAATCGTTCAATATAAAGAACAATAATGTAAATAACGTATAGTCAAAAGAACAATGATGAATATTTGATAAAGTTTTAATAATTGGATGGATATTTAACATTTACAACACTCTACTCAATTTGGCTAGGCCTTCGCATTAATGAATGTGATGATAAGCTCTGTGAAGGAGCATCGCTATGTTCTACTAACATTTTTCAACGATTTACTGTGACATTTAATGCACTCTTAATCTTTATTAAGTTTACAAATTAACAAACTCATGATCACTGGCAGGAAATCATCAGAAAAGAACTATATTATCAGATTTTGGAAATCACTAAAACAAGTTTTCTCTGAATACTCATTTTTAAGTTTAAAAAATTGAAAATCTTCCTAATGAATTAGTATCCATTTCTTGGCGCTTTTGTGTATCTTGCTCATACTTCAGGGTAGTGCTTAGTTTTACCGTCTTCAGAGCACGAACAGAACGGAGGATTACAGCAAGGCTGCACTCCAGAAAAGCCGCCTCTCCACCAATTGTTGTTATCCAGTTGATTTGGCACTTCATCGATGCTTCTTGTATGGTCATCAACAGCTTTGTTGATAGATTGAAGGACCTTCTTGTACACTTTATCATTTGGGTCTAGAGGATGACTTTCAGTTGGATCAGTCGTTATATCATACAGCAACGGTGGGTTCTGGTCAACTGAAAAACCCTCGTAGCATAGACATAATCCATAACATACTTGAGTTCCATCGATCCATTTCGGTGTCTTGAAATGAGCTTTCCAAGTTGTCTTTCCATCGCGAGGCCTGTAGCGCACTGCGTGGATTTCTTTGGCACAGTAGTGGAACATGAATTCATGTGGAGACACTTTCTGTTGTTGTGTAAGCAAAGGCATCAGGTCTTTACCATCGATGATTCTGTCATTAGGAATCGGTGCTCCAGCTATGTGCGCAATGGTTGGGAAGACATCTAAGCTGTTGGTTGGTTCGCTGATGCTGATACCTTTTGGAATACGAGCTGGCCAGGAAACTACTGTCGGTACTCTGATACCACCTTCCCAACTTTGCCCTTTACCTGGAAACAAGAAATATTCGACTGAATATTGAATAAAGAAAAAGAAATCACACTTAGTCGTGCTTCATTAAACTGGATACAAAAAGGCTAAGCAAATTAGCCCAAAACGTCGATTGTAAGGCGCGCCGCTATACTTCAAATGATTTAATGTAAGCATACTCCTTTGTGTCTGCCATGTTTATGTCCAGGAACTCAACTGGGATATGGAATTTTAAGTACTTGCTTTTCTCCCTTCCTGGATAACAAGATAGATCAATCTTTTCCAGGAAGTGAGGATTAGTACTTTCAAGATTAGCTTATGAACCATCTTCATGGATTGTAGCATGAAGGAAATGATAGGGTACTGTATGCTTAGCCACCCAAACACTTTTCCTGCAAAGGAAATTTTTCTTTTTGATACATAATAATGAAACACAACATCATCAGTTTTGGTCACTGTAATTTAATCAGACAACTACCTCCTGTATAGATCCCTCTCCATCCTCCTTGATATTCTCCATAAAGAGATTCTTCCAAGTGAGGTCCCTGATCAGATGTAAAGTACGCAAACGTGTTCTTCTTTAGACCAAGTTTGTCTAGCGCCTTCATGATCTCACCCACACTCCAGTCCATCTCTTCCACGTTATCACCGTAGCGACCATGAACGCTGTGACCTTCAAATGGTTTAGTGGTAAACAAAGCCGTGTGTACCTTGGCGTACGACATGAAAAGTACAAACGGTTTTTGTTGGTTTTGTTCAATAAAGTCAATAGCATAGTCAGTAAATCTTGCTGTCAGATTCTCTAAGAGAACTGGCTGTTCCACTATTTCATAATCTCTCATTAAAATGCATGTACCATGAGTGCGCAGTTTCATTAGAAGACGAAGACCTGCAAAGCCCAAGCCAGCCAGAAGACAGAGCATGATTGCTGACCGCTTAGATATCAAACCAAATGAACAACATAGGATCCCAGTTAATGAGGCAAACAACAAGCTGTACATCAAGTTTCCTCTGAGTCTTGGGAAGACAAGTTCTACCAAATTGGATCCCCCAATTTCGCATTCTCGAAGATTAGTCAGCGGAAGACCGTAGAAATGTTGAAAGCCATGACGCATGGGATGGAAGTGGTAGTCATCTGATTTTTTGTCGTTCAAACCCAAGTGCCATTTTCCCACCATTGCTGAATGTAAAACAAATCAGGGCTATGGTAAATCATCTTAAATGGAAGTAACTGTCAGATTTCATTTTGCCTTGGGATCCCTCTGGGATCAGATTGGCCGAGTAGGAAATAAAAAGCATTCAATGAGGGCTAATTGCCGGCTTGCGAATTTTGCCTCAGTAGTCACACACAAAGGAATCAAGAAGGGCGCCGTAAAGTAGTTTTTCATGACTGACAGTGAGCTTTATGCGGTAACGTCGCGTGTTTGACTATTGAGGCGAAATAGTGATAACTACTAGCTAATAGCCCATGAGGCCGTAGTCCACGAGACCGAGAGTTCTAATTGTTTTAGTATAAACATACTAATCCGTCAAATAATGAAAACAAATTGAAATATCCTTAAAATAATTTATTAATGAGATGCCGCCATTTTGATTTTGCCGCGAGTGGTCTATCACAAATTAGACCATTAGTAGAGTAGCCAATCACAGCGCAGTATGAGTGATAGACCATTAGTATGTTTATAATAATAGCATTTAGACTCTCCCACAGACTGTGGAAGTGTCTAAAGAACATTGAAATAAAATGTGTTCCAATGATCAAAGAATGGATACTTTTTTGGGATACCGGAAACAGCTTCGTAGAAGTGATTAGCATACGATCCGCCTACATGTCATAGGAAATTCCTAAAGACGTTCGAAGTCGCGATGCAACGATTTCTGCTGTAAATTTTAAGTAAACGACTCAAATTATCAGTGTTGCAGTAAAAGCGCACAGAGTACAGATGGATTTTCGTAAATTATTCGTATTGTCCCTGTGTTATATGCATCTCATTAAATGTTAAGTCTATAAAATGGTTGGATATTACGAAGTGGGGACCTTTTAATGCCTCATGGACCCTCATTCAGTCGTACTAAAACTTAGGGGTTAAGGTTATTGGGGAAAATGCATTTGCACAGTCTACACTAATTAGGTACAAGTTACCTGTGGAGTAACCAACATCTTGTAACACCTCAGCAAAAGTAGTTTCATTCTGCGGTAATCCACCAGGCGCCGACAAATACAAGAACATGCGATGCTGATCAGGATTCGAAGCCAGCCCACTTCGTATAGGGTAGCGACCTGTCACAAAGGCAGCCCTACTCGGAGTACAAACCGATTCTGGTGCTAAGTTGTGATCAAGACGCGCTCCTTCTGCTGCCAGCCTGTCGACGTTTGGTGTCTTGATAGTTTTGTTCCCAAAACATCCAATGTCACCAATACCAAGATCGTCAACCAAGAATAGAACAAAGTTGGGCTTAGATTGTGCATGGCAAGTAACGCCAGAGAAAGCTACCAGTGCGAGAACCAGCCAAGACATGCTTGCTTTTCTTGCTCAGCTCAGTTTTACAGGGCGTGTGTTTGCTGAGCTGTGGATGAACTCTGCAGCAGTGAGTCACGCTATTTGCTTTGTAAATGATATCAGCCTGGATATGACATAGCATTTCGCTAAGTTCGTTACTCACAATGGCAGACATAAAAACAACAAAACATCCAATTTAAAACATTCAATTTTGGAGCAGTTATTGGCGTCTTTTTCAAATTTGCAATTTCTTGCATGTTAATTAGATTTTTAAGTTGATTAATTTTAGACTTAGTTTCCGGTCGTCTGGCAAATCTTATTGTTCTTGCATGAGCTTTACAAGGACCTTTTGGGCCAAAACCATTTTGAGGGAGGAGTGGGAGTGGAGACCATAAACTCCAACCATAAACTCTTTCCATCTTCCCCCTCATCCTCGGGAACCCAGGCGTAAAAATCTTCTGTCGCGTTCGTTCCTCTTGGAGTGAGGAACGAGCGACGGAAGATTATACGCCTTGGTTACCAAGGATGCAACCCAGAAAATTTTCCCTGAATATCCGAAACGGTTTTGATTGATGCATAACTTTAACATATTGTATTTTTGTAAAGGAGTCTATGCACAGCTCAGTGCGATGTAGACTAAACTTGTATCAATTTCGTGCCACTCTCATCATAAGATCGAGCCATTCTTGAATGAAGAGAATCGAATCGGTTCTTAAAATCAACAAAAGTGATGAAAAGGTCAAGCAAAATGTCACCCCCGATTTTGTGTTGTCATCGTCGTTTTGTTTGAAGATAACACGTCGTGCCTTGTGTGAGATGTAATACTGTGTTTCAGCGGATAATACATGATCTGTATCAGTATAAAATAAAGGTAATGGCTTTAATGGGGCCCTTTTAATTTACACTCGCTTTTGTAAACTTTTTCCCGTTGTTTTTATTACGACTTTTATGTCACTGCGATCCTGCAAAATCTCTGTAAATTCAAATTTCAGAAGATTAATTACTTCTTGCATAATATAAAATAGATCTTTTTTACACTGTTTCCAAGGGCGGCACAAAAAAATATCGAGAATCTGGAGTATTTTAAAATGCACATGTGTCACGTACTCCAGCATATACTGTGACAAGGTGACATCACAGCGTGATGTTTCCTAACCTCACAAAGCAGACAAATTTCACTCGTTATGTTTACTTGGCTGGTTCTTTCATTGGTAGCTTTCGCTTTCATCCCTAGCCAAGTACAATCCAAACCTAATTTTGTCATTTTCTTGGTTGACGATCTTGGTATTGGTGACATTGGATGTTTTGGGAACAAAACTATCAAAACACCAAACGTCGACAGGCTGGCCGCGGAGGGAGCGCGACTAACCCACAATTTAGCACCAGAATCGGTTTGCACTCCGAGTAGAGCAGGGTTTCTTACTGGCCGTTATGCAATACGAAGTGGACTGGCAGCTAATCCTCATCGTATCAGAATATTTCTCTATTTATCAGTTCCTGGCGGTTTGCCTCAGAACGAAACGACTTTTGCTGAAGTACTGAAAGATGTTGGTTATGCAACAGGTTAGTGTGAGACCCCCTGGTGACAGTGTCGCACCAGAGTCATACCCAGTAGTTTCTCTTGCTCGTTTTACGGGTCACRTTGGTTCAAGGGAAATCAGAACTACCCCTTGATCCTTTGCGCGCGCTAGAGAAAAAACAAGAGTGACGACTGGGTACGAGTCTGGTGTCGCATTACAGGCCTGCTATTACCTGTCATCCGGACACTTTTAGGGACCCCGCTAATACGGGCACCAAGCTTTTAATAACCACCCATCAGAACAGAGTGAACGGACACAGTCAGTTCCAGACAATGTACAACAGATGCTGCTGTAGGTTCATTATACTATTATGATATTTGCTTTCAGCAATGGTGGGAAAGTGGCACTTAGGCTTAAATCTCAACAAATCAGATGACTACCACTTCCATCCTCTCCGTCAAGGGTTTCAACATTTCTACGGCTTACCGCTGACGAATTTTCGAGAATGCAAGGAAGGACACTTCATCTTTGAGCTGCTTTACCCGAATCTTAAACGCAATTTGTCGTACACGTTGATTTTCACGTCAATCACTGCCCTAGTTTGCTGCGCGACTGGCTTGCTATCAAAACGAACTGCACTTCTGCTATGCATTCTCTCGGGGTTTATTTACGGATGCTTTGTCTTTGGAATGAAAGTACGACGTCATACTGCTTGTGTTCTGATGAGAGATTTCCAGGTCGTGGAACAGCCAATTATATTTGAGAACCTGACAGCACGATTTACTGACTATGCTATTGACTTTATTGAACAAAACCAACAAAAACCGTTTGTACTTTTCATGTCGTACTCCAAAGTACACACAACGTTGTCTACCACCAAACCATTTCAAGGTCACAGCGTCCATGGGCCCTATGGGGATAATGTGGAGGAAATGGACTGGAGTGTGGGTGAGATCATGAACACGTTAGACAAACTTGGTCTCAAGAAGAACACGTTTGCGTATTTTTCATCTGACCATGGACCGCACCTTGAGGAAACCTACATGGAGAGTGCCATGGTGGATCAAGTGGAATCTATAAGGGAGGTAATTGGAAGAATTACTAGCGATTACTATGCGGCTTCCGGAAGGTTTCTTTACGAGATATGACAATCATGTATGGACAAGTTTTTAAACTTGTCCATACTTTTTAAAAAACGTTAACTTTTGGCGAAACACACAAGTTTGGGTAATTATTGTGTCTTCAGTTGCGATTTTTCCCTCTTTTCACACGATAAAGCAGTATAGCTTTTTAAATCTGTTTATCAGCTATTTTGTCCACATGCAAGCTACGCGGAACGGTAATATTCTACACCAACGCTACTTGTTTCCCACTTTCTCACCTTTAACATGGAATAGTCTCATTTATTCGTTTTTTGCGAAACTGCGCCTGTCTTTTTATTTGGTCCATGAGCGCGCACTGATCATTATAGATTTATAATCAAAGTTATCAGTCATTAAAAGTGCCTTCCGGTCGACTAACTGGAGGAGTCTAATATGGCGCAGTGCAGGAGCTATGAAGGGAACTTACGTTTTAAAGAAGAAACTCTTATTTTTTTTTCTACTAACGAAGACAATAAACAATTTTTCTTTCAGGTAAAGGGCAAAGTTGGGAAGGTGGTATCAGAGTACCAACAGTAGTTTCCTGGCCAGCTCGTATTCMAAAAGGCATTAGTATCAGCGAACCAACCAACGGCTTAGACGTCTTCCCAACCATTGCACACATAGCTGGAGCAMCGATTCCTAATGACAGAATCATCGATGGTAAAGAYCTGATGCCTTTGCTTACWCAAMAACAGAWAGTGTCTCCAYATGAATTCATGTTCCACTACTGTGCCAARGAAATCCACGCAGTGCGCTACAGGCCTCGMGATGGRAAGACCACTTGGAAAGCTCATTTTAAGACACCAAAATGGATCAATGGAACTCAAGAGTGCAATGGAATGTGCCACGAATGCTACCATGAACACTCTGTTAGTACTCATAAACCTCCTTTACTATTCGACATAACGACAGACCCAAGCGAAAGCAACCCAATTGATCCAAATGGAGTAGTATTCAATAAGATTATCAACGCTATTCATGAAGGTGTTGTTCAACATCGGGACAGTATTGTTGATGTTCAGAACCAGTTAGATAAGAACCTCCTTTCGGACATGTCTGGCTTACAGCCTTGTTGTAACTTTCCATTTTGCTCATGTTCTGAGAACGTTGAAGTGAAGCATTACCCTGTTCTGTAAAATAGTAATGGGATTATTATACCCTACGTCGCCCTCGCAAGGAAAGTCAATTTTCCCTGCAAAGCGTCTCAAGGGTTAGCACATGACAATACGTTTTCGTTGCAATTTTACCTGCAAAGCATCTCAAGGGTTAGCACATGACAATACGTTTTCGTTGCATGTCTTGGCTGATATGCGGCCTGTTATATTGAATTGTTAGAATTTAAATCACTGATCTACACTGGAAAAAATCGCGCGCTTTAAAGGTTGTAAATTTGATGTAAATATTGTGTAAGTGTCCAAAATGATGTAAATTTGATGCTTAAATTTGATGTAAATTCACATCAAATTTACATCATTTTGGACACTTACATGATATTTACATCAAATTTACAACCTTTAAAGCGCGCAATTTTTTCCAGTGCTAATGGCATCTTTGTTTCTGTGTTATAAAATAAAGTGCCTATATACTACGTTGAACTCCTTTGTTTGAAACTTCTATGATTTACTAGATCCAAATCGCGAAGTGAAGCTGGTTTCAGACAATCATTTGTAATAAGACTAGAGTGCTATAGCCTTCAGTGGTAATGTTATTCTCGTACGGCCTCGCGAGGTACTCTTATGATACTTTATACGATATCGCATGCGCAGTGTTGACCGCCTAATCAACTGCCTAGCCACAATTGCATCAAAGCCCAAAATGACTGCTCTAGTTTATCGGTGCAGACCAATAGTAACTAGGGCTCTAGAATGAAATTGGCTCGCGCAACTTTTGTATACTTGATAAAGTGTGATCGGAAAAGCATTCTTGTGCCTTTGTGGAAATTAAACAGAAAAAAACAAACAAACAATATTAAGGCTTTTAAAACTTTATTTCCATATAGAGATATATACTTCTAGGTTAAAAATGTCCAACTAGTCTTGGTTGTTCGAATCTCCATTAGTGGGCTCTAGTTCAAAAGTAAGTCTTGGCACCAAGGGAGATTGGAACGACTCGTTTCTAGGTTTGGGTGTTTAAAACAAGATGTATATGCTATCCTAGAGCTAATTATTAAAAGATCTATGGAGTTAGCCCTAGGTTGACGCTTATCGAGCTTTAAACAATCCTCGTTCCAGATTATTATATCGCACACGTCTAATAATAAAGTGATATTTTATCAAGCTATTATTACAAAGTACAAAGTTTTCAAATATGATAATATACTATCAGCAATGATATCAAGTTACCAATCGAATATGGTTATAAAGCATATAGAATCTATTTCCTTGTGTTCATTAATAGTTTGTCAGTTTAATTCTCACCAAAATTTTACTTAGTATATGGTTCGGAAAACATTTCGATTACCTCTCAATGGTCTTTTCCACTGATGACGTCATGACTGTTTTCGCGAAGTGCATCATGGTATTGATATGAGTATGGCGGATGTCAAAGAACGAAGTTTCTATTATTAAAAAAATAACGTTCGCCGTTGTTGCTTAAAACAACATAAAATAAGATTCCTTTCAACATTTATCCTACAAGAGGCTGTGTGGAAAAATAAATAAAGCTTGTTGTTCGCAAAACAGTCTGCAAAACAATCGATACACAACATGCCTCAGTCGGTACGTTCGTCAATTCTTCGTGTGCATGTGATGTCATAGTCACGCAAAAAATCTCGCAAAATCCAAAATATTTTTGCTAAAGAGYTGTTCTTACAGTATATCTTAAATATATTTCTAGATAGTGTGTATGGAAATTTTCAGACGAATTCAACGCTTTGGTGGCGAATCACAAAAGTTTTAGTTTGTGCGGAGTTTAATTTATTCTACTTTTAGATCGTAAACAAAAACTTCGAAATTGGATAAATCATACTTTCAACTCCGTAAGAACTTACTTAWGGTGATTTTTCTTTGAAATAAAGCCATAATTGAACAAAATTTACAAAGGAAATCAAGGAAACCAGAGTTTTTGAAGTCAATTTGAAACCAGCCGCCATCTTGGATGATCAAAGTTATCATCCAAGATGGCGTCCCCATACAAATTAACCAAATATTTCAAATCTTTATTCGCTGATATCTTCATCAGAAAGTAAGCTGCAAGCCTTAAAGCTCGTATTCTAGATAATCTGAGTATGCTCTTTGTGACTCGCTACTTGGTTTTTGAAAATAACGACTAATAAATTTTCACTTTGGGGGTTGCACACCAAGAATTCCATGGTGCAGCTCGCCGTCATTAGCTGAAAGGACCATTCCAGACGCGTACAGCTAAGTTTTCCGTAAGAATAAATACTTATCTGCTTAAACATGAGCATAATCATTACAAACTGTCTTCGATAATTTGTTAAGAATTCTTACTGATTATGCGTATCGGTACTAAGAGAAGACTTACGTTAACTCTCTTGCGTGACATTATGAAGATTTACGTACTAATCTTACTTGTAGAAATCTATATCTGCGTTATATAAGTGCCGCGTTCTTTTATAGCTTTGCGTAAAAAGCTACGTTTCCGAGGTACGCTTCTCATCCCACATCACTTATTCTATATTTGTTAATCTTTTCTATAATGGTCAAGTCACACAGTTCAATGCTAAACACGCTTATGTAATTCAACGTAATATTACAGGAAATATTTAAGTTGCAATTATCGTTGTTAGAAATAATACCAAATACTATTTAGCATCGTTTTCTTACGGAATCATTCAAAGAATAAATAAGTAAAGCAAGTCAGTGAATGACAGCTGTCAATCACTTCCGGGAGGTATATTTACAACGTTTATAAAACGTCTGTCTGTGCAAGTTTGCTCTCTTTGAGAGCAGTAAAGATAATATTTATATATTTTACAATGTCTTATGTATAAGTTTAACTTACAAATCTTAAAGTGTTATAGTATCGCGTGCTCAGAAATGGTCAGCAGTTTTACACTCTGGTTGGTTGTATCAATCCATACTTCAAAAACGTGACTGTATGCGTAGCCTTAGCCTCCTTTGCAGACGTTATTAGGGAACGTATATGACCGATACTAATAACGTCTGCAAAGGAGGCTAGTGTAGCCTTTGACACATGTTTTTGTTGGGCCTTGAAAGGCAAAATGTGCGAAAATAAAAATATACAAACAGCCAAGGTTTCAGACATTTATGTGTTATATATAAAAGCGTTTGAGAATCTCGGAAATTCTTGGGAATCTCTCTGGGAAGTGCTTTGAGAAGCGAATGATGGTATGAAAGAATTTCAAAAAAGAAAACTGAGCAAGACATGAGAAGTATAAAACAACAAAATTGTTATGTTCAATGGAATTCATAAAAGTCAAAGAAAAGAATGTATTTTTGTACAGAACACAGTGTAGGAAACCGAGTAAAAGACCATAATTTTTTTTTACAATGCATGGAAGGAACTGTGAAAACCCGATATAAGATCATATAGAAATAATCTACGTCCTAGTTATAATAAAATTCCGTGTTAAGAAAACGCCTGAGTGGAATTTATAAATTATTGTGTATAACGGAGTTCTGCAACATCACCAAAGTACGTTCAAGTTGGATGTAGTATAAATCCTATACATTCCTCGACAGAAAAAAATCAAGTCTCGCAATCAATTTTTGGGCTTCCTGTGGAGAACTTTTTAAAGTTCCTCTCATCCAACATGGCGGTCATGGTTATACTGCAAACTTCCTATATAAGTAGATATATTGATAAATAGTTTGAAGACCTGATGGACATTGTAGTAAAAATAAGGTTGGCATGGTGTATATAGATAATTTGAAAAATGTTGAATGGTGCTTATTGATTGCAAATATTCAAACACAAGTTTGTAGAATTAAGTAAAATTGTAGTTTACACTATAAATAGGATGCTTCTCTGAGAAGAGCTGAGACGGAGATAACGAGAAAAGCAAGGGAATCATTTGCAATGCTTACGTTTCAAGGCTTACGTCTTTTGCGTTCTCCATTTAGTATTCCCATTGAGTTGATGTCAGACAGAGACATAAGCATTTTAAAAAACAGCCGCATGTTATCATGTTGAGTAATTGTAAGATAACAAGTCAATTTAGAAATCATTCCTGCAAAGTTTAACATATGGAACAACATTATCCAAATCACCAACTTTTTATTTCATCTGAGGGCATTAAATGGCTTGAATGCTGTTTTCCTGTCTTTTTAACAATATCAAGCTGCGTATCTTTTCTTTAGGTTCTCCCGGACTCGCTGAAAATAAATACAAAAATTAATAAAGGGCTTCCAACAGAAGAACCAATTGCCCTATATCATAATGACGTCACAGTATGTTTACATTGTAGGTAGATGCACAGAAAGACTCGAAATTTGGACCTATTAATATTTTTTTCCGAAAGTAGAACAGTTTAGTGTATCGAGTTATGATAGCTCATCTACATTGTATTTGATATGCAGTCACTCTGATCCCTTCTGCCGATCATAATCCATTTGGTGTGACGTAATCATGCGATCTGAGTGTTTGCTTCCTAAGAAATGCTGTTAAGTCCTCTTTGTACAGAGGGACGTGACGCGAGACGGGTGCCTACACTATAACATCTTTAATCGAGAAGACGTGATGATTTAAATCATTTTAGTATAAACATACTAATGGTCTATCACTCATACTGCGCTGTGATTGGCTATTCTACTAATGGTCTAATTTGTGATAGACCACTCGCGGGAAAATCAAAATAAATAAATTGTAAATTGTAAATTATTTTAAGGATTTTTCAATTTGTTTTCATTATTTGACCGATTAGTATGTTTATACTAAAACAATTAGACCTCTCGGCCTCGTGGACTACGAGCTAATAGCCCATTCGGCCTCGCGGACTCGGCCTCATGGGCTATTAGCTCGTAGTCCACTCGACCTCGTGGTCTAATTGTTAAATAGGTGGAAAAACAAAGATAGTAACACCTCATTTACAAGTACCTATGACGCATTTCACAATAATTGCTTATTCTATGTTAGCTGATTCTATTGGATGCATTAGTGTAATATTGCGAATCAAGACGGTGATAATGCAACATTATACCTTATCGAAGAGCTTGGCTCTCAGCCTGTTACTTCTGTAGAAGTTCGCTCGACGGTTATCTGCCTTCTTTGCTTTGACTTCAGGCAAGTTGTTGTAAAGTCTGGAAGAAGATGTAGAAAGTCAATATGGCGGTATAAATAAATCTGAATCTGATGACTAGCATAAGTTGCTCGAGTTGCTTATCAGAACAAGTGTCTGTTTGTGTTTCTTTGTCGTACTTACTTCAGATTCAGTGTTTTCATTTCTTTCTTGCTCAATAGTCTTGGTTTTGGACGATGGAGCTTTTCTTTAAAGAATATAATTAAATTCATAATTACATATTGGAATTGTGCAAGAGTAAGAGCAAGAGTGGGAAAGAACGCACGGTAACAATAATACGATGAAGAAAGACAGAGAAAGAACAATACGTTTACTTTGAAGACTCACCTGTTCTTGGGTCCTGCTGAGGTTTGTTTGACGCTGGTTTATTTGGAGGTATTTCCATTTTCGACACACGATCCTCGCCCGTTGCTATACTCTCGCCATTTTCACGAAAATTCTTATTACGCTCAATTCTCGAAAGGCGCGCTCGAGATCGCTTTACGAAATCGGGTTTGGCAAAGAAGAACGCATCCTGCAAAGATAGTTTCTGCATGGACGCCGAAGGTGGAGCTGCTGGAGGACTAAATGTGTTGACTGTTTGCTCATCGTATCGTAGCTTTGATGGTCCGACGGCTGGATGAGGAGATGGCCTGCTGTAGTGGCGATTTGTCACAGGATAAAACCAAGTGGGACCACTTGTGTCCAGAACCGAGCGATGAGGTTTATGGTTGGGGTCGGGTGAAAGTGGATTTCGCTCCTTATGTTTACCTTTAGACATGTCTTTTCTTGAAAGACTTCTTTGCTCACGTGACTCATCCACCAAATTGTCATCACTTAAACGAGTTGAATCGTGCGAATGATTCTGGCTTGCAATATGGCGTTCTTTATTTCTCGATGGACTTAATCGTTGTGGTGGTTTTCGTGGCGAATTTTGGCTCGCAAGATGGCGTTCTTTCCGTCTGGGAGCAAACTTCTCTATGTTATTTTCCAAAGATTGTTCCTTAGCAGCAATTTTCGAATTGTCCTTCCTTTTATGAATAAAACTATCATCGTCACTGTCTCTTTTCGTTTGCACTCCAACATCAACATAAACTTTCTTAGTTCTGCCCTGTTTCTTTTCTTGGACAGCCTTAGGTGTCGGAAAATTAATGCCCACTTCATGCGTCTGGGGAAGGTGTCCCTTCTTTTCAACAAAGGCGTGTTTTCTTCTCTCGGCAAGGTCTTGAAGAGCCTTGGGTTCAGAATCCGATGACTTTATTGCGCATATACACTTTGGTTTACTGATAATGTCTGCTGACCGTGGTTTTGTCTGGACGAAAGGCTCAAGGGCGGGTGTTTTGGAAACCTTTCTCGAGGCTCTGTTCGCGCGTGGAAAACTAGTATGAACTTCAGGAATTTCAGAAGCAGAGGTATCACTCAGTGTACTACTAGTGGTCGTGGTATCCCGGTGTCTAAGACGAGGAAAAGTTGGCACATCTGCTATGTTGACAGTCTCGAGTAATTTTCTAAGTTGTATTTGCCTTGTTAGAGAGTAAGTTTGCGGGTTATACGGCTGATCGGATTCTGTTGACAAATCGCTCGATGAGCTTGCATACGAGTGTGATCGTGGTTTACGAAAGTGCTCCGTTTCATTTTCGGAACTTGTCGTGATAATATCGATCGGTTTGGAAAGTAGAGCAGAGAGCCTGCTCAGATGGGAAGATACGCTGTCCTCATTTTTAGAACACGGGCTCGACCTGAGGCTTTCTTGGAATCGTTCCCACATTTGATTAAGGTCTGCGCTCTTAGAGTGAAGTTCCCTTGAAGAATGGCTATCATCTGAATTAGAGATATTTCTTGATCTCGAACTCTTCTGTTTTGCTTGCTTGCCTTGAGGTATCGCCTTACGACCACCAATATAATCGTCAATCATTTTAGCCTCTTCAAAACTACTCCCTCTACTTCGAGTTCGATAGCTCCCTTCTTTGGACGAGCTCCTTGGTCGTTCTTCCTCTAAATGACTTTTACTTCGACTGCTTCGCGAGCTCGTCCGACTTCGTTCGCTGTTATGAAGCGTTGATGAAGTTCCCAAACTGGCCTTGCTGGTATCTTTTGAAGTGTCGTCTACAGAATTTCTACCATTTTTGGATTTTTCGTCTGCACTTGCTCCCTCTGGCATGCTTAGCGGTGAGGAGTCTCCCGATACGTACACAATGCCATTCGATGGTTTAGGCACTCTTCCTGGTATAGGTGAGAGTCCCATTGCTTTTCTTCTCCTGTTGGTACTACCTGGCCCAGAAGAATGCCTTATGTCGTAAACTCCAAAAGTAGAGGAAGAATTTCCAGTGAGTTCTGATTCGCGTTCTGCTGAGGGTGGCTGACGAAGTGCTATAGGAAGGTACGGTTGGTATAGGCTGGACGATGAAGACTCGGTAGCAGGAGTTGTGTTTCTATCACTAACGTAGCCATCTTCATTCTGATCTTCATCTTCGAGCGCATCGGACGACAGTGCTCCATCACTTTCGTCCCCCTCTAGGGTACCTATGGTTTCCCTGAAGGCTTCGACAGGACGAACCTCACCTGCCCCAAGTGACAAGTGATATATTTTCGTTTGCTCATCACTTTTTGTAAATCCAGTACTTGTGGGAATCCTCCGATGTGGATCACGGTCTATGCTTCCATTTATGGCTGAGATATCTCCACTCAAATGGCTTGGGGTAAGACCTTCGGTTTTGCTATTAATGCTACTTGAGTGATAATTTTGTGAATTTTCTCGACGATTTTTGAAATATTTTATGTCTCCTTCTAGTGCCGCCTCGTAGCTCAACAAGTCATCTGTATCCTCAGCATCGTCCTGTGACATGACAGCACTTGACCCAGCAGAGTACCTCAAGTTCCTTGCTTCTCCTCCCCAAGTCTTTTTATCGCGAAAACTTGTCAAAGGGGTCTCGTATGTAGAAGATTTTGTCAGGTTGGTTGGGACTCCTTTTTCTCCTGACGTGAGTCCTTTTGCCCTCTGGAAAGAGTCGTAACCTCCATCAGAAATTACACTGGTCTCAGTTGGCGGTGCCACTGTCGTTTTTGTAAAGGATCCACTTTCGTGATAGCGATCTGTAAGCTTAAGTGTTCCAGATGTTGCACTAATTGGAGCTTTATAATAGGTGTCTACGTTTTTCATAAATAACTCGCTGCCTTTGTAACCTTCTGTGTCTTTTGATTCATTACCAGTCAAAGGAGAACGGCTTGTCCGGTTCACGGCCACACTCTCACCGAATGGTTTAGAATACTGCCCAATGGACTGTACACTCCTCCCACTATCATGTTCAGTTAAACTTCCTAGAGAATTTATCCCATATTGATCAACTGAGTTCAAGTAAGAATATGTCGATGAAACTGGAATAGAAGTGTCTCCATTCATTGAAACATTTGCCTGGGGGCGAAATGAATATTTGGGAAGTTCTTGTTCCATGGTAGGTTTCTCGCTTCCTATGAAATTGTAAGTTTGTGATTGGTTGCTTCTTTCGTGGTCAGACCATGCTTCTTTGCGCGGTCTAAAACCAGTTTCGTCCAACAAAGAAGAACCCTGTGAAAAACTCCCAGGCTGTCGAAGCTCGGCGATTTTACGGTCCTGGTCATTCTGAACAGACGATGAAGAAGTATCTACACTTGTATCATTAAGTCTATCGGTTTTTAATTTATTAAGGTAATCTTGCGTTGCTTTAAAGTTTGGCCCTAGTAGTTTAGATACGGGGCTTTGCTCGTATTCGCTGTTAGAGATAACACTTTTCTTGAAGGCATCTACCATAGAAGGCTTCATTTCCTCATTAGATATGGACTTAGGGAAAAGAGTACCGGCATTCAGGTGTGCCTTATACTGTCCAGCCGAATATACACTTGGCTCTGAGTGGTCTAATAGTTGTGAATATACTGCGCTTGCCGATTTATGCTGCTGAGAGGGATAACTGTTGGATAATGAATGCTTTATATTATGATCCATATTAGCAGATGTATTTACATTTTGTTCAAAAGCCACGAAATGCTCTCGAGTTGTCCCGCGAGTGTTTTCGAGTTGTCTGACATAAGCAGAGCTATCACGTGATACATTTGATGAGTGTTCTGAGAGTTCTTTAGGAGTTCCCTCTCTTGAAGAGGAATCTTGATAAGACTGTGGAAGGGAAGCCTGTGAAGTTTGGAAGTCCTTTTCCCTTCCAGCAAAATACTCTTGATCTAGTTTTGTCGTAAAATCACTAGTTTCTCTACTAAGACCAGGAATTTGAGTATGAGCCTCGATCCGTTGTAACACGGCTTCACGAAGCTCTTCATGCGTCACACTAGATCGCTTGCTATCGCTATAACTTCCTTCGGTTACGGGTGTAAACGACTGACCTCCTGAGGACAACCGAATTGTATCCTTTGAGTTAGTGCCATCATCCTGCAAAGGCGCTGCAGTGGCTTCAGAAGAACTTCCATTAGGTTGCCATGGCGGTGACAAAGATAACTGAGCCTCTTTAACATTTTGTAAACTCGTGTTTGAACCACCGTAATTGAAATGTGAATTCAATGGATCTTGTGAATCAAGACCAATTATTGCATTGTCATCACTAATAGTTCCCATATTTATATTAGTTGTGTTTATAATCTGATTTATGTCAGGACCTACAGGTACTACATTCCCCAAATCATTGGGTGCTGTTAAATCACTACTGCTAGATAAAGCTTGAGATGCAGTCCCCGACGAGTTCTGAGAAGATCCTCCACTTAGAGGGTAGCTGACAAGTCCAGGAACAGTCTGCACCGCTGTAGGCACTGACATAAGATCTGGTCCATCACGGCCATCAGGCTGAAGCCTTTCCCTAGCTGACATGGGCGCCTTAGATATTACACCATCGCTGGAGTATTCAGGAACAAAAAACAGTGGTGAACCAACCAGTGGACTAACATTTGGATTAAACGGACTAGAAACACCTTGTTGAGGAGCTCCCATGCTAATATTGAAGTTCTGCTGCTGTGGCAAGGGGACTGTATTGAAGGGGTACGTAGACCCATCGCTAGCTCCATAGTTACCAATTGTTGCAGGTCTGTTAGGCAGTTCAGCAAACACGAGGTTTTCACTCTCCAGGCTCAGGTCAGATGAAGTGTTTTTACTTTCTGGTTGTTCACTTGCTATGGACGTTCCACTGTACAGTTGCACATCAAAATGTTGTTCGGCATGTGAGGCGTTTGCTGAAATAAAGGCAAAACATAGAGTGAATTATTGACAAACACTGTAATACATGGAGCAGTTCTTGTTGAGAAGCTCGCATGACCGCATGTTATTTACGAGATTACGTGGTTATGAAGTCTCCTTCGCAGCCTCCCGTTTGGTCGGCTTCCTGTCCATCTTTTGGAGGGAAGGAAGCCCGACAAAAGAGGGAGGCTGCGAAGGAGACTAGTGGTATTTTACTCACCCTGTGGGATTCGAGGATGCACCGCATCTCTAGCACCACTGCCTGTACCGCTTGAACTACTACCTATAGAACCACTTGTCAAGTTTACACTTCCTGCAGGTGTTCGTTTGTGTGGTTCTACAAAGTCACCATTCTTTGAACATGGTCTTGTCTGTGATTCTTCTTTGCGAGAGACATCAAGAGAAGAGTCTGAGCCCCATTGCATTGCTTTCACGCTGGCTTTTAGCTCTTCAAGAACGTGCCATTGTTCCTGGTAAAGAGAATCCTGGGAAACAAAATGGTGAACAACTTCATTTTGACGATAAGAACGTTTAGACTGATGCATGATAGCAAATTTCAAGAGTCATTTAATCATAACGAATATTAATATCGCTGTTATAAATGAAAATAGGGTACTGAAAGTTGGTAGGAATGCACTGAAAATATACTTTCTAGATTCAAGATATCGAAGGCAAGTTTAAAAATTGCAAAGTATTTGTTTTGTGACATCATCTCCTTAGAAATCTATTGCAGTCATGAAGTAAGTTTGGCTCACCTTATTTAGATGCTCCTTGTTTTGTGAATTGCTCTTCGATGATGAACTCCTATTACTATTGTAAGAAATATCTGCATTGTTCCTCAGATCACTGATTTCTAGAGCTGAATCACCTTCAGTCTCAGAAGAATGGCCACTGGAACCAGCATCAGGAAGCAAATACCAGTCTTTGTCATCAGCCTTCAAAATAAACATTAAACAAAATTCAATGACAACTTAGTTTACTTCTTTTACAGCTTTTGTTTTGCTTGTGGTTACTCATTGCAGATAGACTATAGTCTTACAATTGAGTGCATTTGTGAGGTTTTTCCTACAGAGGTCAGTATTGTTACAACAAACAAACTGTCAAGGCATTTTCCTGAAAGATTCTTGATTTTTAGGTTATAAAAGCATAGAAACCTCATAATTATGATAATGTAGGTGTCCATATAGTGAGAAGGGAACACTTTTATTTCCGTTTAGCCTTTAAAACATAATATAGTGGTCAACCTTATCTATACCTCTTTAGCCAATTGCATGAAATTCTTCATGAATAAGTGACAATTTTTTTTTCACATTTTAGAAAATGAATGCATTAAAATTGTATAAATTATAAATACTTGGATTGGAAAATTTACGGGTTTTTTTAAAGAATTCTTTTTTTGCAATTAAAGTGTTGTTGCTATTTATGATTGTATGGAATTATTGAATATTTCAAAGTACTTATAATTGATAAACTGCTGCAACACTGATAAAGAACAATTTAGTAATTAATACAACTCATACTTCATGAAGTATGCAGTTTCGTATCTGCAGTTATAGTAAAAATTTCTTTTATACTCAATATTTTATTTCAATTTTAAGGAATCGATTATTTCAATACATTTAAATGTTGTCACAAAAAATAGAAATATTCAGTGAAAAGGAAGTTATTAAAAAGACAAAAGAGGATAACTCACGTCAATTTTTTTTTGTATTTTTTAATGTACACATTCCTATTTATTAAAAGCACAAAATGATGTTTTTTTGTGACAATATTTTGCAATTGGGTATATACAACATTGACTTACAGAGTCAATATATAATACAAATTGTGTTTATTATATTTAAGTAAAGTATACCTTGGTTTCTTCTTGTCTACTGTCAGCTGTTCCATTGTTAATGCTGCTTTGTGGAGACGGGATAATGGTTTGGTGATTGTTTGTCTCTTGAAGTGGATCTACAACAGCTACACTTGACTTCAGTTGCTCAAGAAGATGCCATTGATTTGTGTAATCCTATTAAAAAAAATCATTATACTATTCCCTTAAATCTTCATACAAAAAATAAGGTGACATGTAATTGGAAATTCTAAAGCTATTTTAATTTATTTTTAAGAAATTTTCCCAGAAGAGACCACAAAACTTGCTTAAATCCAAAAAAGCTTCTTGGAAATATCAAATAAAAATTCATTAAATAACTGATATGAGAATTTAAAGTACAATCTATTCACAAATTTAAAGATTATATCTTTTTGACACTGGAAAAATTTACATTATTTTGCTTTTGTTGTCAAATTTATAACAAAGAGAAGTGTTTCCATGTAGATGAATCATATTAATATTAATAATCAAGTGAAAATATCAAATTTGTAGTGTATTTTAACATTGTTATTGGAGCTTTGTAGAACTGTAAGTTTTTGCCACGAGGAACAAATATTATTTACATTAATTTTAGAATCTACATTAAAGCTTTTTCTATACAAAACAAACAGCTGTAAACAAATACACATTTGAGTGTAAACACATGTTGTATGGGGTGCTGTTACTTCACTGTACAAATAATTTAAAATGTACATGTCAAACATAGATTCAGGTGACACAGATCAAATCAATCAATATGAACTTCATATTGTACAGTATTATATCATGTAACACTGTGTCAAACAAAATATGTAAAAATCATTTTAATTTACAAGTATTTTGCTTCCTGCAAAAATATGGCAGCCATATTATTAAAGCAATCAATTAAAGGGCCATGCTCAACAGCAATAAAAGCATTTCAATTTATTTTAGATTTCTCATGGAAAATGAGGTGCTTTTTAAATATCCATTCGTGAATCCGTTTCTAACTGTCTGTTTCAAGATTGAATCTTATAATATCTCAATTTAATAGAGACATAAATAAAGGGTGAAGAGCAAGTTTTTGATTATATGACAATGGAACTATTTTTATATTCAAACATAAACAAAAGGCATATTAATAATGATGGTTGACCTGATGGTTCTTAAAACAAAGGGCTTACAATATATAATTCTCAACAACACCAGCCCCTCTCTCCTAGATTCTCATAGGTGTAAGGCCCTTATAATCACAAGGAATTCAAAATCACCCATGCATTGAGATCACACAGTAGGAGGATTGAATTCCTATGATAATTTTACTTTGTTTACTCACAACAAGGATTTTGTAAAATCAAAAACAAACAACAACAACAACAAAAATAGGGTGAATTGTCCACTTTACTAATGAGGGTGAGAGTGCCACTAGGTTTCGAGAAAGCAAGGCTGACAAGCATACTAATAAATCCAATAAATTATTTTCATTAAAAATATAGACTGACTAAAAGTACACTTGCTAGTACCCCGAGAGTACATGTAGGAACTTTAACTTTAATTTATAAAAAATACAGTAATTTGCCACTAGCAAGTCTAAATATCAGTGGAGAGAAGCATAAATCTTTATTCACGCCTCAAATATTAAGCTCAGGATACAACAAGACCCTGCCAGCCCATGGGGCTTCCTGTATATTAATGCCAAACATGCCACTTTATATGGGCTACCATGGAACAACTAGCCTTAGCCCTATTTTCATGCGGCCTTTAACAATAAAATTCTGACAACTGATTCTAGAATTAGTATATCTAAATTCATTTGAAGTATTCCACTGAGCTTCCTTCAAAGCCTATAAAGCTTACAGGTTTTACAAAAAATATAATGTAGAATATAGTATTTTCTGCATTTTTTGAATATTAGAACACAGTAAATGGGTCGGAAATAGACTACTTCACTAGGATTAGTTATTTTTTGGTTTACATGTACTTTCTGGTCACATTTTAATTCTACGCATGAGGTACAGGTATGTTAGCATATTTAATTAGCACTGCAGCATTATGAAACATTATTAAACATACCTGAGCTATTTCTTGTGCCACAGAATCTGGTGAAAGATGAGTTGCTTCAGGCTGGACAGCTGCCGGCGAAGCCATTGATATACATTGATACTAAATATCAAATTGAGGATTAATATTTGAATATGCATTTGTGAAATGGGATTATTTATTTTTGTCGGTTAGCACTGTGCCATTATGAAGAAGCTAGTCCAGGATTCTCAGTATAAAAGTAGACGTCAAGATAGGAACAGCCAAATAATTTGCAATAAATTCGTAAGTAGCCGGTGATTAACTAAGCTATAACTGGCGATTTTTGCCGGCTGACGGCTTTTACTGAGAACCCTATAGTATACACTTGACATATGATGCAGGTGCATTTTTATAGAGCACTGTGTGAACCCCTTTGAAAGTCTATAATTGGAAAAGTTGATATTATGAAACTTGAGCAATTTGTTTAGACAAGTTACTGGAAAATTTTGTTTTCTTGCTTCTTTGATTCATTTCCATCAAAAACTGATTACTAAGTTGTCAGATAAACATTATATGGCATCATTTTCTGTCAAATAACTGTTATCCCTCCTTCGACGCACAGAAAACATCCTCTAAAATGAAGTTTAGAAACTCAAATCCAACAAATATCAAGACATTATATGACAATTTGAATAAGTCCTGGATGTGCTCCCGAAACAATATCATAAGTTCACATGTTGAATGTTTATTTTTCAATGAAAAGGACAAGCATATGAACTGTAAAAGACTTCATTTTCTGTTTTTTACCAGTTTACAAAGATAAAAAAATCAACCTTGAGGAATATCGTAGATGTGACTTGCTAGTGCAAAATGAATTTCACTTCCATTCTGTCATATAATGTGATCATGTGATCTTTAGTTATTAACTGAAAAGCTCCATTAGATGTTAGCCCCAGGTGACCCCTTGGTAAAAGATTATTCTGTCGAAAGGCAGCCAATAACAATCACGAAATACTCTTAAAATTCATTAGTAGTAATTTCAATTAAACATATTTGGGAAATTTGGGAAATATTGAATATGCAGTGGGTTGAAAAAAATAAAGGTTTTTGCCTCTGGAATCTAATATGAATTTTACAAATTGAGCAAATAAGCTTGTTCATAAATTAGATGTAAACTTAAGCCTTACGGCCATATCAAATTCACAAACAACCTCTTACAGGTTGAAATTGAATTGAAATAATATTTTCCGAATTATAAGAGGAAAGATAAGCTTAATGCAATTTTCAAACGGAAAACGAGTTGTGGGTTCTTGTTTGAAGCACTGACAATGAAATGAAGTTCAAATAGCGTGGAATACAAATTCAGAGACATACCAAGCGCTGGTATTGGACTGGGATCACGGCAGACTTGATCTCTGGTATTAATTCGTAGATTTCTATTTACAATTCGACCGCCTAAAATTCCACTTACAAATCCCCTTAAATAACAACATTAAAACCATTCAAACTCAACCAAATGAAAGTGTAGGCGTCAATGACACTGTGCTGATTCAAAATTGCCACTGAGAAGACTGTAGTAAAATGAAACTTCGCAGTATGTTGAAGTGAACACGAGAGTTTTTGCGGGTACGGGGGCATTTCTTTGTTCGGTCCATCAGCGTACTACAACCTTTCATATCAATCAACCCATCATTAGATGAACAAAGCCCAAGATAAAACTATATCTCTTCAAACTCTCTGCATTAATAGCTTTAACGATACTGGATTAGGATTCAAGATCGTACCTTCATTATAAATAATGAAAAAACACGTCTACGTATCAACACTGAGTGATCCAGGTTGATCAATGCCAAGGCAAACTTGTACAAAACTCAACGCGCATTTACTACAAAACTGTAGCGCTTACCTTGACGCTGCTTAGTTAGAAGCTTTCTTTAGAGACTCAAAAGTCGATCTGAGGGTAAATTGAATTGATCATCTGTGCAAAAAATTGATAAATAACCGAACAAAATACTACACATCACAGTTCAGTCCAGAAAGCTGGAAAGCTAACTGTCGCCTGTTTTGATGATCAGTAGACTGGGGCGAGCGTGAAATTTTGACCAATCAAATGGAAAGGGAATCTCTCCCGCCAAAAACATCAAAGGCCTCCATGACATGAGTTCGGCTGAAAGAAAAGTATGCCTTATTAAATGGTATTTTATGTATTCTTCGCATCCCTAAACAAAGTCTAACCACACCACAAACAATGTACATAAAACAGGTAAGTGAAAAAGTGACTTCAATTGAGTTATGATAAAATAATTTGCAAGTAATTGAGGAGCATGTTTGGTGCAAATTGACTTTATCGCCATCACCAAAATGTCGTAAATAGAGGTTTATTTTAGTGCAAAGCAATAGATGTTTAATCTTTATCTTCAAAGTTTGAATAAAAGTTATACTGCTTTCGATCGATAAATCGAAATTTAGCTGTATATTTACGTGTAGCGCGAGTATATTTGCTGCACATTTTGGCTTCAAGTCACTTGTCAGCTCAAAGCCACAGTTATTTTTAGCTTAATCTAGTTTATATCCATTTTGCTACTCAAAGTTCCTCAATTAGCTTGAATTATGTATAATTATGATAAACAGTGTACAATTATTGTTTTTAAACTTTCATTTCGTAAACTTTGTCGGGTTATGATTATAAAATATCCAAATTGAAAATAAGCTTATAGGGTACAGTATTATGTGAGTTTTAATTGTAGAGGATCTGTTTTACTTTTATTTTGAAATAAAAAATAGATATCAATACACAAATGAAGGAATGAATTAACAAATAAATGATATTTTTACTTTTTTATATTTTAATTACTTATTGGATATAACCTTTGAAGCCTGGTGTTATTTGTTGTGTGCAATATTTCAGAATACTGAACTAGACTGTGAAACATTGTGAATGCAAATTCCATTCAATTTTGCAATCTTCTTCTTACGCATGTTTTCACTACACTGTAGTGGTGCAAGTTCAATCATTAATGCCATAGTTATGTTCCAACAATACTGTTTAACTAGCAATTATTATTCACTTTTTGTATGTTTTACTTGTATTTTATAGGTTATAATTCAAGGCTTTAGAAGCTACAGAGATCAAACAATTATAGAACCATTTAGCTCCAAGCACAATGTTATAGGTAAATAAATAAATAGAATAATTAATAAGACCAACTGCGATTGTTGCAAAAATATCTTTGACCATAGACTAAATTGCTTGTAGCCTTGCATTTTTTGCCTTTTTTGTCGTTTTCACAATTGCCTCCCCTCACTCCTTTCATCGATGTTGACTCTTGTTTAAATGGTTCTTATGCATTTGTAGAGTTAGGGAGGATCAATTTGTCAGTTGGTATTGCTTAAATAAGGGAATCACTTGAATGGTCCAAGCATTGGCAATGATTGTATAAGTGTTCATGTACAAGTTGCTCCAGTGTCTCTCAATCATGTCTTCCATTAGATATTTTCATCATTTTCTTGGTGTTCCTTTAGCTCTTTTTCTCACAAACTCTTGTACCTACTCAACCTTAGTAGATGTAGTTGGTCATGACACCTCATACACTAATAAATGCACATACCTTTTGTTGTAGTTGGGCGTAATGGATCTGGTAAAAGTAACTTCTTTTTTGGTAAGTGTTTGATAATTGTTAATACTTATAGTTTATTAATGTCATTTTATGAACTTCATGTACACTACGGAAAAAGAGAACATGGTATTGCGGGTATTTGCAAAATGTATGTTATGTTTGACATACTGGTGTTACTACCAACACGTTGCACCATGAGCAAACAAAGTGCAACAGGGATAAATTATGTACAATTCTTGAGAAAACATCTGTTTTTTTGTAAGGTTGATTAAGGACTCATTATTGATCTTTGTCTTTTTATAAATCTATTATCCTTTTTATCTCTAAATTTTATTTAATATAATTTGTATAATTTCAGCAATTCAATTTGTTTTGTCTGCGGATGAGTTCAGTAACCTAAGGCAAGAGGAACGCCAGGCATTATTACATGTAAGTCTCATATGTTCTAAACTGGACTCTTTACCTATCATTCGTTTTGTTAAAGCAATCAGGAAATTTAAATTTGGCAGAAATCTCAAAATTCTGAAGATCCAGTTCTATTGATTTATTATTGATTAATAATCAATTTATTTTCCAGGAAGGTACAGGACCAAGAGTGGTGTCCGCATTTGTGGAAATCATCTTTGATAATAGTGACAATAGATTACCAGTAAGTATAGAAAAACATTAACATGAGTATGCAAAACTCAGGTACTATTTATAACATAGTGAATGTTATTTACCATTTGAAGAATGACTTCATGGTTTAAATGTACATGTTTTAAATGTTGATACGTTCATAAAAAAGCTAGATAAACTATAATAATTTTGTCATATTGACTGTAAACATGGAACAATGCATTAAGTACTTTATGGTACCACTTATATAATATAATATATAATATAATTATATATTCCTTTAAATTTGGTGTCCATAACCTTAATAATCATAATGATGATAGATTGAAAAAGATGAAGTGTCTTTGCGGCGTGTCATTGGAGCCAAGAAGGACCAGTACTTCCTGGACAAGAAAGTAGTGACCAAAACAGATGTTATGAACCTGCTGGAGAGTGCTGGCTTTTCCCGTAGCAACCCCTATTATATTGTCAAACAAGGAAGGGTAAGTTTTTATTAGATAGTTGTTTGATCAAAGCTTCTGGATATCCCCTTGATCAAGGCTTCTACTGTAAATGTTCTTTGATCAGCTTTTACAGTTACCTGTTGCTTGATTAAATCTTCCACTAAATGTAATTAATTACACCTTTGATCAAAGCTTCTAAAGTAACCTTTGATCAAAGCTTCTAAACCATTGCCTTGATCAAAGCTTCTAAACCATCTCTTGATCAAAGCTTCTATGGTCCCTTTGCTAAAAGATAGTTGTAGAGAATTTAATCTAACAGATGTTTACATTATCAGATCAACCAACTGGCTATTGCCAAAGATAACCAAAGGCTCCAACTATTAAGAGAAGTTGCAGGAACAAGAGTTTATGATGAAAGAAAGGAAGAAAGTAAACAGATATTAAAGGATTCAGGTAAAAATAATATCAATAATAATATTTAAGAAATATAAAATGGCGCACGTGTCTCTGTCCTCTGATATAAACACGGTGGGAGTTAAAAAAATACGAGAGAAGCAAGCTTAGGAACACAAGCGTAGCAAGTGTTTCTCTTGCTTCTCGAGTGTTTTTCAACTCCCACCCTGTTTATATCAGAGGACAGAGACACAAGCGGCCGTTTTATATTTCTTTTATAAAATTTTTCGAGCGAAAAGAAAATTTTGCCGGTAAGCCGTGTCTCTGTCCTCTGATATAGACAYGGTCGTCAGCCAATCAGAGCGCACGTTATATATCAAAAATTTTAAAAATAATAATATAAAATGATATTAATATCCTCCCAAAATCAGAAGAGCTGATAAGTTGGATGAGTGAGAAATTTCTCCTTTTCATTTTTAGAAAATAAAAAAGAAAAAATAGAAGAGCTACTACAATATATAGAAGAAAGACTGTCCACTTTGGAAGAAGAAAAAGAAGAGTTGAAAGCGTATCAGAAATGGGATAAAGAAAGAAGGTATCAGATTATTGAAATTTGATTTATTTTGAATTATTGATCATTAATCTTCGAAAATTGACATGGAATCCTTATGAAATGCAAATCACACTTTGATACAACATTAACCAGAAATAGGTTATTCTGATAGTCTCCTCGCAGCCATTCTTCTGGGACGGAGGACAGAGAGCCCACCACTAAGAATGACTGTGAGGAGACTAACATTCTGATTGAAAGCAAAGCAATTCCTTCACTTTCTTTGGTTTTTCATTCATGTAAATGCTAATATCATCTTATAATATCTACTACACATGTAGATAATGAATGAGAGACCTTTGTGGCATAATAGCTAATCAAGGACAGTCCCCCCCACCTCCCCCCAATAATTTTTCCAACGTTTTGAATTTTCTTAAATAAAGAAGCGAAGAGCCTCCTTATAAAATTTCACCATATATATTCTATAAAAATTGTGTAAAAACTGAGCATGAATAATTAAAATTGAAGCTTTTTTGCGAAGTCTTTGGGATTTTATTGATAATTTATCGCTGACCGTGTGTGCGGTAAATATGTCTTGGATAACACCTCAAAACACTGGAAATGACATTTCCGAGAGTCAAGATTTCAAAAAAATTTCCGAACCCTCCTAATACCTCCTCGTCACTAGATCCCCAAAAACAAATTCATGCTCTGCGGTCCCTGCTAATCTAATTTTCTTGCTTTCTAGATGTTTAGAGTACACAATACACGATAAAGAACTTAGAGAGACAAGAGAAAAACTAGATGAGGTAAATATCAATAAATTAAGAATACAGATTCATGAATAATTTATAAGATAAATGCAATAGAAAATCATTGAAGCCATAACCAAGTCTTTATATGAGCAAGAGATTTGTGTATAACCTTAACTTGAAGTTTCTCTAGAAAATAAATGATTTATCCTGAAGATTAAGTAATTTATTTTTTCTATTTGATTTATGATAAATTAAATAAATTATTATTATTTGCTCTGTAGTTGGAGGAAGTGCGACAAGAAGGTTCCAATAGAGCTGGTGATCTACAGAAAGAAGCATCTAAAGCTAGTGATAAGATTGAAGTAAGATTAATATTAATATCACTAGCATTTACAGTTGACCTAAGTTTCAATGATGGGAACTATAGTTATGGTAAAACTAGAGTGAGATTTGGCAGCTTTCTAAAGAAACAGTTGTGAAATAAGATTAATTTTGCACTGTAAAAGAAGGAGAAGTAACAAATGTTACTGATGTTTCAGATGTTTAGTCCTTCACCAGAACTAGTGCAACGTGATTGAAGATTAGTTTTTTTTAAATGAGCAGAAACACTTTCTCCCAGAACATTCATTGATACATTTCTCTGTAAAATGCACATATTATATCTCTTCAGCTTTTCATAGAAATTTGCTAGAATTTTTACACAGCTTCTGGGTGAAGGATACACTTTCCAAGTCAAGCAAATAATGATTACAGTATCTTTGGGTCATTTTGACTTGAACTTAAGGTTGATAATTAACATTAGCTGTGGTCTGTTTATTTCTTTGACAGAGGTATTCTCACACTCTTAAAGAGCTGATTGAAAGAGAGTCAGTCATGAATACAGAGAAACAACAGCTGGAGGATGAATGCTCAGATCACATCAAAAGACGAACAAAACTAGAACTTGATATCAAGGATTTAGAGAATAGTGCTACTGATGACGATGCAATGAAGGTATAGACTACTTTAAAGGGACACTGTCAATGGATGACATGCGCAAGTAAACTTGAAAACATTAGGCTAGTGTTTTCAAGGTTACGACTCCAAGTTGGCGCGACGCATGACAAAAAAAGTACTTGTAAACGTAAACAGATCTAGAATATTCCAAAGTGTGTCAAAACATTGATTTACCTTGAAGGCAAGACTGTTACTGCGCATGTCATCCATTGACATTGTCCCTTTAATTAATGGTCTTTTTCAGTGATGCGGTAATTAGTACAAACTAAGACTGCTGCAAAGCAAATCATGAAATACTCCAATGTCCATCAGTCTGTATTTTTTCCATCCAAAGTCTATATTACCAAATATATTAATTTATTATTTCCTATAAGTAAATGTTTGTGACTTCACGATGCGAACTGCCACAAATTTGCAGTTGATTTTAGCCCTGGCATGTAAACCAAGATCATAAGTTTCTGGCTTTCTAAATCGTGGCATGCATGAATAAGAATTTAATCACTGCAACAAATAGAGTACTCAAATAAACAAATTTTAATTCTATTTTGTTATTTGTAGCAACAATACCAAGTTGAGCTTCAAGAATTACAAGTCACCATTGATGAACAGCAAAGAGAACTTGATGGTTTATTGCCATCCTTTAATCAATATAAATCTGAAGAAGCATTTTGTACAAAAAGGTACTGATTATTGCTACAACTGATAATTATTTGTCTGTTTTCCTTGCTCTCCTTTTTCCATTTTTATCTTTCCCATTCCATTTTTCCATTCATTTGTCTATTTTCATATTTTCATTCAACATGTTCAACTAGACCTGCAGCGTCTGATCAAAAGAGAACTGAAAAACTCTATGCTAAGCAAAGAACCATTTCTTGCATTCTGTCCTTCCATTTTTTCATCTTTCCCATTCATTCATTTATTTTCATTTTTTTCATTCCACACATTCAATTGAGCAAAGAAGAGCATGTGAGCATGTGACTGAATTGTATGCTAAGAAAGGCAGACACAACCCCATTTTTCATCTTTCCCATTTCACCTTTCCCATGCATTTATTTATTCTCATATTTCCATTCAACATATTCAATTAGACTTGCAGCATGTGAGCAGAGAAGAACTGAACTGTATGCAAAGCAAGGCAGACGGAACCAGTTTTCATCCAGGGAGGACAGAGATAAATGGATTAATAAGGAGATCAAGTCTTTGACTAGTTCAGTTTCAAAGAAAGAGTCTCAGGTACTTTGAACAGCTTGTTTACTCTTAAAGTTAACTGTCCTTATATCTCTTTCATTTTTGCTGTACTAAAATTCTATTGCTAAACATGCCATTTGAGTCATTATTTTGATCTCATTTTCTCACTCAGTGAAATATGCGTTGAGTACTTTAATTGCAAATAATAGTTAAAAAATATTTATGTTCATACATGTATCTTCTCTTGTAGATTCGAGCTTTGCAAGAAGATGTAAAAGGGCTACACAGAGACTTAGAAAAACTTAATCATGATATAAAGGTTGGTTTATGTGATTATTATTATTACTTGAATGGGTCTTTTTTCATGAATTGTACCTCCTTTCAGGAGCGACATGAAACAACAGAACAGAAGAAAAATAAAATGGAGGAAACAAACCGACTTTACTCAGAACTAAAGAGAAAGAGAGATGAACTCAGTAATTCTAGAAAGTAAGTAGAGTCATTTTTTTTAAGACAAGGATGTCTGTGTCTTGTGCTCATGCTTTCATGACCTTAAAGAAGGCTTTGAGTTTAATTTGAGATGGAGATAGGTACAGACATTAGCCACTTTCACACTTGTGGAACTTAGCAAAAAGAAGGCAGTGAAGCAAGCAGAACAGAACCATAATCAGGCATGTCGGAATTATTTTGAACGCCTGGTACATTTGTGAAGCCCACGAAAACAAAACTATATTCGGAAAATTATAAGCATGTTTGGGAGCATTTTTTGATAAAAAAAACAGTCAATGGACCACAAAAAACATTAGCAGAAGGCAAGTCATCTTAAAAAATGGTATAACATGGAAAAAAAACACGAATTATGCGGGATTATGCGCGATTTGGTAAATTATGCGGAAAGAGGTCAATTATGCGCGTCCGCATCCGCGCATAATTCCGACATGCCTGCATAATTGAAGATTTCAAGGAAGAGCAAAATGTTCATTCTTCCTTCTTCTCTGCTTATATTTCTTTATCTGCTAACTTCACTTATAAAAAGACCCTTTTCTAAATCTGATTTGTGGCAGAAGAGCAAACCATTCTTGCTGTGCTACTGCAATTCTTTATTGTAAAACCTACCTCTAATTTGATAGAGAGCTCTGGAGACAAGAAGCAGCACTTGAACAAACAATAAGCACAGCTAGAGAAGAACTAACCAAGGCTGAACGGAACTTGAAGGCAACAACGAGCAGGGTGAGTGCCTTGTATACCCTGTTATTTCAGCCAGAATTTATAAAGTAATCGCTGTACCGGGCATAGATATTTGTGATATTTCTATAGACTGGACATTAAGGAACTTTGAAATTTCATGTTTAGGTGACATTCTTAGCCCAAAAGTTGTCCTTTAGCACAGCACATAAAATCCTTAACATCATAAAAAAAACTTAGCTTGCAACTGCTACAATTTTTGCAGTATTTGTACAGTATACACCTATTTAAAAAAACATTGTCGTCACCAGGACACAATCCACAGTCTTGAGCCTGCGCACTGTGGTGTCCTGGCGACAACAACAGTTTTTTAAATAGGTGTACAAATTTGACATGTATCTTTGCCACAGGGTATTAGTAATGGTATTGAAACAGTGAAGAGAATCATGCAGGAGAAAAATCTACAAGGAGTCTATGGTCCCTTGATTGAAAACTTTACTTGTGATGAGAAGTTCTTTACTGCAGTAGAAGTCACAGCTGGAAACAAGTGAGACAACAAAATTTAATAGGATTAGTGTTTGTTTCAGGACTGGTTATTGGTTGGTTTATTCAACTTGGTGACTGGTTGATTGGAAATTTAAATGATTGGTTGCTCGATTGATTGATTTGTTGGATGATTGGTCATTTGATTGGTTAGTTGATTGGTTGCTTTGTGAGTTGATTGGTTGCTTTGTGAGTTGATTGATGGATTGATTGATTGGATAGATTGGATAGTTGATTAGTCAGTTGATCAATAGATTGATGTACTGATTAATGTGCTAAATGATGAATTGATTGATTGATTGATGACCTGATTGATTGATTGATTGATCAGTTGATTGATTGATTTAAGTTGATTAAATGATCAGTCAATAATTGAATTGTGGTCAGTTGAAACTGTGCTACAATTCCTTCTATTTATCATCAGGCTCTTCCACATAATAGTTGACAATGACAAGACTGCTGCTCAAATCCTCTCAACTATGAACCGACAAAAAATGCCAGGAGAAGTTACCTTTATGCCACTTAACAAGCTCAAGTTCAAACCAACCAAATTTCCAAAATCTGATGTAAGATATGTTAGATGATTTTCTGGGTTTTTTTTCGTTGTATCAGAAACTAAACAAATTAGGATTTTATCAAATGGAGCCTTGACAGCTATTTGTAAGATGTTAATATGCATTTCCAAGCTTTCGCTGTGTACAGCATTGTCAGGGAATTTCGTCTTTCCGTGACAATGCTGTAGACAGGAAAAGCTTCTTACAAATAGAAGCCAAAGCTAAAAGATAACTTCATAGGTATTCTTCTGTACTCACAGATCTCTTGCATTTGCATGGGTTGTTACTGAATAAAAGAATTACATGGTTTACAGTGTAAAAGAGATCTCTAAAAGGGTTTATTATAAACTGCTCTCCTTATTCAGTAGACCAATAAAATGTGTGCTACACTTGCTACCTGCTGGTAGTATCAACTCATGAAATCCTTTAATGATAGGACGTGATGCCAATGATTTCCAAGCTGAATTTTAATGAAGCATTGAAGCCTGCAATGGAACTAGCATTTGGCAAAACTCTGATATGTAGAGACCTAGATGTGGCTTCCCAATATGCAAAGAGTGAAAATCTTGATTGTATTACATTAGAGGGTAAGATATCTTAAATTAGCAACTTGAATGTATCTAGTACATAGATTTATAAATAATGTATACAGCTATTTCACAAAACGTTGTCGGGGAGAACAGCGAATGGCGATTGTCAAAGGTTGATTGCACGACCAAAGGTGACTATAGTAAGTTGCATTATTTTAATAAACAGAATTTCAAATATTGGATTCAACTTGCATAGAAATGGAGTCTAAATGAAGTCTAAATGGATCCAATGTTTACCACAGACCATCTTACTGTACAAATCAGTTATTAATGCCTTTCAACTACCAAAACACATGGTTACTTTCGTTCGTGCAATCGCCGTTCAACCATTGACATTCGCCATTTTGTCCGACAACCTTTTTTGAAATAGCTATATACAAAAGTTGTAAAACAAGTGCAAAACATTAATGGGATTAATGTCTTTCAAAATAGATAAATAAAAATGTTATCGATTTTGTTATAAATTTGATAAAAATCTCTCAAGCAGATTTGTTGTCTTGTACATGTAGGTGACCAAGTAAGCAGACGTGGTGCTTTGACTGGTGGTTATTATGATACTCGTAAGTCAAGATTAGAGTTACAACGGACGATATGGAATAATGGAAGCAAGGTGGAGGAAGAGGAAACCAAAGTACATGTGATAAAATCACAATTAGAAGGTAATAACAATTAAAATAATATAGACGGTCTGACTAGGACGCCCACCCTTTTCTATTAGGGAGTCCCCCCCCTGGGATAGACGGTTTATCATGGAATATGAACATTGAAAATAGGCTAATAATTTTCTTTTCATTTGTTTTAGAAATTGATGGTGAAATAACTAAAGTTCTTGGCAAAATCCAAAAGACTGAAACAAGACAAGTTGAGTTAAGGTCAGTTTCATAGACTCAAATTTCCTTAATTAATCTCTTAATTCATGTATAAATCTTATACAGTTGGCATGTATAATTATTGATGCTGATGTTGTAATTTTAGAGAGACATATGACAAGGAGAAGCTTGATGTGCGTGGATTCAATCAAAGCAAGGAAAGAAAAGAGCAAGCACTAGCATCCAAGGTAACAATTCTGTCCTCAAATTTGCACTGAAACATTTGACGTCTTTTTGATTTTCATCTAAATTCACTTGGCATATTTGTATTCTCCCTCGCCCCCTTTCCCAGTGTTAAGAGCTGCATGCGAGTTGACGTGGGTTTTCAAGAGAGTCTAGTAATAATACATGTACATTTAGCACTATACCAACATTGTTTTTAAGGGGGTTGGGGAGCAGGTTTTTTTGGGGGGAGGGGAAGTGTTGAAAACTAGACCTACCTACAATATTGTTCCTACTATCTTTGGCTATAATTTCTAATCACCTGTTTCATTAGCTCTTAATGCAAAAAATCTGATGCATTATTTTTGATTATTCCTCCAGGAAGCACAATTAATCAGCTTACAATCAGATGTCAATACAATGCAGAATAGCCTAAGGTCTTGGAGAGATGAACTTGGTACTGATCTACTATCACAGCTTACCACTGAGGACCAAGATGAAGTAAGGAACTATATATAACAACAGTTCTCTACAAATTATTGCTTTTGATTTAAATAATTAATAATTTGTTATGTCTTTGAAACGTAAGAAATAGTCCACTTTATGTTTTGGTTCAATGACTATGTACAAAAGAACGCATACGAGGCTCCGGGAAAATAATGGATAATCTTAGATAATCATAGATAAAAAGCCACTTTCAATACAGGCCTTTAAAAACTCAGTTTAAACAAGACAAAGTGTAATTTTTCGGTGATGACTTAAGTGAGGGAATGAGGATGGACGTGGTTCAGGACCTTTAATACAAAGAAAACTCAGTATCCATATTAAGATTATAATCAATTTTTTGCTTGACAGGTCGATAAACTGAATGTAGAAATCAATGAGTTGCAAGATAGACAGAAACAAGCCATCCGAATGGGAACAGAGGTAAATATAACTCTTACATGACACACCATAACACTTGCAAGCCAAAAAAACTTTATAAATAATGACCAAAAATGTTGTTGATATATTTTATAGTTATTACTGAGTAAAAGAGTTTAATCCAGGAATTTATTTTAACTTTTCCAGTTGGATGAGAGAAAAAGTATGTTAGAAAATCAGCTGAACAACAACCTAATCCGACGAAGAGATGAATTAAATCAGGTACACACATGTTATTTTCAGAAGCAAGATGCTGAGAATTATTCTGCATATATATTATGTCTGGTTGACTGATTGATTGGTGGGCTGATTGGTGAATTGATCAATGGATGAATTAATGATTGATGGACTAATTGAATGACTGATGAATTGTTTGATGAATGATTGATCAACTGATTGATTAGTTGATTGATTGATTGTTTGAATGGCTGACTGATGGATGGATTGATGGACGAATTGATTGATTGATTAAATGATGTGTTGATGAAAAAAATTACTGACATTTTATACCAAGTCCAAAGACTTAGTACCATTTTTTCTTAATATGACTGATTGATTAGTTGATTGATAGATTGTTTGAATGGCTGACTGATGGATGGATTAATGGATGAGTTGATTGATTGATTGATTAAATGATGTCTTGATGAAAAAAAATACTGACATTTTATACCAGGTCCAAAGACTTAGTACCATTTTTTCCTGAATATAATATTCAGTAAAACATAATTGATATACTGATCGTATAGTTTATATATATTTTTCTCAAAATTTTTAACCCAAATTATGTATTTTTAAGACCCTTGAGGAGATTTCACTTGAAGACAAGAAACAACTACTAGAAGGTCATCAAAGTGACTTAGCATCAGTAACTAGTACCATTGATAAAATCAGAACAAGACTTAAAGGTATGTCATACTTGAATTGTGATTCCTTGTTATATTAAAAGGTAGTTATTCCAGAAATCAAACATGTTAAAAAATTGAATGTTTCACATGGTATTTTTTCGCCATCCAGTATGGTGGATTAAATATCATGCGACCGTTCCATGCAATAGGTCTATTTTCCATGTTGGCCAGCCATTCTCCTTACAGTTAATAGTTTTTAGTAGTTGATAGTATTTGGTGGATAACTTTATCCAATATTTGTAGAGTGCAAGTCACATAAGCATGAAACAATTCTTAACTATGTAGTGCTAAATAAGATTTAGTTATCAACTAATTAAGAATTGAGAACAATTATGCTACAAAGGAATTTAAATAATTGGCATTGTGTTTATGCTTTGTTGAATTCTTAGTTAGTTGATAACTAAACCTTATTTAGCAATACATATTAAGAATTGTTTCATGCTTATGTGACATGCACTCTACAACTGGTCCCAGTTGCTTGGATTAGAATCTTGATAGTTTTTAAATATTTTGTTGTTTTTTTCTAATCCCTATAGTACTAGAAACAGAATCAGATAATCATAGGGAAAAGAAGGCAAAGACTGAGTCCAAACTAGAAGAATGGAAGGTAAGCTGTTAGAATAAACAATACATACAGCTGCAGACACTTCTTTGTTTACGAACAGGAAATCAAAGTCTCTTGTTGGAGAGAATGAGTCCTTAATTTGATTCACTTTTGATAAATTTTGATAACCTGAGGTTTTTATAAAGTACATGCACCCTGCACTATTTTGGGGTGTACATTACTGTTAGAACAGAGACTGTGATTTGATGAAATAATAAAGAGAGAGAGAGAGACAGAGAGAGAGAGAGAGATGCAATACAAAAAACAAAGATGTAGGCATTGTCTGACATAATCCTACAGTCTTTGTTTTTGTTGTCTCATTGGACTAATAGCTCATGACTAGTTATTAATGAGCTCTAGAAGTACAGTTACCTAGTGTCAAGATGGCACAGAGAACTATGAGCAAGAACAATGTTATAATTTTTCAGTCTTCTGCGTTCTTCACATCTATCATCTCAATTTCTGGGAATTATATTCAATGTTTCATTTTGGTAAACTGAGACGTGTCTTGGTACCTGCATATTCAATGCTATATTTACAATCATTCAACTCTTAATAGAAATTTTTGTCTTCCCCTGCACCTTGTTTAGAATGTTGAGCGAGCTAGGCTTGAGGCAATACAAGATGATGCCAAGGCTTTGGAGAAAATTGCTAACAAACGAAGTCTACTAATGAAAAAGGTAAGGCAATAATGAGAATTGTGTAAAAACCCTGTTAAGATTTCACTCAGCTTCATTTTAAATATGTAATGGATAGTTCTATTTTGAGTCTTCTGTTAAAAGGAATTGCTTTTGACAGGTTTCAAATGTTATTTCTGCTGTGATATGGTTGCTTTTTATTGACTATTTGTATGGTTTCTATGACAACAGAAAGATGATTGTATGAAGAAGATACGTGAGTTGGGTTCATTGCCTTCAGATGCTTTTGACAAGTTTCAAAAAACTGCTTTAAAAACGGTAAGAGCTGTGAGATCTTTACAAGAAGATATACTCCTCCATTGAAAGTCAGTTCTTCCATAGCTTTTTCCTTTAAAATTCTTGCTATGGCGCTATGGCAGGCAAGAATTTTATTTTTATTAATAAGTTTCAAGACAATTACATGCAATGACAGTTTGTTTTCTTCAATAGTTATGGAAAAAGCTTCACCATTGTAACGAGGAACTCAAAAAGTACAGTCATGTCAATAAAAAGGCCTTGGATCAGTTTGTCAACTTTTCAGAGCAAAAAGAAAAGCTTATGAAACGCAAAGACGAACTTGACAGTGGATACCAGGTAAAGAAACAAATATAGAGATGCGCTATTTTGTATTTACAAGTTCTTTTGTTTGCATCTGTTCACCTATACACTGTATGCCTTAGAATATTAGTATAAACACCCTATATAGTTAAATCCTATTATTTTGTCTTTTGTCAACAGGCTATAGTAGATCTAATGGATGTCTTGGAGCAGCGCAAGCATGAAGCTATTTTATTCACTTTTAAACAGGTATCTTTCTCTCCATCTTGATGGCTTCAGACTCATTTATAACATAAAAGTTATGTATGTTATGTCATTTCCATTCATCAGTGCTATATTAGGCTGCCTTGATAGGGCAAGGGAGGTGACTGATTTTACAATCTGACACGATCCCCGTTGTCCGTGTGTGATTGAGGCTTTTAGGGGCACAATACACAATCGTCGAAACGTCGCTTCAACCATCACTAAACGTACAAAGTGACTCTATAAATGCCAAACTTTTTACTTAATTTTATCTTTATATTTCATATTATTGTTTACTTGTATTTTCTTACTTTACATTGTTACACATTCTTTTTATTATATTTCATTGTACATATTTTCCTTTATATTCTTAATTGTAAGCATTTTGTAATTTCCATTCCCCTTTACTTGAAAATGACGTTATGTTAACGCCGAAACGTCGCTTAAACCATCACTAAACAATACACAATATTGTGTAAATTATATTATTTCTTATGTACGAGTAGATTTATTGATTCATTCAGTTCCCTTGCGTGATAGGTCTCAAAGTATTTCAGTGAAGTATTTGAAAAATTAGTTCATCATGGTAAAGGAACCTTAGTCATGAAGACTGATCCAGGCGAAGCAGCACAGGTAATGAATATTAGTTTACTCGCAAATGATTGTAGCATTATGATGATAAAAAAACATTTGCCAATCAAATTTTTACTCTTTATCTAACACACTGATGGAAAACAATCAAGGGATGGTTATATGTATAAATTATAGGATGATTCATACATGTATACTGTAAAGTTAATTGTGTTTAATGTATCAGGATGATGATGATAGCCAAAGTCAACCTTCCTCATCACAATCTCAGAGGTCTGTTCCACTAGTTGATCAGTTCACAGGTGTAGCCATCAAGGTAGGTATAATCTTTATGTAATCTAATAATCTGATCAGCAGTTGGTAGCTCTAATTGCATGAGTTTGTCTGTGGTTTAGGTATCTTTCAGTGGTAAATCAGCAGAGACTCGTGAGATGAACCAGCTATCAGGTGGACAGAAGTCTCTTGTAGCCTTGGCTCTTATCTTCGCCATACAAAAATGTGATCCAGCACCTTTTTACTTATTTGATGAGATTGACCAGGCACTTGATCCTCAGTTTAGGAAGGCTGTTGCTGGTATGTTTGTGTGAAATATTGTATGATATATACAAGAAATCACCCCCTCCCCCTCAGTAGCATTAGTCTGTGAACTGTATCCCATCACTCATTGCAATAAAACACTCAAGAAAGTGATCTCTGCATTTGACTTTAGTAGGCAGTGAGAGGCAGGGAGAATCTACGTAGCACTCAGTTGATGTAATATATTCATAAAGATATAATACAAAACACATAATACAATAGAACGACAAACAATGGAATACAATACATTTTATGAATACATTACATCAACTGCGTGCTACATAGGTCACCCCGTGAGAGGCACCTAGCTGTGTTTGAAGGTTATTAAAACTGTTGAACTTTGTCATCGGGAAAACTATGATAATTATATGATATCACATCAAAAAGAATGATCAAAGTGATGCCTGATTCACACACAATTCTGATCCATTAACCTATGGCTTTTTAAAACCCTAAAAATTATTAAACTGTCATTTTCTTACAGAAATGATCCGTAATCTTGCTATAAAGGCTCAGTTCATTACAACCACCTTCCGTCCCGAGTTGCTGGATTCCGCCGACAAGTTCTATGGAGTTAAGTTCCGCAACAAAGTCAGCCATATTGATGCCATTACATTGGAACAAGCAAAGGACTTTATAGAGGATGATGAACATGGGAAATAAGTTATTTGATAATCTCTCTGTCTTCATAATTCATACTCATATGTACTTCTAAGCTCATATACATGTATATGGCCTCTTATTTACTGGGACTTTGGAGGATGATGATGTAATGTGGCATTCAAGCTGAGAAGGAAGCACAGAGATCATCAAAGTTGGAGAAAAAGAACACAACTCTCAGGCCCTTCCTTTCAAAACTGTTACCACTTTAGGAAGGAAGAAGATTTGATATTATTTGCTGTGTGATCTCTTCTCTTTCAAGGCTGATAATAAAGAGGAAAGAGGTACTTTATATGTTGGGAAGAAGATCCAGGTTACCAGAGCTTTCCTTGTATACAATTCAACAGTATTCAAGAAGCCAGGAGACATTGATGTTATAATCTGTTGTGCGACTTCTTCTCTTGCAAAGCTGAAAGAGTTTCCTTGCTCTAACAACTTTAAATAAGAGCCAGTTCATCAGGCCTCTACTTCTTAGTCATCAGTGTTTTTGTGAGGCATGAGGCCCTGAATGGTCTTTGGTCACATCATGGTCCTTGGCAAAGAATAGTTGAAGAAGTAAAGCAACTTCACATCTTTGTTTTGAGGATGACCAGAAACATTATTTTTTTGTACTGGACACTTCCTTTGGATGCCAAAAAGAAAGATGAAAATAGTCAAGTGCCACAGGGTGATTAACTTGACTCATAAAAATGCCTTTAACACTTGCAAATTAAAGACTGGGGAACAAAGTCTAGCAAAGTGAAGTTAGAAATTACAAACAGGTTAAAAATTAGCACAAGGTTGTTGACAGTGTCTCAATATTGTGATGTTGAGCCTTTTCAAGAGTGAGGCTCACAAGAAAAGGTCATAAAGAGGGGTTATAATGTATTATTGTGAGTTCAATCTAAGAGGAAGGTCAAAATATTTTATCATTTCTTTATCTAAGATTTTTCTTTAATCTTGGGCTACCTGTGTACCCTTTGTACACTAACTACCTTCGGCTAATTTCATATGAGTCTGTTATATTTTTTGGTGATTGTTTCTGTTTTCAAGAGGAAGGAATGAATTCCTTGCTTTGGTCATTTGTTTGTTTTCTGAAGACTAGAAATCTTCCCATTTCTGCCTTTATATGGGTTTTCACATTCAAACGTAAATAAAAATAATCTATTGACAGTTCATATAGGGTAAGGTTTACAATTAAGACACAAGTTCTTACTTGCATAGTGAATTGTCTTTTCTACCCTTTCCTACTTGTATTATAACATAATTATACTTTTATTAATAAAGGATCATTTTTATCAGAGAGTTGTTTGATTGTCAGTTATCCAAATAGTAAAATAAAAGACTAACATTCAACTGGTTTTATTTAAAACCATTATTTTTTTATTCTTGAATTGAATTTACTGCCTTCTGCCATGTCATAACTTAAAAGAAAATTTTCTGCAAAACATTGAAAATTGAATAATTATGATCATGATAAGCTGTTTATGGCAACAATTGTAAGGGCAAAATGATCTCACCTATGTACATAAAATCGCCTGAATCAGTCATAGAAAAAGGAAGACTATTGCTTAGAATTTCCCTTGTGATTGTTTTTCTTTTCTTTTCAATGTTTTGCTTAGTTTTGAAAATTTTATTACATGTAAGTATTATATTTTGAGAGAAAAGTCTAATGTTCCACTGTCTAAAATAATCATGGCTATCCTAAAGTACAAAAGCTGTGTGACATAATTACCACAACCTACCCCTCCCATAGATTATAAAGAGAATAAAACTTCAATCGTTTGGTTATAATTTATATCAATCTTATGGTTGATAACTTTGGCCCCAAGCACCGCTGCTCCAACTGCACAAGACTCTTTTAGACGATAAAGTGTGAAGGACTTGATAACAGGAGTTTGATCATTTCCTTGTAGTGTTTCTATAAAACCTGACCAAAAAAAATTGTGTATGAATGGATTAATAATTGAATCAGAAAAATGAAAGCAGATTAATTGTGATAGTCTGTCTCTTTAATGGTAACTTCCTGTGTCATGTTTAAAAGTAATTGTGGCTTTGCATTGAAGTTAAAACTTGTGCTGTACTTGCAATGATGGACAAAAAATTATCTTTAGGTGTGAAAGAATGTCTTTAACATTGCTCACACACTGGCCAGTTTTATTACTTCATTGTAAAGGCACAGTTATATCTTTCAAGATGCCACAGGAAGCCATGAAGGACTACATTCAGTTGCTGTGCATCAAAACTGCAGGTACCTGATTTGAGTAACTCCCAACTTTTCCATACAGACCCGACACAAAGAATCTGTAGTCCTCCGGATCTGTCAATCAAAGACTGAAACCAAAGATACAACATTTTATCTGATAGAAACTGATTTGTACTTCCAGGCAGTGGATGAAGTGTTAAGTACCACACACCTCCCCAACCCTCAAACAAAGATCGCATACCTTATCTATCCTAGGGGTTAGAGCTTTAACATGACTTCCAAGATCTCTTCCAGCCAATTCAAAAATGTGTTTACATAAAGGATCATTGTCATTATTAGCCCCTGTCAATCAAATAATTCAAGCTATAACAAAAGAACTTCAAGGCTGCAAGTCCATGTACTTCAAAAAATGTGCATCAAAAGCAGTTTTGTAGTTTGCTATTTGTCTTGTTCATAATCCTGCCCCCCTGAGTAGACCATAAACTGAAATTGAACAGCCTATTGATTGCTAGCCATATTGTCTTTCAGTACAATCTTGTACATTTGATTACATAGCATTCATCTTACCATCGGCAATTCTTTTGCAGAACAGAGCAAACTTAGACTTCTCAAAGCTCTTGTATGCATGCTCAAGTAGTCCATACTGATCTTTAATCTACATTGATATAAAAATCAAACTATAGTGAATGTAATATTCTGTGTTGTCAAAGTGGTCCCTGTTGTTACCCATTGACAATAGACCCTTAGCAGCTGATGGTCATGTGACCACACCTACCTTAAATCAATCAGCTATCAAAAAATGATGTCCAGAAATGGAAAGAGCAAGTTTATGTTGGTAAAGTGGCAAAATCAAGTCTCAACTCTAAATACTTCAAAAATGACAGCAAATGTAAATTAGTGATTTTTCTAAAGAAACGTATGGGAAAATAGAACCGTTTAGTTGAACTGAATAGTTCTGTTTTTGCATATGTTTCTTTAGAAAAAAAAAGTAATTTTATATTTGCTATCAATTTTGAAATTATATTTAGTGTTGAGACTTGAAACTATGACTTCTTACATATTTTGATCCCCTCTTTCCATTTCTGAACATCATTTTGTCATTGCTAATTGATTCAAGGTAGGTGTGGTCACATGACCCCCAACTGCAAAGGGCCTATTTAATCTGTATGTACAGTAAATTTATGGCTGATTCATGTAATACCTTGAAGAAATCATACATTGCTTTCCTAATGTAAGTCGCATCAAATGGTGGTGAAACAAGCCCATCGTCAGCATCAAATACAGTTTTAATGGCTTTGTGAGCAATCCAGTAAGCTAAAAACAAAACAAAATCAGGGAATTAGCCTTTGACATACTAGACTTACATTGTTTCACTATAATCAGTCACCCAGAACATTGTTGTAACACTTATCATATTCGTCTCGCAGGTTACATGTATATTGAAACAACAAAATAATAACAAAATGTCCTTCACATACCACTTCCTTCATCTCCAAGCAGATGACCCCATCCTCCACAATGATAGGTTTCTCCATTAGGATTTAATAGTTGACAATTGGATCCAGTTCCAGCAATGAGTACAACACCCCCTGTAAGTTTAATGTACGATTGAACATTAACCTGATGATTAAATAATTGAATGATTTATGGAAAGATCTATTGATTGAATGATTGAATTTTTGATTAAAAGATTGAATAATTGATTGATTGGAAACTTGGATGACTGATTGCATGTTTGAATGATTGATTGATAGATTGAATGATGGAAAGACTTGATCGGATGCTTGGATTATTGATTGAATGTTTGATTGATTTATTGATTGATTAAAAGTTTGAATGATTGGTTGAATGAATGTTTGAATGACTGAAGGACTTGACTGACTGATTAATTGATTGATTGATAAATCAAATGATTGAAAGACTTGATGGATTGATTGCTTGAATGACTGATTGATTGATTGTCTCTCTAAACAGCATTCCACATTGGACATAGAAAGGATTTCTGTTTTTTAGGGTACTTATGAAATAGCTTGCTTGCTTTGTTCATGCAAGGTCACTACTATCTTTCTACTCATCTATTACCTGATTCAAATGCAGTATAAATGGCTCCAACAGTATCAACACAAGTATCAAAATTTATGCTGCAATTAGGATATTTTGTCTTCATTGTTTGTATTGCTTCATCTTCTTGCTGCTTTTGATCTAAACCACTCAAAGATAAACCCTGAAAACAGCAAACAAATGTTACGCTACATACACCTAATTGCAGAAACACCATAGAAAATAGAACATTTGAATTTAGTAAAAAGTTATAAGTTAAAACAAGACAGAAGAGAGCATTCAGCCTCAGTGATCTTCTTTGGTCTTTTTTAATTTATTCCTTTTTACTATATACAAATCTCCTATTTTCTATGACAATGTTTTCAAAGGTAGGTGTACATTGAATGATGGAGCAGAGAAAACATAAGTCAAGATTAATATCACTAGCACTTTATATAGTGATTGTAATGTTCAAATGCACTAATCAGTGAATTAGCAATAACACTGGAAACTCTGTGTCTACTCTCAACTTATTCACCCCTCTAGTGAAGTACACATCCAGAGGCTACAATGCACATTTACATCCTTATCTGACAAGGTATTGTCACTTTCAACTAGTGTCAGCCTGAAGGAGACAGTCCCCCCCTGCTACAAGGGAATCTGGAGTGTTTTCATGAGGGAGAGCAGTGTAGGAGAGGGGGGAGGACTGTGAAGAAGGTGATTGATTGTAATATTGGATTCATACAGAACAAACTGTTGGACTATCCAAAAATGCATCACCCTAGTAACAATTTGGCAAAGAAAGTATCATATTTCAAAGACTTTGTCTGTCAAGGAAGAGGATGTTCTGAAGCCCTTGAAACCACCCCCTGCACACACCCCTGTAGAAACTACACTTTTGTAATAGTGAGAAATCTCATTTACATACCAAAGATGTCAATGGCAACGTGATGTCAATACCAGCATCTATTTTTGCTTTCTCTACCATCTCGTTAACTCTTTCCAAACATGTTGCCATGCCAACAAGCTGACGATAAAACACGTACATGGGTTATATATAATGTGTGTAGGTTACAAACAGTAGATCAATAATATGGAATACAGCTAACTTTTACTAATTCTGTTGTTTAAAATCATGTTTAAAGTTTGAGATTGATCATTTAATCTTTCAACCTGGCTTTCGGTTTCCTGCAACCTTCTTACGTTATATATTTCTCTCTATCACGTTATGAATCCTATAAGCTTAAGATATTAAAGCTTTATAAATACGGAGCTGTCGACATGTCAACTGTGCGAGTGTTGGATGAATGAGAAGATTGGTTGAAATTACAAATATAATAGTTACCAAATAATTTTTTACCCTGTGCTCTTATATCAAGACTTTATTTTGAAGTTGTACAAACTTTCTGGACAAAACTTAGCTTGGAATTCCACGTAACATGCCGAGACCTACCCAGTGATTCGTGCCAAGTCCTTCACTTCGTCCAACAATTTTTCCATCTTTTGAAAGTATAACTGCTTTGGAATGTGTCCCACCTCTTGAGAATGCATTAAAAACATAATAGTTAAATTAATATTAGTGCATCGTTAGCATCTTTACATGAGATTACCCCTCAATTCCGCCAAAATACGTCTCGTCCGCCATCTTTCTTCTACTGATTCATCCCAGACCTCCTCTCTTGGACGGTACACAGGAGCTCCAAACTTGTCATCCACTTAGTATCAGCTTAGTATCGTATTTAAAATGACATAAAAAAGTGGGAAACAACCAAAATGGCTATTCTAGCACGAAATGGAAAAGACTAAGAAAAGACAACGAATTGACTTAGGGAAGGGGCATTAGATTTTTGAAGGAAAGGACATGAAAATTTCGAGCTTTTTTAAGGACAAAAAAATCTCACTATAGGCGATTTGTTACCAGAATGCTTTGCCCACTTTCTTTTGTAATGCAATTGGTACCAATTGTTTTACTTATCGCCAAAGGGATACCCTGGGAACCAGAGGCTGGATTTACTCTTTCTTATAGTTTATTTGCGTGCGCGAAGCGCCGTTCTTGAGGCTAAAGGCCGAAACCGTAAGCCAGCTGGTTTACGGTTTCGACTTCGGCCTCATTGTCATAAACTATAAATAAAATAAACTTTAAGAAATAGTAAATCCAGCCTCTGGTTCCCAGGGTACCAAAGGGATTAAAAATCTTAATATGAAAATGCGCAAGTAGTTGTATATTGCCCATTGTGCGCGCAACTTCCTAATTTCTATGATAATCTTTTAAAGTTATATTTGTAAGCCTTATCTTTAAGGTAATTTGAGCCCATACGTTATAAGAAATAAAAAAAACAGAAATTAGCATAAAGAGAGTCAGCGGATCACAGCAAACACCTGATTATGAACTCAGAATATCAATGAGTTCGTGTGCCAACATAGGAACATCTTGTTTTCCCTATTGTAGTAGTACATTTGACAGAACATCATCCCTGGAGATGAGTGAGAATATACTCGAAAAATTTCAACCTGAAGAAGTTCAAAGATTGGAAAAAGCGTTTAGAGAAAGTCATCATCCGGACCCGCTGTCCATGGCTTTTTTGGCCGCTGAAATTGGAATTCCAAATGAACAGGTTGAGGTAAAAAGGAAATTCTTCCTTTAACATTTACTGAGTTATGTGGAACAGTCGTTCCAAAGCGATTTTTAATTTACTTTTGTCTTTAATTATACTGTTAAATTTGTTCTTGGGGATTATAACACAAAAGATGTCTTGACCGCGCGCTTTTTTTTTATTTTGCGTCGAGTACGAGTGCGGCTGGATAAAAAGCATGTGGTTTATCTCATTTTCTCTAATAAAAACGCCGAAATGATAATTCATGATTTTTTAAAACGTAGCTATATATTATTCAGTTCTTAAAAAGAAAGGACATTTTCTATGATCTATGCATGCGGCATAACTGTAAATAGCAAAAGTACTGGCGCACGTTTACCTAACTTTCATACACACCATAAATCGAGAAAATGCGCTTGTAAGTAAACTATTTTGAATTTTGTCGTCTTTCGATTTATGTCAGTATGGCTTCAAAGGCTTTCCTATTTTGTGCACGTCTTTCACGTATATAAAACCTAAAAACGGCTGGACGAAAATAAAATAAAGCACCTTTTAAGGCACTAATCATATTCGCCATATAATTTAACCGCAGTTGTAATTGCTCGTTTTCTAAATTTCTACAATAATTTAAATATCGATAACTGACACAGAATTAAATATCAGCTTTGATAATAGCGTGTGATAAATATCTTTTCCTTGATTTACCATTAGGCACTAGGTCGTTTTTTAATCTTCATTCATCGCCTATTCCATGCAGATTCTTTTTTTTTCATCCGGATTATCTTGGTCCATTCATCCATCCATCCATTCATCCATCTATTCTTTTATTCAAGACATAGGTCCTACAATGTAGGTGCTCCTCGTTTTAGCTTCTCGATTGTCTCTTTTCCGAGCTCAAGTCCTCCGGTTCACATTTCCATATACTATATAAGGTATTGATTGTTTTTTCTTTTTTTTAGAAATGGTTTGCTGCTCGCCTTCAAAAATGGAGAAAGGACGAGGGCTTTATACCAATAGCCGAAAGAGCAGCGTTTCTCCTCGACCAAAACTGCAAGAACTCAAGCTCGAATAAATCAAGCCCAAAATAACCCAAACTAAAGGATATAGACTAACAGTTTTTGATTTATGGAAAAATAAACCATCCTGCTGGCAAAAAAAAAAACAACAAAAAAAAAAACAAAACCAAAAACAACAAACAACTACAAACAAAAATAAAACAACAACAAACAAATGCCGCAGGCGGCCCAACCATTAATTGGGAAATTTTATTTGCTTTGAATATCTTTATTGCATTTAAGTAGTTCTCGTGAATGTTCATATATTTTTAGTGTATTTTTTGTTTTTGTTTTCCACAGTAGAGCTTGAGCTAACTGTAATTTGAGTCATAATTTTGCGAGATTATTACGTAGTACCACAGCCAATTTTTGAAGGGACCAAACTCGTTCTTTTCTGTTACATTTTTCAATTACAAGTTTACAGGTTAACGATAAATGAATAAAAACAAGGAAACGCTACTAAACATATTAAAATGATAATGCTTCAAAAAGTACAAGATTTTAATTAAAAAATGGGCTGCCTGTGCCTTAGATTGAGCCGGGGATTGAGCTCTCTTATCTTGGTTGCTTCATGCAAAAGATGCGGCATTGGAGCGGGATGGCAAACACTTTTAAAGACACTTGTTCATCTCGAAAGCCGTTCACACAAAATTTCAGATATTTCCGTACATCACGCATTTTACCCGTAATGCATCGAGAGGATTACAAACTAGCGGGCAAAGCACGATGGTTTAGCGTTGTGTTATTGTCTCTTCGGAAGGTCGTTCGAGGGAGGACGCTACGCAAGCAAACCGTCAAAGAAAAATAAACTCCAAGGCCAGGGATTTGTTTACATATTGTTTCAGCTTTTCTAAACAATTAGAGCTTCAGTAAAACCGGTCTTGAAAATGGGTAAGTCATCAAATCGTATTTAATACACCTGTGAAAATGGCGCGCGAAATTCCGAGTCATGATGAGGAGCGAACGATATGAATTCGCTAATTGTTGAGAGAATGGTTTCTCCAGGGAACTATTTACCGATCGTTTTGTTAATTATTTTTTGATTTCCTAGGTGAAGGTGATGTCTCTTGTTGGGGTTGCAGAAAGCCATGCTTGGGAGAAGTGTTGAATTTTGAAGACCACTTCTTTCATACGGATTGCCTCAATTGTAAAGGTGAGTTTCTGGTCGCTACGAGACAGACGCTTAACCACGTACGCTAGTTAATAATCCTTTTGTCATTTTGAACAAAACTGTCGATCTTTGCATAAGAATTTTCAGTTTTATAATCTTTTATTTGTATTGATGGATTTGCATCGGCCTGTTATTTAAAGTTGATTATTAGCCAAAATTATGCACTACAAGACTTTGTTTTGATTCGTCATACTCGTAATTACGCCTCAAGTTGTAAAATGAACATCGAGTCATAACTAGGTCTGGACTCACGCGATTATTTTTACGAATTACCCACGCACGGATTCTATTTTCAGAGTATATTGAACCCGTACAGATGGAAATTTTATTGGTAGATTAGTTTACTATCAAAATAATATCGTTCTTCAAACTATCCGGAAGTTTAAACAGTGTAAATTCTCCTTTTATTAGAACGCCCAAATTTTTGGTTTGGAAGCCTTCTGATAACTGCCCTCGGAAATACTACAAGAATCTGATACTCTATATTTATTTGCCATATCATCGTGCTTGTCATTCTTAAAATTGTTGATTAGTACTAGTAAAATTACTCAAGTAGAAAAAGTGACGCTGTTTTTGCCATTCCGTGACATGTTCCATTATTAGCTCATTTTCTCTCTAAAATGTGTAATATTTTCCATTGAATTCTATTTTTATCTTAAATTTTCTATATTTACTACTTATAAGGAGCTAATAATGTTTGATAATGATCATTCAATAATGTTTATTCAAATTTCATAAAACTTAACAGTAAACTTATAGATTATATGGTACAGTGCACGGCTAAAAATATTGTGAATTCAGTAAAAAAATTGTCCTGTGATTTTTTTTGTATTGTCTGATGTTGTCAAAACTCCACATACAGTGATTTCTCACTTTGTGTTTATCCTACCTTTTTCACTGACCATGAATTTGCTATTCCTATTTTAGTGTATTAAGCTAATAAGTTTGCATTTTTCGGATTCTTTCTGCTCAAAAACTGTTTCAAGCTGAGTAATGTAACATGAATAATAATTACTATTATTATTTACTGTTCCAGTTGTTTGAAGCCAGCAGGAGTCCTTATTATCAGTCTTGTCTTTTAAACTCAAACAGTGTTCTACTTACATGTACAACCAGTTTTCTCACTTGAATGAATAAGAATTGGTTTTCCATCTATAGCATTACAAGGAAAGGAAAGAGTTCTTTATAACTTGAATCTGCTATGAAATTGACCATTTAGATAGTATTTTTTGCAAAAAACAAAGAGAACAAGATATTCTATTAGTAGTTTCTAAAAGTTCAACTTTTGTACAGTGATTTGGTAAAAACTATTTGTTTATGTTGATAATAGCTTATTACTTGTGTGGTCCAAGTTTGCGTGTAAATATGATCAAATGCACCCGTAACAAATACATGTAATGTCAAGAACACAAATTATAAGCAACATAAAGTAGACAAGAATCACAACTGGCGAGGAGATGAACAAGTTGGATATATTACAAGCATGCCCTGAGAAACTGAAGTTAGACTATATAATCAAAGTAGGAACAAATTAGTCTCAGCTAGTGGCCAGGCCAGGAAATGAACCTGGGTCTGCCGTTACGAGACTGATGCTCTGACCTCTTGGCCATGCTGCCTCCTCCATAACAATAATACAAATCTTATGACAGCTATTGTAGCACTACAACTTTTGCTACAAATATGTTTTCTTTTCAGTCTGTAACTGTCAGCTTGCAAACAAGACAATTTACAATTATGAAGACCACTATTACTGCAGCGATCACTATTTCCAGCGTTATGGCCAAAAATGCTTCGTCTGCCGAGAATTTATTGAGGGCGAAGCTTTGATTGTTCATGGAAATGTCTACCATGAAGCTTGCTTTGCTTGTAGCATTTGTAGGTAAGTCAAAGGCATCACCTTTTTGGGGAGGAGAGGGGATGTTGAACTGCCCTGGTGCAGTTATTCTCAATATAAGATAGTGGATATTGTTTCTAACAACTGATCTGCCGTGAGCTTTTTTCCTGAGATGTTCATTTGCATAATTTCTTCTTGGATTTTTGTGGACAAAATATTGTACTGTAGTTGCCTTTGGACTTCAATCATTTACTTCAGCTATGATACCTAGAAATAGATTGATAATACTGTACCACACATGGTATTAAATAGACATCTTTTTTTGTTCAGGAAACCTTTTCCTGAGGGAGAAGAGATCGTCTATGATGGGAAGACCTACAAATGCAATTCATGCGCAAATCCACCCAAGAGCCCAAGCACACCAAGCACACTGCAAAGTAAGTCAAAGGCTGCAATAATTTCTTTCGAAAAGTTCAAATTGCATCTAGAGATTCTCTAAACTAAATCTATAAGTCATGGACATGTATGACTACTGCATAAAATGCAGACATTTTAAAGTCCAGAGCAGAGTTTGTTTTTGAAATTGTTTAATTTTATTTTACAATCTTATTCTGACCTACTGGAGCTTGCTCTTGTTTTTCTAAACCAAGACCTGAGGGTAGCTCAGTAGTTACTATTTCCACCCTGCTAGCTTGGTATATTCATGTACTGTTATAATATATCAATTTCAGAATGTGCTGGATGTGGTGATCAACTACGTGGTAGTCAGGCCTTGCTGGCGTTGGAAAAGCAGTGGCACTTGTGGTGTTTCAAGTGTTGCCAATGTGGTTCCCTGTTGTCTGGTGAATACATGGCAAAGTGAGTAGACTTTATTTCTATAAACTACATGTAAGGGAATAAAAGAATTATGATCCCCCTACCTATGTATTTAAGAACTTGCAGGGATCTGGCCCAGATAACATTCTTGATGAAATAACATTGTAAATAGATTCTTATGTAATTATATATCTAGTTGAACTACTTTACAAAGCAATAAAAACATTAATTTAGATCTATAAAATGTATCTATAGAAGACTTTCCCAAGCTTATGAAATATTAAGGCCAAATTAGAAGACACAACTTTTGTCTACAACCATCGCATGCAATCTGTGTAAGTCATCCTTACGACATGGCTACAACTGTGGTGGGGCTATTAAGCAATTGTTTTAAATCCCTATGACAGTTGTAGCTATGTTGTAAGGATGACATACGCAGGCTGCATGCGATGGTAAGGAAAAGCTGTGCCGTCTAATTTGGCATTTAGCATTTAAGTTGTAAGTGATGTTACTCAATTAACCCTTCTGTTCTCATTGCTCTCTCATTGCAAATTTCTTTAGGGATGGTCAACCTTATTGTGAAAAGTGCTACCAAAACCTTTATGGTATTGCTTGTGCAGGATGTGGTAGCTTCATCACTGGAAAGGTTTTACAGGTTTGTAGAGTACAATCTTTATAAAATGTGCCTCTTGTAGTACAGATATTAACTAAATTGCATGCTTTTTTTCATTTTTTCCAAAACCTCTAGCAGTGAGAGGGCCAACTAAATATAGTTAAGAAAAAGCCACTTATTTGAATAATTCATATACTAGGTGCATTCTCCTTGAAAAGCTCTGGAAACTCATTTTCAAGACTATTTGAAAAGCCCTTGAAAATCAGAAAACCTCCTAAAACTTGGATACTACTTGAATATGACATGACATTGCCTTGTTCTTTTAACCTCCTGGAATGAAATAAGAGCCGGATATTTTTGAAAATCTCTACAAACGTCTGGAAACATCAAAAATTATCTTCAATCATAACCCTGGCAAATTACTTTTTTTGGGCTTAAAAAGTACTTGAAAAGTCCTGGAATTTTGTGATAAAAATGTAGACTTACAAACACTGCATGTCTACGCTGCATAACGAATTGAATGGTAGGGAATTGACTTCGGAACGAAGATAATATGATTGCTCCAATCCTATCGCAGTGCAAAGGGAGAAAAATATTGATACCTAGTAAATTTAAATGTCTCTGTTTTTTTTTTATCACGACTATAGGCTGGCAGTAAGCATTTCCACCCACGTTGCTCTAGATGTGCAAAGTGCAACCAAGTGTTTGGGGAAGGAGAGGAGATGTACCTCCAAGGTAGGTATTTCCAACATCACACATGAAAAACTCTCTTTATTTTTAAGTTTTTTGATCTCTCTATTTTGCTTTTAACCATTGATTGCAAGGGAAAATCGACAGGCTAGGCTTGATTTTAAGTGCACCTGAAAACTGAGAAACTTTGAGATTGATTTGGGAGTCAATCACTGAGAGTTGCAACGTAACCATAGTTACAATTACAATGTCAGTAGTGCTTTTTCACAACCCTACCCCCCCCCCCCCCCCCCCCCCCCCCCCCCCCCCCCTCTCCCCGCCCCAGTGCAGTCTAAAAAAGTGTAAGGTGTCTTTATCCAAGAAGGCGTGGTGATCTTACTATTTTGAAGATGGACTTGAAGCAATCTCTCAATTATTGTAAATTTTTCCCTGTGTGTATTTGTCAGCCTGTCATGTATAGAATCCACAGCCCTGACTTCAAACACAATAGTCTGGTGCTCTGCCAACTGAGCTATATTTAGCAGGTTGTCATTTGATACATACATCTTGTTGGAAGCCAGGCAATGGATTCTTGCTGTGGTAGCTATAGGATATGTCACTTAAATAAAAAAAAATAAGTGTAAAATATTGTTCGATAAACAATTCTGCTGGTTGAAGGACCTTGTATGTTAAATTATTCTAATGATTGTATTTCTTCTCCCTTTATTGACAACACAACTTTTCACTCCATCTCTCGTCTCGTGCTCTCTCAGACACCCTCACTGCGCATGTGAACAAATACAAAGGGGGGAGGGGTAGGTCATACATATCGTACAAATATGTTTGTTCATATATTTTATAGGGAATGAAATCTGGCACCCTCGCTGTACTGAAGGTGCAACAATAGAGATCAAGCAAAGTAAAGATGTTCAGTCCAGTCCTGCTCCAGAACCACCAGTAAGAACTGCTAGTCATCATACTGATTGGAATGTCCGTTATCAACAAAATGGTCTCCCAGAAGAAAAACCAGTCAGGGTAAAATATAATTGTTTTTTAATTGTTATATTCATTTGATATTTTATTTTATCATATAATTATCTATGGAGTACCTAATATATTTCTCTATTTTCTTAAAGTTGATATTTTTACTAGTGAAAATAACACATTTGAGGTTATAGAGGATGTAATAAAATAATTATAAAATGTAATTATATATGATAAACAGAGTATAACATGCTCGCTTCAATGAGATACAAATTTTATCTTCTCGTGTTGAAAATCGAGAGATCTTCTCAACACTCGAAGATAAAATCTGTATCTCAGCATGCCCAATATAATTAATAATTATCCTCTTTATATTGTATGTATCAAGGGATGATGTACTGGTATATAGTTGTGATTTTTCACAATATCTTTTGTGTCTCCATCTACATGTAGGAACCCAAGCCCAGGCCTCACTCCTACCATGAAGCTTCTGTTGCTTCTCAGTCCTGTAAGTCTATAACTACAAATAATTAAAAATTATATGATATAATTTTTAATAAATTTTAATTTATGGTTTGATCAATGAAAATGTAATGTCCACGAAAGTATAAATATTCTTGATGATATTGATCCTAATTTGTGTGAATTATTATAAAATATTAGTAAGTATTTTTTTATAGTTAATATTTATACTTGTATTTATATTATATTGTGCAACTCTATAACCGACAGGTTTAACTGCTACGAATTTCCTATATACTACTGTATCATCATCATCATCATACTTACTGAATAATGTTAAAATACAAATCAAAATGACACTTAAAGTATTTAACTAAATTGACAGTTGGTTTTCTTTATGTGTTTTAGATTCACCACCTTCATCAGGGGTAAGCTTATAATGTCATTATTTTTTCTTGTGTGCTTCATTTCCTGTGTTTACATCAGAGAACAGAGACACACGACCTTCCTACATTTCATTCACCTCTTCTTTTGTGTGACTTCAGTTGTTATGTTTTACGGTTCACTTAAAACAATGTATTTAATGTTAGTCAATGAAACAAAAGCTTCACTTCACTAGATAAAATACTTGGTACTATTAACTCTAGACATAAAGTGTCTGAATGAAACGTGTCTAAACCATAATTTAATGTTAAGTTGCACCATTAGTGAAATAAGATAAAACTGCATCTAGTTCAAAGATCTTTTGGATTTGTGTTTAATTTATATATTGTATTGTGAATTAAGCTAACTTGTGGGTATAATAATTTATGAAAGCTAAAAGAGGGGAACATAAGAGTGTGAGCCAATTTTGTTGCAGTTTTTTTCATGCTTAGGACTTTAGTTTTATAGGTTCTATTTTTGTGCTGTATTGCGGCATCGAGGCCAACCTTATTACACCCCCTCCTAAAACTTTGCAATATATGTGGAAGAGTATTAACTAAAAGCTAATTTAAACAAAAGCTTCACATACTAGATAAGTTACTGCTTGGTAGCGAGTAAGTCTAAAAAACAGCTGCAAATCAAATGTGTAAAAGAAAAAAGTAAAAGTTGCACTTATAAAGATAAAAGAAAAGTTTCTTTATTTTATTGTCTAATCTGCACTATGTTGTGCTATTTGGTTAGTGTTTATTCTTGGGTTTAGTACATGTCTTTGCATTTTAATCTTTTTGTTTCATCATATCTTTTAAAATTGTATTTAGTATTATGCACATAAATTTGAAAAAAATGGAAACATTTAATATTCCTTCAAAGAGCAGTTCAGTATACATAAATTAGTCTTCTTCACGGTTCCCTGCGCCATCTTGAAAGGCAGCTGTGCCTTTGCATCGAAGCGAGACAACCGTTGAGCGTGCAATGATAGAGACCTTCTTTCACACCTACAGACAATTATTCACAGGTATCTATCATATTGCACGCTCAACGACTGGTAGTCTCGCTTCCATGTAAAGGCACAGCTACCTTTCAAGATGGCGTAGGTAACCATGAAGGAGACTATTAGTGATGATATAAAAGATGCCATTGATTCACAGACTTCAACTGGTCAAAGAACTGTCAACAGACGCATAAGTGCCGATGATGTAAGTCCTTGATCTCTGAAATTTTACTGCTCTTTTCCATGGGGAGATGATTAAATAAATAATAATTAATTATACTTAGTCATCAATTATAGTAAATTATTCATTAATACATGTAATAACAGGTAGCCTAAGCACAACAAATTCAAGTCATCAGATCGCTTTTCTAACCAGAAAATCCCCAGGGTAAAACAATTTGAAAAGCAAATTTTTCGTAGCCGTATGCTCAAATCTACGATCGGTACCCCCATAATCCTCATCGGTCAACGGTCAATGGAAAGGTGCACCTCCGATTGGTTGGTACATCTTTAGTACCGTTGGATTGTTCTCGTCCGACCAAAGGACGTGCGCCTTTCCATTGACCGTTGAACATGTATATGTGCTACATATTTTTTGTATAGTACCTGTATTTACCCCACAATTTTCCACTGTTCCAGGGTTCGTGCTGCTCTTAGAAATCCTTAAAAATTGCTAAAACTATTTTTTTTGAATCGTCAAACGTCTGCAAAAATCAAAATATATCTTCAAAAATATATTTGGGATAAATACAGGTACTATACAAAAAATACTTGGAAAGTACTTTTTTTAGTGAAAATGTACCACAAACTCTGTAAGTAAAATGTTTTATTTGTCCGCGTGTCACCAAGGAGCTACAAATAAAGCTCAATGCCATTTAAATGTTAACCATAACAGTGTTCCCCCCAAAATAAGTATAATAATTAGTTTAAGGGCCGATTTGAATAACTATTATTTATAATCACAAGATATGTATAGTCAATACCATTTACTAGATAATTATTATAACTACAAATAATCGATAACATTCATATTGTCGTCATCATACAGTAAGTCGGCACACAGAGCATGGATAAGTGAGTTGTCAAAACATTTAGTTCTGAATGTATCAGCGATCTTATGTCATGTTCCAGCAATCAAACTTAAATATATACGGTAAATCAATGTTAAAAAGATACTCATTTGAAATTTTCAAAACATGAACTATTGCTTTGATTTTTGCACATTCATTGTTTCAATGGATTTTTTAATTAAGCTAGCTTCACTTTGTTGGATTATAACATAATATGTACATAAACAATAAAATAAAATTTTGTTTGAATTTTTTTTTGAGTACTGTAATGCAATAAAAGACAGCAAGTGTTGCTCAATTTGTCTTTGAAAATGTAATAAATCCGACCTGTAATTTTCTTTGTAATTAATAAACATAATATCAGATAATATTTATGCACTCCTTTTTTATTTATATGCAGATGGACCAAGTTTTGCAGAGGAATTTTCACCGTGAGTATAGTTTTCAAATGAAGATTTAACTTAATTCTGTAGTCAAGCAGAAAATCATGATGTGTTGTCTTTTTATTCAGACTCAGACAGCGAATTATCAGCCTTGCAGCAACCTCAGGTAAGTTTGAGAAACTTCCTCAAGCACTTTAGGTAGACAGCTGAGTATTCAGACTGGTACTACTTTTTATGTCTTAGAATCCATACAAAATTCATGTGGATAACTTATTATTATTAATACAGAAGTACTACCCGTATGAACAACTGAAGACTTCAAATTTCAAACTTCCAAAGGGAATTGATAAGACTAAGCTTGAGGTAAAATTTCTAAAAGTAATAACCATCATGATGATACATGCGGTTAAAAAAATGGTGTATCACTGCTGTGGTCCCAGTTTGATTGCTGCTCTTGTACTATATGTGATTTGAGTTTGTAGGCAGGTTCTCTTCCTCGAGCTAATTTAATTTATTAGCTTTGACCCTAGTATGGGCAGGGACACCGCAACAGTGTGAGCCAATTACTGCGGACCCTGTACTCTCACACTCACTACCTCTACATTAAATACTTAAAAGTATTTTAGCACACAACACTCCTCACATGTTGATTTTTGCTGAGGGAGGAAAACCGGAGGACCCGGAGAAAAACCCTTGTGGCAAGGGAGAGAACAACACATCAAACAAACTCAAACTCACATATGGTTCGTGCCCAGGAATCGAACCCGGACCACAGCGATGAGAGGCCAGTAGCTTAACCACTAGGCCACCCATGCCACTCTGAGCTCAGAGTATGGCTGTTTTACTCCCTCTAAAAACTACACAGTAGCTGTGTGAGAAGTGTTGAGTGCTAAAGTATTCAAACGGTCGTGAGTGTGAGTCTTGTATGCATGCCCTGTAACTAGACATAACAAATGTATTTTTATTTTATTCAGCTGCACTTTTAATAGTGCATATCAAAGTCCATACTATTTTATCAAATATAAATATTCCTGCGTAGCCAGGCATTCCTAGCTACTCCAAAAGAGTTTGGGTTTCTCCGGCCTAAGCTATTTTGGAGCAGCTAGGAACGCCTGGCTATGCAGCCTAATCAAAATATTTAATGTTTAAAAATGATTTATTTTAATACATAATTGTAATTGTAAACAACTTGATATTTTCAGACATACCTCTCTGACCAGGACTTCTTTGACGTTTTCTCAATGGCAAGAGTAGACTTCTACACTTTACCAGCATGGAAACAGAGGGATTTTAAGAAAAAGAAGCTTCTGTTTTAGAAATATAAGAATCCTATTCATAACTTGTCAACATGATGAATGTGTGTCTTCAAATGAAAATGCAGAGTTTTAAATGGATGCAATTTATTACTAGCTTGGTAAAAAACCTAAACACATAATACAATCTTTGGGTGTGTGTGTTGAAACTTCTGATACAATTATATAAATTGTCATGTGATCTTCATTTATAAAGTGAATCAGTGTTTTTTAAGAGATTGTTGTAGAAAATTTCAAACAGTCTGTCAGTATTCCGTATGCCTGTTTGATCTAAAATGAGTTTTATTTTACTTATAGATCGACTAGTCAAGAATATATTTAGTTAGTTAAAGAGGCCTAGTCGACATCATTACCTGAGACATTTTAACAGTCATTTGAATAAAACAGTGAGCCCCTAAAATATGTCTGGAATGTTTGCAGCGATGAAAATGAAATGAAAGCTTCTCTAAAGATCTGAAACTAAAACTCAACCATTCTTCCTTGGAATTGTCCCATATTGCTCAAATTATGTTTTTGTTTTTTATACCTAACTTTCCTGAGTGACATACTTCAGGGGCTCATGGTTTTAATTCAGGAAACTGTAATATAAGTACTTTTGAATTAAATCGTGTATTCATTTTAACATATTAATTTTTATTCTTATTTATTTAGTGGACTTTAAGAGACAAAACAATCAGTAAGAACTTGATGTGTTATTGTTTTAAGCCTTTGCATGTTGCTCTTGAACATTGCATAATAAATTGTCTCATTAACAGCCTGCTCATGACTACAATCTTTTGCAAGTCATAAATAGGCTATATTTTTAGTTTTATTAAAATCAATTATAATGTAGATGTTTCTGCTTTTAGAGTGCATGTCATAAATGTGTGAAACAATAGCGTAACTATTTTTTGGGCGTATCGGTATTAAGYTRCATAGCTGCYAACTTCRYAGTTATTTTCTTCATATAAGAATTGATTCAGGCGTAAAAACAAAGACACAAAGAAATCAAAGATAGGCGCATTTTAATGATTTCTTTGTGTCTTTGTTTTTACGCCTGAATCAATTCTTATATGAAGAAAATAACTACGAAGTTAGCAGCTATGCAACTTAATACCGATACGCCCAAAAAATAGTTACGCTATTGTTTCACACATTTATGACATGCACTCTAGAGAAATATATTTGTAAAATATCATTACAGATATTTTCAGATTTATAGTTAAAAGTTTTAAATGTGTATGCACTTAATAATATCCTGTTACTATGTTTGACACTGTTTCAATCAGTATACTAATAAATATGTATTGTATCTGAAGTGAATGTGCTTTGATTGGTGGGTTTCAGTTCCAGTTTGTGCTATACACCCCCATGACACATGAATCCAGAGCGTTCCTGGATTTTGGATTCCAGGAAAAATTTTGCAGGGATTCTGGATTCCTGCAACACTTGAATTCTGAATGCAACGCATCCTTGATAAAAAGGCTTAAGATAAAAAATGACTTGAAAGTCACTGATTTGGATTCCTGATTGTTCTATCAGATTCAATGCAGTAACTTTCTGGGTTCCAGATCAAAACTTTGTCTGATTCCAGATCCTGTGGTATCAAAAAATGTCCAAAAATCCACCAGAACCAGTGCTGTTTCTTTAAAGCGAAAATCGACAGAATATTTGGGTGGATTCTTCAAATTCAACTCTTGAAATTCTATTTATCACAGATGATTTTAAATCTCTCCTAAATAAAACTCATATAAAACTTCCTGGGTCAGTTCCCCTAATCTGTTGGGATCCCTGTGTAAACGTAAACAAAAATGGCGGGCGGAATAACTCTGCCAAGTGATGGTTACCCCTCTTTTTCGCTAACAAAACAACGTTTTGATCAGGTGAGTGTGCATAATAGAAAAAATAGGTCATATCTATTTGCTTTAGCTTCGATCGTTTGCTTTTGTTTTTTTGTTTTTAGGGGACATACAAAGGACGACTTTATCGATGTTTTGATGTTACTGATCCGAGAACATTATTTACTAGCGAGGTGAAAACAGTCTTATATGTTTTAGAATGCTTTGGATTGTTCTGTGCACAGTGTCACGTTATAATATTGTAAATGATAGGAACGATAATATATTTGCAGAACGAAGAATTCACAATATAAGCTTATTGTTGTAACCAGCCAATCAACAGTCATTTTCCAAATAAGCTTTCACACTCTGACATAAGCAGAAACCGAAGCAGAAGCTTGTTCACACTTGACAGAAGCATGTTCTTCTGCTTATGATGCCCCGGTTCACACTCATAATCTTTCAACAGAAGCAGAAGAAAATGAAAAAGTTTTTGTTATCATCTCCTTCTGTCTTCCTCTGTTCACTCATACAAAGTACACTTCTTCTGCTTCTGCTTATGTCACAGTGTGAACTGACCCTTATAATGCAAAGCTTATATTTTATATTTTGGAAGAAATCATCCTCTGACCATTTTGATAGCCTTGAAAATCCTGTCAAGCTAGGCTGATTTTTAACTTGAAGTTGCGAAGCAATCAAAGAGTTATTGGACGGGGACGAATCTGTCACTCACTCAATCATTCAGTCACTCAGTCACTCACTTTCCTGTAAACTTGAGCCTTCGTTACTTGTGTTCAGAATTATCATTTATTCTCATTGTTCTCTATTAATTTACATTAAGTAACAATGCGCTAAAGAACTATAGGGAACTCTCTATTGTTCTGCGGCATAGCAAGTTCCCCATGTACGAATGTCTTGGTTTTCACACTGATTATGTATCCATCTGTGGGTAACACATTTTTGAAATAAAATGTGGATAAACTCTATTTTGAAACAAAGTTTCTTTTGTATTAAAAGCTCTTATCCAATCATAAGCACTCAAAACAATAGCCAAAAGATGCTTCTAATTTGCAATGTTCCCCATATAGAATTGCTAACATTTTCTGACATATTGAAGCTAAAGAAAGCTTTCATGAAAGTGAAAACAGACATTAAATAAAATATTAGAAAATTCGCTAACTTGTGAAATTATGGCAGATTTTCATGTTTTAAACAATGGGATGGATGGATTATACAAATATGCGCAATTAGCACCTTCTTGCATTCCTGTGCCGTTTGCTTTCCTAGTTCTTACTCGGGGCATTACTTAAGTTACAGTTACCGGGTTGATCTATATTTGGTTGAATTTATTTTTTGTTTAAATGTATAATTTTTCATTTCCATCAGCTGAAACTGCAGCAGTCTGTTCAGCTTCTGCAAAAATTTAAAACAGGACAGCTTGATAGAAAAGTCACCGACAAAGAGGTATGTCTTCATATTTAGCTTAACACTGCAAAAGAATTTTTATATATGAAAAAAGGGCCATAAAGGATTATATATATTATGTCAGAGGGTGGGGTTATAGTCATCCAAAATTTTGAAAATTACCCCTATAAAGCAATATTGCCAAAGTTGTTTTCATTGGGCTTCCTGTAGTTGCTGAAAGTACAATTTCAGAGCAAAAACTACAATACTATACAGTAATTCAAAAAATAACATGTAATAATATACTTGCTGTTAACTATGAGCTTTGTTTTTATAAATGCAGTTATGGGAGGCAAAGAAGATAAAAGAGGTAGGGCTGGCGATTTGTTTAACTGGGAAGGCCCTTCCAAAGCAGGGGGTTTTGGTGACGCGTTCCTTCCTCCAATATTGTAAAAAAGTAGCAAAGATTATGTTTGGAGGAATAAAAAAAAATTATAAACTGAAAAAACATCAATAATGACAGACATTTGTCCCTAGCAAAGACGAACAGGTTGGAAAATAATATTAATGTCATAGCAACATCAGAACTCACCTTGGCGGGCTTTGCTTAGACCTCATTTAATGAAAAATCTAAAACATGATCACAATGGCAGTTGACCATGTTCCTTTAATTGTACTAAGCAAATATTGAATGACGGACAGACAGACTTAATAAATGAGGAACCGATTGCCTGACTGCTGATGATTGGAGCAAGTGAATGAGTATTAAAATGATTGATTGACTGACAGATAATGGTGCTATTTTCAGGCAATAATCCACCCAGACACTGGAAAAAAAGTGTTCATGCCCTTTCGAATGTCAGGTATGAATGAACCTTCTTAATTGAGTTATTATAAACTCAAAGTTTTGGTGGGTTTGGAAAAGCTTGACAAAGGACTTGTGCACCAGTGGATTTGAAGTAGCGAAGTGAGGCGAAGTGAAGTTTTGGTGGGAGGAAATGCAGCATTTTTCAAAAATTCTTAAAATGTTAACAAAATGCATCCATTCTGAAGAATTAACTGAAATCTTTTTTTATCAGGTTATGTTCCATTTGGCTCTATTACTGTGAGTTGTTTTAATTGGCTTACTGTAAACTATGAAATAAAACAGAATAGCATACACTGTAGTTGCTGCCCTTAGGGGATTTGGGAGGGCTGGGGTGATAATGGGAAGGAGGGAAAGGAAGGGCCTGCTAGAGACTTTTCCTTTTTCTCCTCCTCAACCGTCCTTTGTACTCAGACTCTAATATTTTAAGGGCCACTACACTGGCTAATCTTATCTACTAGTCTTCACCTTCATTTGTGCTTATAAATTTATATTCTTCATAATATAGGTGGTTGGAATGATGCTACCTGCGCCAGGTTTCAAAACAGTTGTATTTTGGCAGGTATTTCATGCCTATGTATGATTCACGCACTCTGATACTTCCCATTTGTACCTTTTTGAATTTGTGTAAAATTTGAATGTACCTTGTTTAAATATAAAGAATCCCAACCAACCACAATACAGCGCACGCTCGTGTTATTGTTTACAACTTTTAAATGTGTCAAGCATACAATAGATTATAGATTGATAGTATCTGTGAGGTACTTAGTTAATGGTATTTCTGTCCAAACTGAAAGGATGGGAGACAATTCGCCCTCACTTTAAGAAATCCTACGAATCCGCCATTTTCGTGTCCATCTAAAATGGCATTCTGGTTTGGTACAGTGGTTGGTTGTGATTCTTTAAATCAAAGGACAGCATTTCTTTAATCATTTTTTTTTTAATTTTTTTGAAATATTTTTACCATTTTCATAGTGGATGAACCAAAGTCATAATGCACTTGTCAATTATTCAAATAGGAATGCTAGTAAGGTATGTGGTTTTTCCCCATTGTTTCGAAATAAATAATCCCAATTATTATTAATTATTATTATTTGCATGTGAGAAAATAACACTTGGGGGGGGCAGGGGGACCGCTTATTAAAAGAATGACTCCTCCTGTACATTCATATAAGGCTGTATAAAGCAGCCATGCACTGTAATGTTTCTTTTTCCTGCAAACAAAATAATAACCACAAAACTTTATAACTATTAAAATGCTCTGTTAATGTTAATTCTGTTAATTCATATTTCTCTGTTTGCTTATCTATACAGGAAACACCCCCCAGTAGGTTTCTTCTCAGCTATACAGGAGCTGTCACTAGTGCTGTTACAATTGCTGTAAGTCAAAATTTACAGACTCTCCCCCTCCCTCCCCTCCCCTCCTCTCCTCTCCTCTCCCCTGCCCTGCCCTCTCTTCCAAATGACAACAAAAAGTTAAGTATCAAAGCATGGCCATTAACCAGGATTGAAAAACAAGAACAAAGATTGCATAGCTTTGATAATTTCACAACATTGGTTATCATGTTTTATGATCGGACTTATGTTTCTAAATCACTTACATTATTCAAAAAAAAGGAAAAGTACTATTAATTTGTAAAAAGTACTATCTGGTTGCCTTAGGTAACTGTATTTTCAGCTGTGGCTATGTTATTTTGATATGTCATATCAGAGACAAATTAATTTTTATCAGGAGGCAATATTGACTCAATGTTGGTCATTCTTAGGTGGGATTAAGTAATTTAGTCCAAAAGGCAAACTTTGCATCTCCAGGAACAAGAGCTCTAGCTCAACGACTAGTAGCATATCCTGCCACAGGTATAACATTGAAATCTCTTTTCCTTTTTCTTTCTTTTTTGAACCTTTTCTCCGTTCATCCCAGCTTTCTTTTTCTCTTCCTTTCAAAGCTTTTGGCATTCATTTCTTTTTTTTTTTCTACTTTTCGTTCTCTTTGCTCGACTCCCCTCTCTTCCTTCTTCTGTGGCCTCCAGGCTTGATAGCTTCCGAGTTTCATTTCTGTATGCGTGGCTTACATGTACGTATTTCTTTTTTCCCTCAATTATTTGTTTATTCCTTTTCTTATTCCACTCTTCCTCCTTCATACGTTTTTGTCGTCTCAATTTGGCTTCCAGCTTCTGTTTTTGTCTGGCTTCCTGATTCTAAACTGTGTAGTTTTTTGTTTATCTTTTTCGCTCTTTCATTACTTATTTATCAATTCTTGTTTAATGACTTTCCTATGAATTTATAGCTGCTGCAAACATCTGTAATGTTGTCCTAATGAGAAATAGCGAATTGTTTTCTGGTATTGACGTCAAAGATAAAGATGGCAACATTGTAGGAACTTCTAAAATTGCTGCAAGAAACGTAAGTATATGAGCGATGGGAGTGTGATTGAACCGAGCATCGGAAATAAAACGATTATTCTCTTCTTAAGGCCATTTATGAGACGACGTTGACTAGGGTTGTTCTACCAGCACCTGTGCTGATCTTTCCTGCATTGATCATGGCGCCTTTAGAAAGGTATTCTGTCCGAATCAGACGGCAAAATGTTGGACTAAAGTTATCGCATAGAACCTCCATCACCTTAGCAACATAGGTGCTGTCTAGGGCTATTTTAAAGCAATTGTTTAAAATCCCGACAACAGTTTCTGGTATGTTTTAAGGGTGACTTACGCACGTTGCATGCGATGGTTGTAGCCACACGTTGTGCCGTCTAATTTTGGGCTAATAACTCTGTAGAATGTCGGTCCCTCTGTACGAGGGGTGATTAGCGTTTCCATGCATTTTAGAGACACAAAAAAGCATAAAACTTGTCCCTTCTACTTCCGAATTTGACAGTTAAGTTAAGAGAATAACGCGTTGTGAATAACACGTTTTTGTATAAACCAATTACCGGCCAAACTATCATTCTATTTTCTGAGTGGCTGGTAAATTGATGTAGTACCTACCATATTGTGTGTTTTGTAATACCCTGCTGGTCTTGCTGAGATTTGATAAAAACAAGCGAAAATAAAAGAGCTAGATTTTATGGTACATTTAGATTGATATGCGCGCGGATTTTTTGTTCTTCGTCACAACTTTTCCTTTCCGTTTTGTTGAGGTCCATTCCACGCTAAATTGGTTCCTTGAACATTATATCTGACTGTACTTGAAGTGGTGCGTTAATCGTACCCTGCGTGGAATTCCCCCCCCCCTCCCCCCTCTTTCTTATGAAGTAAAGAGAAACGCGGGTACCATGAAAAGATACATTTTTTTGCAAATTTCGTATTTAAAATGGTACATTACAAAGTACATGGCGATTTTTTGTTACTCTCTTCCTTGTGAAGTAAAGACAAATATAAACTTTGCTTTCTCTGTACTTTCTTGCAAAGTATATTTATCGAGTTTCAGTGTTTGTTATAAAGGACACACAAGGCTCTCAAGTGTCGCTGCACATTTTGATTTTGTGAGAATAGTCTCCGTTTGAATTAATAGTCTTAAGAAGAAACCAAGTCATTTTAGCAAAGGAACTAGTGGCCTCCGGAGCTGGCTCTAAGTTCAAGGGAATTGGAGGGGTTCTGCCAACAACAAAAATAACATGATATTTTTAAATATTCACTTGAAATTTGTCATATGATTATCACATTTATTAAACATAGCAATGAATTCTAGATCATTGTCAAAAGCATCATTCGGGTTCCCTGTGGTATAGCTTGTAAAGCATCATGGGGGACTATACACGGCATTGCCAGGTACATAGATAGATAAATAGATAGATTGAAGAAAAGGTAGAACTAAAGTCGGGCATCGCCTACGGCTAGCCCAACTAACTAAGCACTAAACAAGGAAATGGAAAGAGAAAAAGCGATGACATGTGTTAACTGTAGACTAGGGCGATATTATAAATAAACAATTTTTTGTTCCTTGTTTTGGTAACCGCTGAGGAGTTTGCATGTTCAAACACTTTCCACATAGGGGGCAAACAGGTGTACAAAAATGTCGATGAATTTTTAGCAAAAAAAGTAGCTTTCTTGAAGTCAGAATAGGTTAGATTTTGAGGGAAACTCCTTCAAAGGACATTTGTATACTTTATAAAGCTTTTTGTTTAGAAATAAGAAGGAAAATTCTTTCCGACTGCAATTTTTAACATTGACAGATGTCCCTGCGTGCAAAAAAGGCGGCAAACGAATTTTAGCAACTTATTTAACATTCAGCCTTACTTACTGTTCCTTTCCGTATAAATTAGCAAATTGTTTGCTGGAAATAAAAATTGTAAGTCTAAACCAACCAAGGAACTTTTCAAGGCTTCAAGTGAAGATGGCTACACGTTCATTAGAACGAGTACACGTGTCACGACACGTGTTAAGGCGTAAAGGCGTAGTCTATTCGTGAGTGAGAGCAAAATTTTAAACTTAATGAGATTTTTTGATCTAGCCGTATATTATTCAAGGATAATAATTGAACATACTTAAATAAAAAGCACGTTAATATGTTTAAGTGTTTGATCGGTATACGAAGATATTGTCGCGGTAGGGTACTTTAGAAACACAGGGATATAACTCGCTGGCACAAGTAAGGAAGTCATCCCATGGGGCATAAGTAAATTTAATGAGTATTAAAAGACAGTATTGTGCCAACACACGACATCAAAAACTATTCAAGTAATCTTAAAAGCATTTAGTGGAACCCATGGTGTGCAAATCCGCTACATTTACTCTTTTTAGAACATTTTGTGGCTTCATTTGAATACATCTGGTTTAACAGTGCATTGTTAAATAAGTGTGACGTTTTAGAAGTTTCTAGATTAATCTCAGGTTATATAAAGACTCGCTTTGTATCGTTTATATTTGAGCTTCGTCTGTAGCCTGTCGAGTTTACAGGGCTCTCGAAGTCGTCAGACGTTAACTGTTTATTAAACGTCTATCAGTTTTATATTATCTGCTTTCAAGCGTTTATTAGAATGTCTGCAAATTTGTCAAGTTGTGCTTATACTGCCAACAAAAGTGTTTGTCTCTTTTCGGGGGAGTTTAACCACGACTGTATAGACAATCTTCCAAGCTCAGTTACTTCAACATGGACTACCATTGCTATTATTAACGGTATTGCTGCCCCACCTACGATCTTCATAAACATCTCAGTAATCTGTACAATTCTGTCAGAAAGTTGTCACAGATCTGTGAGATACAATCTCCTGCTTGCTGCACTTGCTATGACAGACTTGCTAGTTGGTGTTATACTAGAACCTGTAGGAATATGGTACCGCTTATGTCTCGTTGTGGTGTGTAAGTGGCGTTGTAGTTTGCTCATCATTTACACATTGCTAGCGTTAATTCTAGCATGTTTAGCTTTCTGCTCTTTGGTTTTTGTGACTTTTGAGAGGTACCTTGCGATCGAGCATACCGTCTTCTACATTCGAAACGTTACTACCAAATCCATAATAATCTCGTTGGCAGTCGTTTGGGTCTGTGCGCCAACTGCTTTGGCATTAAGTAAAACACTAGTGGACCATTCTAGAATACTTCGAATGATTCCCACTATTGTAATAGGAATGCCTGGATTAGCCGTGTTACTATTTTGTGTGTACAGAGTTCATGTGACCGCTTTTCGACAACGTAGAGCAATTGCAACTCAACTAGCGTCTGTACAACAAAGCGAAGAACAAAAATCTCGTCTGCAAGAGTACAAACGAAATGTTATAATGACACTTCTTGTTTGCTCCTCGTTTGTTTTCTACTGTCCACTGATCATTCGTGCAATCTTGGAGTCGGTGGGAGGGGAAGACGTCACTGAGGATTTTAAGTATATATCGTTACCTGTCTGTATGACTTTTATTCATCTTCAGTCCCTGGTTAACCCTTTGATGGCCCTTCGATTAGCGCACATTAGAAAGGGTGTCAAAAGGAAGATCTTTTTCTGGAAATTCCTGAAAACAAACAGTATTGAACCCTCATCGTTGCAAAGTTTTCGTTCTAAAAGTCTTCACAAACCGCATGAGACCAGTACTGTCACGAGCTAATAAGGGAGTCGTAGGTTAGGGAGGAGAGGGAGTACTTTCAAAACTAAGTCAAATATAAACTTGTGATAATGAGTGTGCGTGTTTTTTACAAATGTTGAAAATAAAATTATTTCCAAATTTAATGCGCATTTTATTCTATTTTTTCGTTCCCAGTTACTTTAATTTCCGTTCTTTCTCTTAGTTTTCCATCCATTCTATAGTTTTATTGTAATATTTTTCCATTTAAGAATCTTTTTGTTTCCTTTATTTTCCTTCCCCGTACTCTTTGCATTCTGTTCTAGTTTTGTTTTTATTTTTATTTTTCCTTTTATCGTTTTGTGACCTTTGTTTTTTTTACTTTTGTCTTCACTTTTTCTATCATCGTTGTGTGTCCTTCCTCATCATTCCATTGTTTTAATGTTTCAATCGACAATATCCAGCGACGCCATTTTGCACACCAAAGCATGATGGTAGTTTTAGTTCTCGCTCTTTTTATAGCATCTAAAAATCTCCCTAAAATCGTCTTTTGTGCTTTCTTTCAGTAGAAATGAAATACTTCTGTTTTTGAAAAGGGAAAAAAATCAGCTTAAATGGACTTTTTAGCGGACATCAAAAAAATGCGAGGCCAAAATGGCGTTGCTGCACATTGCATCTTCGTTTCTTTATTTCTTTTCATTTTCCATTGATTTTGTTTTCTTTGTAGAACCAATTTTCTTAAGGCTCGACCCAGACTCCATCTCCCCGTGCAAGCATTGGTTTGTGTTGCCGTGTTTGGTGTTGCTTTGCCTTTTGCCATCGCTCTATTTCCACAGGAAACCCAGGTTAGGACTTGTTCAAATATATTCAGTTAGATACAGACTGAACCATGACATGCATGTTACAAAATAGCACTTAAAAATGTCGCGCATATTTGTATCAATTTCTAGTTTGCACGTATCTCTTGCTTGTATATAATAAATTGAGATTTGATTGAGGACAGAATATAATATGGGGCGCGGAAATGCAGATTTTGTCTCCGAGTATTGAGAGACTTCCAACACAAGAAGATGAAGTACGCATCTCCAAGCGACCATGTAATATAAATTATCAATGAAAGCAAATAGTGCTCTTTACGAGTCATTCATGCATTCTTGAAATGAAATGATTAAGCTTTTTCTTTTTTTTTTTTTCAAGATTCAAACATCAGAGTTAGAGCCCGAAATTCAATCCAAAACCAGTGATCTTGTTCTGTATTATAACAAAGGCTTATAGTCGCACGACACTGCACGAGAACACGACGCCATCTTGGATATTTAATTGTCTTCAAGATTCCCAAGCATGACCCGCTTTTCCAATCTCTCCAAGCCACAACAACTGGTTTCCTGTGGCCTACCTGACATATACCATCGGCTCTATTGACCATTTCTAAGATGCGCAGGAACTTTGAAAAATATATCAAGCGTGCATATTTTTGTCAGTGTTTAGTAGCTTCACTTCAATCATTCTTACCCGAAAATACCTCGTCATCATATGCACGCCTGCGGTATTCTTGAAAGCGGCAGCCATCGTATATTATCATAACTATTCTTATCATCTAAATGTCATTATCCTAACAAGAATTTTTGTCACTGGCCCACATACACGACATACTTTCTGTAGAAGTCTTAAAAACACGACTTTCAAATAATTAAACATTCTCATAAAAATTTTATAGTGAATTTATAAAGAGCAATGAACTTTAGAATAATGAATTTGTATTTAATAAATAGTATTGAGAAAATAATACAAAACTGTATTCAAATCAATATGACTAAGAATTTTTCGGAACGTGAGGAATTTATAAAACCTGTGAAATAATAATACATAATAAATGGTTTTAGCTATTTAGTCATTATCATTCATCTGAAGCAGCCGAAAAGCCAATACAAAAGAAGCTACCTCGTAACTGAAAAAAACGGGCGTTCCTTACTAGTGCGAGCGGGTACTGGGACAAGTATGTGAGCGTCAGAGACTCCGTGACGTCATGTAATGCTAGAAGCGAGGAACGCCTTGGGACTGAGACTGGATCAATTTAGCTTGACTGCATATTAGTCCATGTCGCATCCCGCGGTAAGCCTTGTGACACAGTGCATTTTGGAATTGATAAATGAGTAAACACTTAACAACGATGTCAGTGCTCCAGTTGTCTGTAATGTAGACTCAGTTTTCGAAAAACTTTGGGAAATATTGATATTGTAGTTAATCTCAGAAGCGAAGAAACAAACAAATATCAACATGCAAGGAAATACCGTAAGAAAAACCTCCAAAAAATGTACAGGGCCGTACAGTTAATAAAGAATTTCCATTTACTAGGCAAAAATGAAAACAAACATATGCTGTCTGTGGAAATTCGAAACTAATCAGTATTTTTACGATTTTAACGATTTGTTTTGATGAAGAAAGGGAGATATATATATCCCATGATACATTGCAAAACCATTCAAAATGGCGGGCTTTTGACTTGATCAAATTTATCACTTCTCCAAAGAGTCATCTCACGACAATAACACGCCTCCTTCAACTCTCATAAAAGAGAAAGTTCTTTATTCGTCTTATCACATTTTTAAAGTCATCTGTGAATTCTCTTAATCTATGCATTTTAATGTGAATACCAGTCTACCATCGTAAACTATCCCGACCTAAATCAAAGATTTCCGGGAACAATGGAACCATTGTGTTACGAACGTCCTTTTTTGGTCGAGAATCTTTTTTGTGTTTGTGATGCGGTTTGCGAGGTCTCCTGGGTGGTTTTGTGCTATTCCTTTGCCATGGGTTAAGATACGGATTTAGCAGTACCTGAAGGTAGATTTAGATGAATATATGTATTGGCTTTAGGTAATAAAAGTAAAGGAAGAAAACAACAACTAATATGAACCAATCAACCAACTAACCACACGCTCTTAACGTCACAAAATGTTCAAAATTTATCAATCATTCAATCTGTCAATAGTCTCCTTCACGGTTACCTGCGCCATCTTGAAAGGTAGCCAAGCCTTTACATCGAAGCGAGACAACCGTCGAGCGGGGAATGATAGATATCTGTGAATAATTGTCTGTATATATGAAAGAAAGTTTCTATCACTGCACGCTCAACGGTTGTTCGATGGAAAGGAACGGCTACCTTTCAAGATGTTGCAGGTAACCGTAAAGAAGTGACAAAATGATTTGATTATAAGGACATAATCTAAAATTCTGATATTTGTTACAAAAAAATCTCGAGAGACATGTTTTTTTTTTAAACAAAATTAAAAAAAAAGCCGTAAAGAAGATTATTAACCAACCAATTAATCTGTCTATCAATCAACCATTCAATTAATACTATCAACAACTCAATTCACAATTAATTTATCAATGAAAATATAGGCAATCAACCATCAAGCCAACCTACCGGACTCGATACCAGACAGCCAACCAATCAGCCAGACAATCAATCAACTGACCAAACAACCTGTCAACCTACCAACCAATCTACCAGACAATCACGAATCATACCAATGTCATAAAACAACAAATAGTAATGAAACCAAACGTATAGAGAAGAAAAACGTCAATGCTACCAATCGCCGATGTAATCAAACCAATTGAACCAACAATTTATCACTCAATATGTAATCATATGTCATCCCACCTGCGGTTGATCCCACATGCTAAAACTCTCATGGTTTTCGTTTTTATATCGATTCCCCTCTGCACGAGTTGACTTGCTTTGTGCTTCCTCTTGTTGACTAACAACCTAGTATATAGGTGGTATAAGGCCTGTTTCAGACATCGATCATTAATCGTGTTTTAATCTAATTATTAATTTCATCTTGATCAAAGTTTTGCAAGAATCTAATTATTGGAATTGAGTTTCCTGAGCATTTCGTAAATTTATTGACAATGAATGATTTTGTTCAATTGGATGAACTTGTTATAATTTGTAAATGTCAATAGATTTAGATCGCAAAGTTCTTGTGAATTACATGCAAGTAATTAGCTTAGACGCGTCACATGAAGGGATCGACGTTTGAACCGTGACTATAGGACAAATTGCAATTTATGTTATTGGTATCAGATCTCATTCGCCAGTGTATTTTTCAATATACTAAAATTAATGAATTAATTCAGAATCGTACACACAAATATGACAAAGCCTCTCATCCCTGTTTTCTGGTATGAATGCGGTAGGGTATGACACAGTTACATGTTAGGACACAAAACTTGCATCGACTCGATTATTATAGTTTTATAATAATAATAATAATAATCTAAGCTTATAAAGCGCTTATAAAACTTTTTCTAAGCGCAAATAAAAAGGTAAAAATTAAGATATTAAGAAAGTTAAAATAGAGTTACAGATCATAAGTTTGTTTAAAAAGGAAGGTTTTGAGAGCAGTTTTAAAATTGTCAAGTGAAGAAATGTCTCTGATTGAAGATGGCAGTGAATTCCATAGAAAAGGTCCAGCAACACTAAAAGAACGATAACCATAACTTTTAAGATTGTAAGACTTGGAAGACAGTAACAGTTGAGACGACGAACGAAGACAACGAGAAGGACGATAGTTTTTAAGCATATCTTGAACATAAATAGGAGCCAGGCCATGAAGAGCTTTAAAAGTCAGAAGGAGAATTTTAAACTTGATACGTGCGGAGACAGGAAGCCAGTGAAGATTGATAAGCAGAGGTGTAATGTGGTCATGTTTTTTAGAAAGCATGACAAGACGAGCACAGGCATTTTGGACAGCTTGTAGACGATCAATCAGATATTTAGGGAGGCCATATAGTAGAGAGTTGCAATTGTCAAGTTTAGATGATATGAACGAGTGAACAAGGATTTCCGTAGATTTAACAGACAGGAATTTTCTGATTCTTGAAATGTTTCGAAGATGATAAAAAGAGGATTTGCAGGTCATTTTGATGTGATTAGCCAAGGACAGAGAAGAGTCAAAAAGAACACCAATGTTACGAACACAAGAGGAGGGATGAATTATTTCAGAGCCAAAGCTGATTACCGGTGAGGAGCTCAATAGAGAGTGCTTAGACGAAAAAATAAGAAATTCAGTTTTGTCCTTATTCAGTTTAAGTTTGTTGATAGTCATCCAGAGATCAATATCACAGAGGCAAGCTTTAATACTGTTTAAGGCAGCATCCAAGGCGTTTTCATCATTACAGGAGAAAGG